ATGAACACAGTATATTCGGACTGTAGGCCTACATACAAATGTACAAATATTAGTTCCACAGCACAATGGCTGAATAATGTACAGTATTGCTTTTTCCTGGAAGAACATTTTGCAACTGTAGTACTAAATAAAAATAAATAAAAACTAAAATTTATGCTATACATAAAAGGTCAGTAGTAAATCAAGTACAGGGTACAGTAACTATGCATGTAGGAGCTAGCTAAGACCAGAAAAATTTGCCAACTGCTGTTTGTGGCCACCATTTGACAAAAAAGAAACAATTTACCTATACATTAACCTGTTGATACTCTATACAGTATACAAAAATACCAGTACAGTACAGTACATTTTCTGGCGTGATTAAAATTATTTACTGACGCAGAGTATGAAATTAAGAGGAAAATAATAATGTGCCAATATGCATTAAAGTATAGACGTAAAAATGGGAACCAAAATTCATTATATCTACACAGAACTGTATACTGGATAGCTGAAGTAATAATTTGCAAAAATAGTAAAAAATTTACTTGTCCTGATGGGTATGTCAAGGTACAAAACAAGTTTTTAGAACATATTGTGGCACATGATTTACTTGTTCCAGACATTTAGGCAACCAGTAATGTCAATTCCTGGCAAGTGAAATATATTACAGGCTACAGTACAGCTTTACAGAAGAGATATACAGTAATGACATTTAAATCTGCATTCAAGGGAGGAAGAAGGCAACAAGGATTGGGTGCTACTATAGTGTGCAGTCTACAATATATTTAGGTTAGGTTAGGTTAAGTTAGGTTAGGTTAGGTTAGACTAAAGAAATTTTGTAGACTGCTCACTATAGTAGCACCCAAGATGGTCTATCACTTAACAAATATAGAGACAGTGAAAATTGCTATTCACAGTTCTGACACTGAATCTATGAACCACAAGTTCATACAAGTAATCAGGCAGTACAAAATCTCAAACACAGCTTTAGTTTAATGTCAGCCTTGTTGTTTACTTGAACCAATAATTAAATTAGAGCTTCTTCTGCTCAGGAAATAAATGTGTACTCTTAGTATTTTCATATCTGTAAGCAAATGCATTGAGCATTTCATATCATGACACACAGTTAAATATCCATCTTCCTGGATGGTTAAATGGCACAACTACTTAGGCCAGACTTGGTGCACACATTAAGTAATTCATTCTTTTAAACAGGATAATGATTTAATGATATTTATCAGTGAAAAAAACAAAAAAATTTAAGACACTATTCTTCTATGACATTTCCTTCATAAATTAATTAAATATACTGGGCCATCCAGGGGAACAGAGCACCCAGTTAGGATTTTAGGTTAGATAATTTTAGGTCATTTGTGAGGGAAACATCATAGAAAAAAAGTGTCTTAAAATTGTCTAAACCATCGGAAAACACAATGCTCAACTCAAAGAGCTGTGGTTGGTCGAAACTACAAATTGACCAAACATTTTTTTTCATGGACCAAATAGAGATGTATTGGATGAGAGTGGCAATAATTTTAGATTTACTTAAGAAGTGGAAAGTAAGCCATAGCCTTAATGCCTTCAGAGCTTTAGCAATCTGAAAGGAATTAAGAAAAAATTTACATAATAATAATAATGAAGATGATAATAATAATAATAATAATAATAATAATAATAATAATAATAATAATAACACTGCTACTTATTCAGTAAAATCATCAAACAAGTTCACAATTGGTTTGGCAGGTATGTAATGGTATACAGACTTTGCAAGCATACAGTATAACATGTGTATAATTGTATATATAGACAATAGTAAACAGTATGGCAATTTGACCAACGATAGCTGAAAAAGCATCAGATGCCTATGGTATTCTCAGTAAGATTATGGTTAGGCTCCTTAGCATAATAATAATAAAAAAAAATCATAATCCACCACCAAATAAGATGATGTTTGTTGTTAAGTGCCAAAGACACAGATGCAAGGTTATAAGCCTTTTCCTTAGCAAATTCACAGTTGTCTTCTTACTGTTTCACTACTTTCCACTAACTAAGTACATTCAAATTACAAATATTCTAGAAACAAAATCCCTTAAACGAATAGTTGTGTGGAGCCTATTGCACAGTATTACCCAGAAATATACGTTCTATACATTAAAACAAACATCATAGAAACAGCATTAAAAAAATCTTAACAAATTAAAATTTCTTATATTTCCTCTTCATTCAAACTTTTATACAACTCAACTAAAACAAAAGTTGGTTAGATTGTACTGTCTTTTTCATATAATGCAAGTGACAAATAATTTAATTGTGTAAATTTCTTAATAAACTGTCACAACTGAGGGTAAAACAAAACCCAACACTCACTCACAGCACAAACAAAGTACAGTACAGGACATTGGCACATTGCATTACCTTTGTACTAAACCCTATTGAAGCCCCCAGTGATATAACCTAACCATCTTCTCTGTATGCCACACTGATCACTGGAATACGAAAATAACCCAAGGTTTTGTAATCTTCCCCACACACATAAAGAGTACCACACAAAAACAGCATTACTATTACCGTATTTCTTATGTCCTCCGCTGTCTAAACACTTACGTTACTTCATCAAATTATTTGAAAAGTAAGTTATATTTCAATATATCTGAAGTTCTGGACCCACGTAGAAACTGATCTGTCTGCTTTCTCCAAAATACAATTGGTCTTAGAACTGACAAAGAAGACGCCATACCTACCCATGGAGCACGTGCTTTAAGAAGGAAGTGTATCATCTTCAAGAAATGGCACAAATAAGAGGGCGTGGACAAACCTGCCGCCCAGGGTCAGCCTGTGTAACAAGTGTCTGTCTGGCATCGGAGCCAAACTTACATTCAACAAGTTACTTTACCGTAACCATGCAATAACATCTTACCTGACCACAACGGTTATAAGCAACTCATCATTTTCAACATCTTACCTTGTTCTGACGCGCTGTAATTATCTCAGTAGAGCCCAAAGTCCCGAGCGTCACACAGGAGTTTATATCACACACTCGAGTCTGGACAACAGTGCCAGGCTGCCACCTATCAACGGTCCAACACAAAACAAAGTTCCAATACTATTTTTATCTCGGTTTGTGATCTTCATTATGTTACAATACAAACACAAATTTTACACTTCATAATTTTTAGAGAACATAAAAGATTATAAAAATAATGTTAAATAATCAGTCAATCCTGAAATTAGTAATAACAGTATTCCTTTTGAAAGAACATGAGAGGGAATGATTTATGGAAGAACGAAAACAATTGCTTAAATACTGTAGTTCAAGCAAGCGATTATCAATACAACTTGTGTACAATATTTTAACCACTATTGTTCAGGAAATTAGAGTCTACAAAACTACTTAACCTAACCAAACCGGCGAGAAACATTAATTTCGCGAACTTATTTTTTTTTCCAGTCAATTAGTGAAATGACTGATGAATGTAGCACACACTATTCTTTACTGTATCGTGTATATATATATATATATATATATATATATATATATATATATATATATATATATATATATATATATATATATATATATATATATATATATATATATATATATATATATATATATATATATATATATATATATTAACTACTTATAATTCTGTTGTAATGCTTTAGTTTTCTTGTATGGAGAGAAGTGTGTAATTGGAATGTGAACCAATCCCCAATGGCAGGGTCCCACAAGGTAATTGTCGTGCATCTTAAGTTCCAGTATTGAAACTGATAGAAAATATAGCCCTAGTCAAGGGGGGACCTAATTGAGGGCACTTCTCAGTCGAGTGCTCTTACCTGAAACTGGCGGACACTCGCCCTATAAGGGGTCACAGCTCAAGGTTGAAGAAGCCGCAAGCCCAGAAAATTATGAGGGGTAACTTTTTAGGAGTGAGAGTTGTGAACTCTTGGAACAATCTGCCAGAAAGTGTTTTGACGGTACCAAGTGTGAGCTCTTTGAAGACCAGACTTGACCATCACTGGAGCAGATTCAGATACATTCAGGAGCCAGAGCATGCCCACTACTTGCCAACAGTGCATAAGAGACGTGACTGATCGCCCAAGTGGCTAACGAGCCAATCAGTGCTTTAGAGGATAAAAGTAAAAAATAAATGTAAATAAATAATGAAAGCAGAGGAACACTGCAAAACTCCAGTGTGGCTGCCTATCCAGAAGAATAAAATTTCACCCTCCAAAACAGTTCATGGGAGTTGGTGGGTAATGGTTGACACTTATAAAACCTTCCAAGATATCGGTCCATAAACATGTCCCAACAAACGATGTATTCTCACATGATTAAAGTTACATCCCTTGGTAAGGTGTAATTCAAGTTTTACAAAAAAGTCAATAAAAACCCAAATGCTTCCATGAATAACCAGTTTTGGCATGGTTTGAAATTAGACCTTTTTAAGATTTCTAATTTGCTCTAAAACTGTCAATAAAGAAGCACAATAGTATTCCATCAGAGAGAATATTACAACCACCATGAACTTCCAGAATGGAACTTTCCCGAAATTTTCTCCAAATTAAACTTTCCAAGGGTCAAAGAACCATATTATTCCTTTAGTAGCCTCATGCCAGACCTTACATCAGAAAATATAAATATCTTAAGCTTGGATGAGTTACTGCAATGTGAATTTAATTATGAAGCAAAGTGGTGTCAGTGCTGCAAGTGGTATAAGCGAGTGTGAAGTAACTGTGTGTAACAGTTGGAGAGGAATGCCTGGGGTGATCAACAGTAACTCAGTGTCCATTAGTAACATCTGCATATGAATTTAACCTCTCTGAGGACGAGGGTTTTAACAGGGCCATTCTACCAATTGTCTGACTAGTGCTGGCTGTTAATGTCAGGTGTTGGACCCCATATGCTTGATGGGCACAATACACAAATCCCCTTTGGATCCATTGAAGTAATGTGAGGGTGTACACATCCCTTAAAAAGTGGATAATTTATAAGGATAATATTTTACATAACATTAGTATAAATTTTTTTTTAATAATGGCATGAATTCCACAATACAGAGTTGTACTTAAGAGGAAGACGGATGACCTTTGAGACAATTTCCAAATGTCAGCATACATTAAAGTAAGGCACATAGCTATTATAATGTAGATAAATTGTAAGAATAAAAACCAATCACCAAGAAGGAATATATTTTGATTCATCATGAAATTAGCATGCTGATGTGAAATGTTTGTGGAGATGTAATGGCTTTTCAAATTTACTTCACTGTACTGGTTTACAAGTTTAGTGATGGAGAGCAATACATTTCCTGTAAAATAATCAACTTTTGAATATTCATCACTGCACTGCTTTAGAGGATAGATTAGACAGTACATTTTCCATATCCTATACATATACTGTACTGTATGTATTTCTCTTAACCCTGATACACTGCAATACATATAAAATAGTTAATCTACAATTAATATTAAAAACTATTATAAGTAAGAGATCGCTGGTTGAAACTATGTAAACTAAAACTAAAGGACAGACTGAGTATTAATAAAAAACTACATTACAGTACTTTTAACAATTAACATCCATAAATACTATGAAACATTCAAAGTTAAAGCTATAAATATACAGTTGGAAGACTTAGGGAATAAGTAGAACTACGTGTTATCTTTCATGCAATCTTCTGTAAAATACATGAAGAGCCTCATGCTGTTTGGGTCCAAGCCAGATGTGAGAACGGAATTCTTTAATGTGAGACACAGCAGCTTCTGGTGTTGACCCATTCTTCTGTGAATTACAATAAATGGATCAATATATATAGATAACTTTGGAGTATTCAGGACAAAGGCCTTATTCCTGTCAGTCTACATCTTTACATCTATAAAACAATATCTATACAGTATGTATATCTATTATCTACCATATCTACATCATCCTCTTCATAACAGCAGGCACACACACCCTCCCTAAAGCACTCCAGCTATCAGTTACCTCCATGGTTCTGACTCAAGTGCCAACAGCAAAGTCTGAACAAAATGATGAACAATTAGGTATTTTACTCTTCATTAGAATTTTGTTGCAAGTACTTCTTGTATACACTAAAAACAAAGTGTGGACTTATCATCACAATGGAAAATCAAGAAATCTTATACAGTAGACTATTTTCATAAAATATCTTTGCACATGCATAACATCATAAAACAGGTTTACCAGTAAATTTATAGACCAAATTTCCCCGACTATCTGAACCATAAAACATGCTAAACAGAGCAATATATGAAGGATTGGGGGTAGTTTATGACATGGAGCTTTATTTTCAAAACCACTTTCCCTTATGAGTGATGCCACATAAATCACCAATCCACACTTAAAGAGGGAAGAGGTCTAAAACGTTTCTGGTTAAAAAAGGTAAAGTATAAGGAATTTACATGTTAAGTTATAACATTAAGGTCTTTACTTCCCTTCACCAATTCAGCACTTTTTACAATTTATAATTCAGTCTGGCTACCACCAGGGACTGTACTATTTGACGACAAAAATTTATCTTCTTGAAAGATCACAGGACACATGTAAAGGGTTTGAGAAAAACACATTTGATTATTTGTGAAATAGGGTTAAATTTTGCAGTAGTACCTATTATTAGATGGAAAAATAACAAACAATCTGATAACGATAATGTGACTTGTGTACTTACAGCCATTAGGTAGCAGGCGACAAGTGTTGCACTTCTTGTTCGACCAGCCTTGCAGTGCACATAAACATGACCATCACTGTTACGAGTATCAAAATCCTGGATGAACTTAACACCTTTCTGAAGCTTCTCCTGACAAGGGGCTTCAAATATGTCTGTTGTACTTAACTGGAGGAAGTTGACACCAACCTCTGCCCATTCCTGAAATATATTTTTGAGGTTGAATTCTGATGTGCTATACCTATATTACAAGCATCCTTTGTGTTACAGAAGGGATGCATACCTGAAAAATTGTCTGTACTGTAATGTGAAATTCTGTAAAGTGAAACCAGTTTTCCAGTTAAAGCCCATTATATAATTGGAAATGCATTCCTAAGGACAAATTTTTGGCCAAAAGGCATTATGGCAATAAAAAGTAACAAATCAAATACATTAAACCTTTAAAAAAATATGAAACAATAAATTGAATATTCTAATGTAATGGGGGATGTTCTTAATGTCTGGCTGCTGCCACTTTATTTTATTCAAAATTTCTTCAACTTTCTTATATTCATTTTATTTATACTGCTTTATCTTCTATTTCAATTCTCTAAGTACTTACTGTATTTCTTTCAATGTCTCTTACTCTTATTTATTTCCATCTTATTTAGTTATACTGTACAGTATTCTGTTCTGTGGGTTAACCTGGGAGGACCATATCCTTGTCTATTATTACACTCTTGTAATTACTTACATCTCAGAGCTGCCACCACCCAGAACTTATATAAACCCGCTCAATTAACATGGTAGCCTGGTATACACGAGAGGTTGGGCACGTGAGTTACAAGGTGTATTTTCAGGGATGGCAATTGCCAGAAGGAATGAGCGGTGATACACACATTATATTGAATATATGAATACAGTGACAATTTGAACCTTCACTCACAACAACAAAAGTTAGGTTCAATTACTGATTACTGTGACACGTAGACAAAAAAGTAACTGACCAATAGGTCAGACTTTATAGGTAGCAAAGTAGATCTTTCAGTTAATAGTTACATTACTCAATAATGATACCACCTTAAGGGTATTATTACACAAGTCACAATAGTGATGGTCATTCTAAACACTTGTCAATTGCACACAGTGATCTTATTACATATAGCACCATCAATTCTTGGAGTTTTAAATCACACTATTACTTGATTAACAAACAGAGAAAAATACACCTTCCTACACCAGCTTTCACTGTGAATTTTGCAATGATGGATATCAAGTTATTACATCCTGGGAAAAAACTTATAAGCTAAATAGCCACTGAAAGTAAAAATTGTACTGTAAAGTACCTACTTTTTTCATGTTGGACAACCACTTCAGTTCATAATCTTCATTCATGGATATCACACCTCGAACTCTTTCTTCTTCTACGAGCTGCATCAAAGAAAATAAAGTACAGGTACTGTATATGTAAATAATATTATGATTGAAAAAAAAATATCAAAAAGAAAAAATGGGGGCCAGATCCTGTTACTATGTGCACACTTGGAGTTTTTCCATAATGTATGGGACCTATTGGAACATTTTTTTTTTAAATACAGTATACCACTGCAGAGGAGATGTCAATGAAAAAAAAAATACTGTATAAGTTCGCTCCCTGATCTCTTTTCCCCTTATGAGAGACACCAGTACCTCCTTCACCCTAACCCCTTAGAGGGGAAAGTATCACTTAGGTATTTTATTCTGGCTAACACCAACAATTTTATTCACCTGAGGGGAGTTCCCGCCAGCTAAAGGGTTAGAACCAATCTTGATTAACAAAGACACCACAGACCACCAAAAAATTTAATAAACTGTATACAAAACTACCAGACATTGACTCACCTGCTTTGTCATACTCCTGAATGGTAGGGCTCCCAAGATCACTCGGTTGTCAATATGATCATACCAACGACGTGATGTCACTTTCTCCATACACATATTGAACACCAGAGTTGGGATAAATGACACCCGAGCAAACAGCCAGCCCATGTTCTTGCTCATGCTATAATGATACAACAGAAGCAATGAAAATGTCAACAACTCTGTCCTTACAAATATAGACCTGAGAGATCACTATCTTGTTTGGCTTTCTTTTCTATAGTTAAACACAAAGGACAGTTAAGATGGTTATCAGTAAGAAACTGTATATATATACACCCAGCATTCTGGTTACACAAGACATGTGGCTATGTCGTACAAGACTTCCACTGCATTATTTTCTTCTTTAGCCATGTCTATACATTTCTTAATTGCCAAAGATGTGATTCAGTTGCCAGACTTATATGTACAGTATTGAGCCATCTCTTATCATCTGTACAGAAGCATAAAGTAATGTAAGGGATACTTAATAATAAAGCTCATTATTAGCTACTGTACAGTACTATAAAGCACTGTCAATTACTTCTGCCTGTACATTTTTCATTGCCCAACTTCCTAAAATTTCTCATCTAGTGATAATGGCCAAGGCAAGATGAAGTCAGGATTTATGATAAATCTAAAATTTAAAAATGTTCAAAGGTACATTCCACTCTTTAGTTGATTCTCATAAATAAAGTCCACTTACAGAGCGAGAAACTTCCCTATCAAATTAAGCATTGCCATCTCCACCCCTGTCAAGTTGTGCTCCACCCTACACACAGCCATCTTTGAACTGATGAGAATTCCTTACATATATACAATACTGTACAGGTGTATTTTATCTAAGTATAAAAGTCATTCATAATACTCTAGAGGCAATACAAACATTACAATGGGTTCTGTAAAGATAAAAATGTATAGTAATGTATTGTACAGTATGCAGTATTTAGAAAGGGAAGAGGAACTAGGTAAGGTTTTGGTTTAAGAACTTTTAAGTGAATGGATTTCAGAGATTTACAGAAATTTTTATACTTGTTTTATGGATTTTGATAAACCATTTGATGGGGGTAAGACACAATAAAATAATAAGTATCTTGGAAAAATAAGCATTAATGGTGGAATATTACAACTCTAAAAAATACTGACACCAGAAAGCTGCAGTTTTAGTATAAATAAAGTACACTACTATATACTGAAATGTAATAGGTCTAAGATTGTGCAAGGATTTAGACAAGGTTGCATACTACTTCTAACATTATACTTGTACTGTATGCTATGCTGTAATATCTGTTCAGAAACTGTAGTAAAAGATCAAAAAAGAAGTAACAAAGGCATAAATATCAGTACTACAGGGCAATGCCAAATTACTCTATTGGTATGCAGACAATACCACTCTTACTGCAGATACTGAAGACACACTACAGAAAGTAATCAAGAAATTTCTGTTGAGGAAAAAATAAAAAATATGTACATGTATTTCATGCAGGAAACAAAGAGGTACAGTACTGTTTGTTTCCAAATTAAAAAATATATCCTCGAACAATAATATTACACAGCAGGCAACAAAGGGCTTAAATAAGGTCGACAATTTTGTGCAATTGAGACATTGTATAAACATATTGGTAGATGAAAATGAGACATTAATCCTTTGTGTGTGGGGTCTCCTCCGAGCTGAATAAAATCTCTGGCATTAGCCAAATAAAATTTATAAAAGGCATCCATGCAGTGAAGGGGTATAAACAAAATTTGGTCTGAAAAGCAGTACTGTACTGGACAAGCTATCTATAATATTAAAAGTCTGTTTTGTTGAAAGAACTCTAATTTCAGTTTGAGGAAAAGGCTAGTGAAATGCACTACTGTACAGTCTACAGTATAGGGTCAGTATTAGTGTATGTGTCAGAAGTGTGGACACTTTCAGCAGACATCAGAGGAGACTGCTGTAGAGGCATTCAAAATGTTGTGCTACGAAAAAATGATGAAGCTACATCAGGTTAAAATGACAGAAAAATAAATGAAGCATTGTACTGTACTGTAGTGTAACAAGATAGACTAGAGCAACAAAAGAAATACTGAAATCCTTTAAAATAAGAAAATTCAAGAACCATTGTACAGTATCTTTGCCATATAATTAGATATGAAACAATAGTTGTAATAGCAATATTTACAATACACATAAAACTGATGGTAAGAGGGCCAGGGGAAGTTATAGACCAGGATGGATAAATGAAATATAAAAACTGAGTCCCTGGAGAGATACAACATCTAGGAAGATTGGTAACAATGGCCCAAATACAGTACATTTGAAGTGGAGACCCATGTTCAATAACCCTCAGATATGACGATGACAAATTGATTTACTGATAAAGTATGGTATGAGAAAAATAATAAAAATAATAGTAATACATTACTGTACAGCAAATGACAAATACAATTGCTACTGCAATAATAAAAACACAAAAATGTACTGTAATGATAATGATAATAATACTGCACTGTACTATTACTACCAATATTAATACTTCAGTAATACTCTACCAATAACGGAAGTCATGAAGCCCCAATATCAAAAGCAGTTAAGAGACAGTTAATAACACAGGAAACTAAGAGTGTATGACAACCAGGCTGTGACTAGTTGGAGAAAGTTACAATACAGTATATGTCTAAAGGACATTATCAAGTCCAACCAAACCTAACTTAATCAAGCTCAGGTAAAGTGATAGTGTTCTGTAACTTTTTTTAAATGGTTCTTTAGGTACATTAAAACTTCAACAACCAGTATCCAAATATCAATAATCCACAAACATCAACTATCCATATATTTTTGTGGCTGTGGTCAACAGTTGTAAGAATGTGTTGACGAAAAATAAAAAGAGTATATTTGTTGCCCCCACCACCTCTCAGCTCACCCACTCTACATGGTGTTTGTTGTGTACAGTACTTCAATTATCTGTCAGTGTGTGATTATCCACTTGAAGACCCATTATCATATCTCTTTCATATACTAACTTAACAGCAGTTACTGAACAGCTGATGAGTGTGCCATAAGTTTTAATCTAAAAAATGCAATGAGGGATTTTTCATTTGTTTGGAAGAAGTATAGACATGTAGCTAACTTTACTTTAGTTTATCCTCTTCGCCACTTGTCAGCTGCTTGGACAATCGGTCACGTCTCTGTTCTTTGTGAAAATTCCCATTATCTCCACTTAGGTTCAAGAACTATTCCATGACCTCCAGAAGACGTCTGAATATGGATACTTAACCTAATTAATAATAGTTACCATCTTCAATCAAAAAATCCTGTCCATGAACGGAACCAATGAAACATCCTGGAAGCGTTGGATAGAAAAATGCTCTCAAGTTTGTGGTTTGGGTGCACAACTGTCCTCTAGTGTTACCTACTGCAGGGTCCGACTAATTACCCAAATGTACCCAAATGTACGAATGAATCAAATAATCTCGACTAGTATTTGGTGTCACGAAGTCACAAAAAATTGGTAAACTTAATATAATCTGAGTTAATAGATCGAGTGCATGTACCTAACCTAACCTAACACAACTCAGATTAAATTACGTTTACCAATTTTTTGGACTTTGACACCAAATACTAGTCGAGAAGTGATTGGCAGTCCGATTTATTCATGTAGGACCATTATTTGACTTCATTGCGGCTACATTTGGGTACATTTGGGTAATTAGTCGGACCGCCTACTGCAACCTTACATAGTCTAATCTGACTAATCCCTAAATGCCAACACACTGTAAAAACTGGTTAGGTTCAGTTTTAGTGAGATGCTTGCATGAGTAATAACGATTTTATATTTTTATTTTTGTCTTTAATAAATTGTCATATTAAGATGCTTGCATGATCCAATGTATGTACACAAAGATAGTAAACCTACCATTACGTCTTCACTGCTTCAGTGAATACATAATGAAGGTCCAAAGCCCTTGAAATGGTGAGGGAATGAACGTGGTGACGAAAAGGGCACACCCCATGAAAATGACGTTGGAAACTCACTGATCTCCGACACCAAGTTGATGAGTTACTAATCTGCATCCACATGTCTGAGATGCTAAAATCAGATGTAAAATACCAGTAATTCAATTATAAGTTTACAGAAGCACTAATAACGCATTGGTTATAGATTACCTATCACTTAAGACACAGTTCATTAAACACAATGTCTCAAATCATGTAACCAAAAATGTATAAAAATCTAAAACTATCAAATTGAATGGTGGTCTTGTTCATAACTATGATCATTTAATCACAGTCAGAATCCGAAACTTAGGTATAATATTTGACATCACACTCACTCCAACCAATCACAGCCTGGCTGACGGCCGCCCACTAGCCACACGTGAATGCCCCTTCACCATGAACTTACTCGAATTTTGAAGACATCAGGCATGCAGAATAAAATACTTGTCTCATAAGCGTAAAAAACACTGGTACTGAAGAAAACGGTTTCCTGACCACATTCACGTTCTGATTCTCCAATTTCTCCGGAAATTTGTTAAAGACACACCGGGTAGTTGTTGCAATCAGCTGGTCACTATTATTGACATTGTTAAAAAGTTCCACGAACAAACCCTATTTTTTTAAAACCAGGTTACTAAAATCTAATTCAACCTAATAAGGCACAAAATAATATGTCCATGGTATATATCACTAGTTCATGATAATCTTGGTCAATTAATATAACCTGTAGCGTATATGATTTCCCCGGTGGTAGTCGTGGCATTAATTTTAACATTAATTATTGTGGGCTTCCAACACCTTCAAGTTGCCATGGAAATTGTAACATGTTCGGGTAGTAAGTTTGGCTGTGTCTTCGAATTACTTTAAATAATACGTAAAAGCAGAAATTAATTATAACTTTATTAAAACAAATAAAAATGTCCACTTTTAGTATATAAAGTATGGTTAAAATTTTTGTCTCAGTTCCCTGAATTAATAAGCAACATTACAAAATTTGTAATTATTCAAACATTTTCGAATTTAGTTTTCGGCTAACATTTGCAAAAAAAAAACTTAAGGACTATTCATTAATTAATTTCATTTTTTATTTTGGGTAGTTTAATGAGGCCGTAAACTTTATCTTCACGGAGAAAAATCTTATACAAGTCAAGGTTAATGATGTTAAAACACACAACGAACAGACCCTGGTAATCCACATATTGCCCTTTTCAGGCAATATGTGGATTACCTTACGCTATTTAATATTACAGGATCGTTGGTTTATATTTTTTTAGATTTAAATATTTTTTTATAAATTGAATAAAATAATGTCCTAATCGACTGGGTAGATTTGTAATGTCTTTGTACAGCTTTGTATATCTGCTGTCTATGTTCATTGTATACATATAATATTAATATATATGGTGAAACTTTTTTTTAACGCATGACTATTTAATGATAAAACTGCATTTCAATTATATCGGTTCGTGGTATAATTTAACATTACACAGATTGTGAGAGTAGGTCTTGTTTGGTACCTCCGGTGTTCATCTTGCCCGGGTCCTCCCGTTTCTTCACTATGTCTCTACGTGTTCTTGTTGGCTGTAAAAGGGTCATTGATTATGCTGTTAAGGTACGGTAAAATATCACATTTGTAATGTTTGATAAGTTAAGTTATCGGCAGTATTTTGGCAATTGCACTTCACGGTCTTAATTACACTCGGGCCCATCTGAACCTTTGGACGTAGATAGTACATTAGATCATAACATTTACACCTATATATATGAGTTTTCGCAATAGGTCTTGAAATAAATCGTAATGCATCTCAAACTACAGTACAGTATTGTTAATTTTCAATAAAGGAATGTGGGGGGTTAGTTACGCTACACATTAGTCACATTTGCCTCCACAGGTTTGCCAAATGAAAATAAACAAGCTTGAGCTACGATTTTAGTAAGAGCAATCTATTGAGCATTGCCAGAAGCTGGTAAATTGAAAGTGAATAGTGTTGAGAAATCTTTGAATTGTCTTTTGAAACAGAATTGCAGTATTGTGATTTCTATTCAAGTGATGATTGAACTCTAACCTGATAACCTCAGGCTCACCGAGATTGAGGAAGTAATGAGTCTGTAATATTTCCTTTTAAGTGGTTATATGGTGCTTTTCCTCATTCTCGGAGGAACTGTTCAAGGAAACTGCTTGTCCGGTAATATTAGGTTGGACTTTTCACTGAGGATTAATTTGTATCATATGATCTGTTTCTCAAATTTGGATGAGTTAGCTGAAGAGAATGGTAGAGCAACTCTGGAGTTAAAAAAAAATTGCGGAAGGAACATTAAATCCACACAGGAAATAGCAAGAAGGTTGTATAAGCACCTTATCCGCCCACACGGAGTGACAGCTACGAGGCCTGTCCGGAAAGTATCCAGCCATTTACTATTAAAAAAAATATTGCTTACCTAGGACAATGGTGCCTTAGTCCCCTTCAAAGTACTCTCCTTGGGACCTCACACACTTCTCCCAGCGTCCCTTCCACTTTTCAGAAGTCTGCAAAGTCCTCTTTTGGGATCTTCATCAGCTGCCTCGTCGCTTACTCCTTACGGTAATCTCGTCCACGTTCTGAAATCTCCTCCCTTTCAGCGGCGATTTTAGCTAAAAAAACCAGAAGTCGCAGGGAGCCAAATCTGGGCTGTAGGGGGGCTGAGAGACCTGGGTGATGCGATGTTTTGCCAAAAAACCCTGCACAAGACGTGAAGAATGGACAGGCGCGTTGTCATGAAGAAGCTGCCAGTCACCACTTGCCCACAGCTGCGGTCGTTTTCTTCTTACCGCATCCCTCAGCTTGCGAAGAACTTCGATGTAGTACTCCTTCGTTATTGTTTGGCCTGGAGGAGCGTACTCGTGGTGGACAACACCTTCATGATCACAAAACACCACAACATGGCCTTGACGTTGCTCCGACTTTGACGTGCCTTCTTCGGACGTGGAGATACAGGCGAATTCTATTGGGAAGACTGGGCTTTTGTTTCAGGGTCATAGCCGTAGACCCACGACTCATCTCCGGTTATGACCTGTTTGAGGAAATGTGGGTCATTGTTAGTGGTTTGAAGCAAGTCCTCTGCAACTTCTGCACAAAATTCCTTCTGCTCTCGTGACAGGAGCCGCAGAACGAATTTTGCCGCCACACGTTTCATGCCAAGATCCTGCGTCAAAATCTCTGAAACACTAGTCCGTGGAATCCCTAGATCTTCTTCTAATTCTTGCACTATCAGTCGCATTTGTACCACAATTTTATCTGGGCTTCACTCATTGAATCATCCCCGAAAGTCTTCTTAATCATTCGAATAGTTTCCGCGGACGAATGTTCAAGTTTGTAACAAAACTTGATGCAGATTCGCTGATCTACTCGCTCGGTCATTGTGAATGCGACGGTCACACAGTACCCACGCTCACTCAACGGTGTCTGCCGGGCAACTGAGTTGTCCTACGGGAGTGTGGCTGTTCACGCATGTGCAGTACGGTCCTCTCCGAGTGGCTGCCAAGTTACATCAAGGCCGCTCGACCAGTACTCACAATATTCACAATGGCTGGATACTTTCTGGACAGACTTCGTACACCTGCACCACAGTGTGCAGAGAGCAATGCCATAGCATGTAGATAATAAATGGCATTAAGAGGATGAGGAAGGAGGGATTCTCATACAAGACTAAGGAAAGCAGGTTGGCAAGGTTACACTGCAACATTAAAACATTTTTATTTGACAGGTACATTATTTAAAGTGTCTTTAGATTTGGGTGAGGTTGGTACTGTACATAGTATTTTTCTTTGCAGATTCGTGTGAGACCTGATAAGATGGGAGTGGTCACAGATGGTGTTAAGCACTCTATGAATCCATTTGATGAAATTGCCATTGAGGAAGCAGTTCGTTTGAAGGAGAAAAAGATTGCAAAAGAAGTGATTGCAGTATCATGTGGCCCCACACAAGCACAGGTAAGGGACATGGAAATTTTAAGATAATATTTTTATTGTAACTTGACTATGATAATACAGTCGTCTGGAACTAGACAAATTTTGAAATTTGTAATCATTATATTTATCTGCCAAACAAACAGTATTTCATTCCCAACAACATGGTACTGTATAAGAAAAGTTGCACCATATATGATATGAAGAGTTTATATTATAATTCCACTGTTTAGGAGAATTTCAAAAACAATGTTTGCTGTGAAATTTTAATTCAGGAAACCATCCGCACTGCCTTGGCCATGGGTGCAGACCGAGGCATCCATGTAGAGATCCCAGCAAAAGAGATGGAGAAGCTTGAGCCCCTCCATGTGTCAAAGATCCTTGCTAAACTGGCAGAGAAGGAGGGAGCAGAACTGTTGATTGTGGGCAAGCAAGCTATTGATGATGACTCAAATGCTACTGCCCAGATGACAGCAGCCCTCCTCGAATGGCCACAAGCCACCTTTGCCTCAAAGGTATGGTATAGATCTGATATTTATCCTTCTTGAACTTAAGATTCGATGTAATTTTCAAGCCCAACCATGATGCTATATAACTCTCACAGAAGGAAGAGATCCACCTTGGCTTTGAATAGGCATTGCACATTCTTGGCTAACATCAAACAGAGGTCAGGGTGAAAGGTTACTTTCCATCTTCTACAATTGCAGTTAGGTGCTGGAATATCAAGACCTAGATTTATATGTCAAATATAGGTTGTTACTGTTCCCCCGTTTCACATGGATGTGAAGTCAATGGATCTGGATGTGAAGTTATTGGATCTTGAGTACTCATATACAGTACTGTACTTGTTGACAACCACTGGTTACTTTTATGGAGAGTTGTGTGAACAGACTGCCTGTGCTAGGTGAATTTTGGGTTATGTTGTTAGTGAGTTTTGTGTGTGGGACAGCATGATCTGTGGAAACTGAATTTTGGGTTATTTTTTTGTATTTTTTTTTTAGACATTACTGTACTTGCCAAAAAACAAAAAGTTTGCACTACTGTACACTAAAATTACAAGACTGAGTTTGAAGGAGTAGTATTTATTGCTGAATGAAAAAACAAAACAGGCAAGAATGTCACACATACACTGTCAGATATATTCTGCAACTCATCAGAATTTGAACTTGAAGCAAGACACCCATCCTAATCTGGAATGTACCAGTACAGTACAGTGTTGGGTAACCAGAGTTTATCTGTATGACTCGTCAAGATTTAAAATTTCAGACGTTAGGGCTGGCTATCAATACCAGATAACAACAGTACTTACTGAACTTATAGCAAGACAACTATCCCAATCTAGGGTATACAATGTTGTATAATTAGTTTGATTAATTTTGCAGATAGAGAAAACCGATGGTACCCTATTAGTAGTTCGTGAGGTTGATGGTGGACTAGAGACAATCAAGGTGAAACTGCCAGCTGTAGTCTCAGCTGACCTCCGGCTCAATGAACCACGATATGCCACATTGCCAAACATCATGGTTAGTACCGGTAATATGCAGTAATAGTGTATTTGATGTCTTTAGAATAGCACCAACATATCAACCAATTTCTTGAGTGTAAATCATTTTTACCAAGAGGGGTGAATAGGTGAAAGAGGCATCCAAGGTGGGGGATGCATGTGAAAAATGAAAAGAGTAACGTATACCTGTACATCAATTTACAAAGAATTTTTTTTATTTACGGCTCTCCTGGAATGACTTTGTTGTAAGTGAACCAATTTTATGTAGAGTATAAAGCTCTTTTCGTCACTTTCATAATGTTTTACAGAAAGCAAAGAAAAAGAAAATTGTGAAGATGAAACCTGCAGATCTGGGTGTAGATACAACTGCCCACTTTGAAGTTGTAGAAGTGTGTGACCCACCTTCAAGAGAAGCGGGTATCAAGGTAGAAGATGTGGATGCTCTTGTCAGCAAGCTTAAGGAAGCAGGACGTATCTAATTGTCTTGCTCTTAGAATTGGTAAGGAAAGATTTTTGAACCTGCATTGTTTATAAATTGGAGCGAGACTGTCACATTCATGAATCTTAGGGAAATAATGCAGCAATGTTTCTGTGATTAACTTTCTTACTTTGGTTACCTATTATTGCATTAATCTTGGCCATGATCGGAAATACCCCCCCCCTCACAGGAATGGTTTTTCCATTTTAATACACATTGAATTGAGTGATCCAGACCCAAATTGCACCCTTAGAGACGCATCTGCCAACACACGAGGCTAGTGAGAGGAACTTGGGTGGTTGATAGGGTCAGTCCACTGTTCCTGCATTTCTGCTTAAGGGAGGAATGCTCTGTGCGAGATACACCTGAACGGGACGGGTTGCGCCAGCACAGAAGTGTTTAGTGCGACGTAGAGAAGGTTAAAGATTTCCATTAGTCAAGAGTGATCAATTTATAAATATTCATTCACATCTTTTTATTGTAGTTTATCATTAGCTTTTATGACTTTGTATTAGTCCAGAGACACTTGCAATTTCATCTATGAAGTCGAATATCCCAAACTAACATAAAACATTGCTAGTTAACAATTATTTTGATATTTAGTACAAACCCAACCCCCAAAAGAAGGATCTTGGATGCTAAGGTGAATATTTTAAAGGACACTCAGCTACTTTGTACAGTACAGGTACTCTTATTTTTGAGAAAAAAATGTTTTTAATTTAAGCATTTTATTCTAGTTTACTTTTTGATGCTTAACTTTAATATACATCTTGTTTTCTCTTTTCAGAATGGTAAATGGGTCTTTATGCATGTGAGGAAAATGCCTATCAATGCAATTTTTAATAAATATTTTTTTTAGAATCTTTTTAACTTAAACATATATAATTTTATAGGCTGTATATATGAAAACATGTAAAGATTTTAAGAATTCATAAAAATTTTTTTTATTTTATTCCCCCTTTAAAAATTTAGCTGTGGACTGCACATCAGTTTACGGTCGGATATATAATTCACACAATGTACATTATAACACTTTTACCTATACCCTACAGAAAAATCTATTCTATAATAACTTTTAAGACTTCCAAATGCCATAGTGTTTGCATATCTTGACATGTTTTGAGTTGTGATGCCCCTCCTATTGAAAGCTCCATTCTGTCATTTTACCATACCTGAAGTCTTTCCACAATTATTCCTAATTATCAAGGTCAGAAATATAACAACATTTAACCTATGGAACACTTTGGTAGTAGCGTGACGAGGTCTAGGTATTGTACGTGGATTCAATTGTATTTCATGGCACATATTAAAAGTAGATAATGCAGTATTTACGATAGCCCAAAATACTTTATGATTAGTTATTATAATGAAGTCGAGTATAGGAAAATTTTCACTGAACACAACTCTCTCGAACCACTCCCTGGGGTTTACTCAAGATTTGGTAAATATTACTTTGACACCGGTACAAAATATTAGTGTGATCATTTATGTGCGAATTGATGATTATATATATTCTAAAAATAATAGTAGTAGCCAAATTTTAATTAAATGGGATGCTTCAATTTTCCAGACAAGCAAGTTGCTTAAGTGAATATCTGTTATCTCACCATCACCTGCCATCTTTATCAATCAGTGCCACTACAAGAGTTGTTTAGCTGCCATCTTTATCAATCAGTGCCACTAAAAGAGTTGTTTGCCCCTTTGAGGCTGTTTAGTTCATCTTGTATAGACAGTCGGAGTTGATGTTTTTCATGATGGGAGAGGAAAGTAGATTCAACAGCACTAATGCACATCTTAATCAGGTCACTCTTAGACAGATCAAAAGTCTGCAATGAAAAAATATTTGTAAGTGTGCTACAACATTTACTGAGCAGACAATTCTAAATTAATTACCCTTTTCAGCCTTTCCCTATCAAAATGCAGGGTACAGTAGTCAGGATAAATACTTCCTATGTTATCATTCCTGGCAGACTTCCACATTAACCCATGGTAAAGGGGAGGGTTTGAAGCCACTAAGTTTAGAGCTCGATCATACATTTGGATTTGTGTAACTGAAACCCGATGGAAACTAGAACAAGGTTGCAATAAAAATTTCAACACCTACTGTGATGTTGCACCCCAAAGGGAAATTAACCCCACTCTTAAACAACTGAGTGACGGGCAAAAATAATCTTGCAGACTGCCCAAGCCCAAGCAGCCATTCAGATTACCGTAGTTTCTTAGTCTAACTCGTTTGTGTAAGTCAACAACCAGGCACCACTGTACAAGATAGCAATGCTCACCCCCTCCAAAACCCCCATGGAAAACCAATAGAAAATGTAACGCCCCTGAGGTTCATTGGTTGTCAGTTTAGTCTGGGTAAATATGACCAATACTGTATAGGCTGTAGATGAAGTTTGTCTGTAGTTTTAAACTGGAATGTACAGACCTGAGAGGAAATAATGGGAGCCATCTTCCAGCATCCAAAATGTTAATAATACTTCCACCTACAGAGAGGAGTCTCAGTACAATACTGTATAGTAAAAATGCATTACATTGTCCCAAACCCATCTGTATAGTTGTTAATCCATTCCTGTGGTTCAGTTAAATCCTTTAAACACATCCACTAACTATCGTATTAAAATTTAAGATGGATGTAACTTTCCCTTTGTGCAAAACCACTAACCTATTACAATTTTCCCAGTAACTTCCTAGTATGAAAAGAACCTGCTGACTGTTTACAACCCAAGCAAGTCCCGTTTACTTAGTCCTGTCTTGAGATCATGCATCTATGTTGATTTAATGGAGGTTATGTATTGTGTTATGGTTAAAGGTACAGTCTCGTTCAAGATTCTTCGAACACTGCTGGAGACAGCTGACAACTCAAGGCCGTTTGTTTACTGTATTATGTAGTAAAAATTATGAATGTAAAATTTGATCGGTGATTAGTTACTTAGTTCCCCATTGCATAATTAATGGTTGGGCTTTGTTGTTTCGTATTATAATACTACGTACTATAGTAATAAAACAGCCTTGAGTTGCCAGCTGTCTCCAGCAGTGTTCGAAGAATCTTGAATCAGACTGTACATACATAGCCTGTGAATGATAGTCCAGCCAGTGAACAAGGATTCATGTAAAAGAACCCCTCTTGGCTTATTGGCTTAAATGTTCATGTACAGCTGAGTCAGTCATAACTAGATCTGAGTTAAGATCAGTTCAGTCAGAACCCATGTTGGCTGACAGTCTATACTCTATAGGACTTGAGCCATCTAATTAGAGGTGAGCCACTTTCTAGCTATAGTAGTGACTTATGGAGGGTATTCACAACATTATTCATGATCACACCATGCAGATATACAGACTTAAATACAGATAACCTACCTCCGCACATATACAATATTCTTCACTTAAGGAAGTGGAAAATATGCCCTTGTCATCTGTCTGCAAAATGTAAAAACAATATAAATATTGCACTGAAACAATGCTTTATGAAAGAGACTTAACAGTAAAGCATCAATTTATATAGGAAATAAAATGATCACAATAAAAGGCTGTGTGAGAAAACCAGAAATTTATATAAATGTATCACAAACAAAATAAATTTATAGGACTTGCTATGAAAACAAAAGACTTTGAGTGAAAAAATTGTGAACAAGATGCAGTAAACTGAAATTACCTTCCACACAAAATAAAAAGAGTAGACGATACTTACACAAATAACTAATGGATGATCTTCCTTTCTCCACAGACCTAAATGGTGGTCTTGCACATTTTTCACTGTTCCAGATTTCACATTTGAAGAAACACAAACCTCTGTGAATATAAGGGCACAGTTATTGAAAGTGGCTTTTAACAATTGAGAAATATTCATCAAGGGCAATACTGTACCTCACTACCTGGTAAATTATAAATACTGTACTCAAATGAAAGTTGATACTGCATTAATTGTTGACCCTTTTCTATTAAACCAAGGTACAGTAGGCAGGATGTATCGCGAGATAGGGTCCAAGGATGTTCGCCATATACTGTACTAAATCGCGATATATAATTACAGTACATGTAATCATTAGGGAAATAGGATTAGGTTCTGGAGGCCAATAAGAATTACTAAACTTGACTTTATGAGTTTATTTTCTTACTAACTAAAGCAACAATGAACACTAGACTGATTCAATATCAATAAACACCAGACTCGGCAGCTGATGCCACACTGGCACCCTCACTTGACAATCCCACACCTACATAAACGAACAAACCAAAAATATGTGTTACAGTATTCAATCTTTTCCATTCTCTTCACGTCACTAGCAACCCATTTATACTCGCCTTGCAAGTCAGAATCTGCAGCAGAGTCGGCTGCTGACTCGTCACTCACCCAGAAAGACTGAGCAGTAAATTTGAAATATTTCCTGCCCGATTTCCCTCGTGAAATAAATAGATTTATCACTATATATTGGAAAATCTTGATTATTTTGTTGGTCGCAATATAAAAAATTCATTAAAAAAAAATCGCTATATATCAAATCACTACAACTCGGTGATTAATATGATCATATACGGTACAGCATTTTTTTTTTTGTCACAATGTCTGGTGCCATACTGTATTTATCCAGCCAACAAAAAAATTATTCATACCTTCTTAAAGAGTACAGTACTGTATTGTACTTAAATAGCTTACCCAAAGGTATCTGGTAATGCTTGACAAGGTCTAGCAGCTCCTGTGATCCACCACTAGCAAGGTGAATGAATGTTCCATGTCCTATTCGGTCCACAATATTAGCTTTCAGCACAGCAAGAGTTTCTTCTTCACTTGGTATCTGAATATTTCCATAGTTATGGTTAGTCTGGCATAGTCTGTTAGCCTGGCAGCTTCTTGTACTGCAGACTACTTATACAGTAGTTCTATAACTTCAGACATCCCCCACCTTTTATTTCAGATCACCCCATCTATTTCCAATGATACAGTATTACAGAAATATTGTAAAATACAGTACCCCATATTTTGAATAATAATAAATTATTGAGTTGTAAGTTGAAGTTGATAATAAAAGCAAAATAAATTAATTGAGTATTCATAGTTAGAAAGAACATTAGTGGATTAATAATTTCATAATTTTGCACAATAAATTTCAACTCTGTACCAAAACCTAAAATTCATCCAATATTGTTTCCTACTTACTCTCAAATGATATTCATACCTCTGCCAAATGAACAGCCAGTCTGAAGCCACATTTCTTTGCTTCCTCCAAGACACAGATGTAGTCAGTTAATTTTCCACTTTGAGGATTACCACTGACATCTATACCACATATCAAGGTCTTGTATATCTCCTGAAACAATACACAATTTGTACGAATCCAAACACAAAAGTATATGAAATCAAGAAATAAAAGTAAGCGAAATATATTTAAATAAAAAACCAACTAGTGACCATCTAGATTGTAACTCTTAGGTCTATAGAAATGGGGAAGGGACAACATATGGTAAACTGCAAGGATATACAAGGCAAAGGCATTGAGAACGAACATAGCCTGCTAATCAGGACTAAGAAGGGAATGACCAAATGAAAGATTAAGATTACGATGTCAGGAAGATGGAAGAAATCCTCGTGAAATAGAGAGAGAGGGAAGGTTTAATAGAGACAAAGGGAGGAGCTACTGGATAATGGGGAAGTTAAAGAAAAACAACAAAATGAGGATAATGCACATAGAGGAGGAATGGCCAAGAGGGAGACCATGAAAAAAAGAAGAAACTTGGCTGTGCTATGTAAGGCTGCAAGGTGGAAGAGAAAGAAAAAATTATCCCAGGAGCGGAAAACAAGAGGAGATGATCAGGCTGAATGAAGATATAATGTTAATAGGAAAGTAAAAGCAAAGAGAACATGAAAAAATAGTACAAGAGGTGATATGACAACCTGAAAAGAGAAAAAACCATCTAGAAGGCTGTAAAGGTAAGACCTGAAAAAGCAGGACCTAGGAAGATTGAATGGGGTGTGAAATGAAGAGGGGGCAACACTTTGTACAGGGATGATATTAAGAGTAGCTAGCTATTTTGAAAGACTGCTAAATAAGGAAAATAATGCACAACTGCAGAAATGGATATCCAGGAGAAAGAAGATGTGAATATGGTGTTCAGCACAATGATGAAAGGAAAGGCTTGTGGAGTTAGTGAAGGTGTTTGGGTTGAGGAGTTCGAGTGACTAGTATTGGATCTGTTAAAGGATGCCTGATATGATATTTTGTACCAGATGCTAAAACTCCTCTCAGCTGCCAAGGTTACTTCAGTAGTACTTTCAATTCTTACTGATAAAATATGGACACTATTTATACCACACAAACCTAAATGAACAGATAATAATATCGAACAGCAAAAATAAAAATTCTGAAAAGTAGAAAAATAATGAGCAGCCTAAAGCAAAGAAGTCTCTCTCTTGATCTACAAGGATCCACATACTTAAGGTATATATTCACTTGACAATCTAACTAAGAAAAAATATGCCAAATTATCATCATTTAAATATTTAATACATGTACATACAGTATAAGTGAACCTATACAATAGCTACCATTTAATATAACTCGATACACAATTACTTACGTGAGTGGTGTAATCTTTAGCTAATTGCACTGTATTCCGGGCATCATCTACACCACGAGAACGGTCTATAGATAAGAGTAAGCGCACTATGATGTTGTTGGTTTTCATTTCCTCTCTGTACGAAAAATATTTAGGAACAATTTCTAAAACATAAGATTATTTAGCTCAAATATTTACTGGATATAAATTACATAAAAACCATGGTATATACTCCAAGAAAAAGCTTATAACAAATGAATTGACAAACTTACATCATAGTGTCTAGCACAGTGTCTATATAATCCTTCTTGGTCATTTTATCAGGGATGAATTTGGGTGTAGTTCTCAGCTCTAAGTACCTGACATTATCAGACACAAATTCTCTTATAACATCTCTTGTTATTTTCTTAACTGCTTCTAAGTTGTCTGTCAAGCAGTGTAAAATACCAAATAATTTGAAACACCTGGGAAAATAAAATTAATTTTGTTATACACGGTATTTACTTTACTTCTGATAATTCACATACAGAACTGTATTTCCAAACTAAGAAAACTAGCAAATAGGGCTTAAATTAACCAGTTAAAAAGACAAATGCAGTATAGTATATATACTGTATTAGGAGTAACTTAACTCTTCCAGTGTACGGTTGTGTCCCCTCTGAATTGTGAGCTCAGCGGACTCAGGTAGGTTGACTGCCCCTTCCTTCCGTTTGGCTTCTAAGAGTCTGAGGACAGTCTCATCACTCAGGGATCCTGTCAGGTGGGCATGTAATTCCTGGAAACATTTAAGATGTTAAAATAGAAATCTATTGTGGAATTGAAAGCTTGTTATTGGCCCTTTAAAACTAATTGAAAACATCAGTGGCAGACCAGTTGCTGCACCTGAATCGACTACCTGCACATACCAATAGTGACAATGAGAATAATGTATACTACCCCCTGTATTGATTTATGATAATCTATGTTAATGTTCGGTAAATTCCACATTAATGATAGTTATCGGGAGGATAAACTTGGGAAACCGCACCTCTCCCTTCATTTGGCAAATCCAAGATGGCCACTAAGTGCAGAAGCTGCTTTTCTGTCCTCTGCACAGTTCACCTACCCACGTGCTGCCTGACAGCTGCCCTGCGTATTCTGTTTCTCTGCTTTGTTCCAGTGTGATCACACCTGCTCTCACTCATGTAACCAACGTTATCATTATTTATCGTTGCGTAAACTTCTGATCACTGTGATACTTGCAGTTATTGGTGACAGGAGAGCACTATTGTTCAGATTTTGCTCTGTTTTGGTGACTGTGAAATGACTAACAACTTTGAAAATGGCTAGCAAGCATCCCGCTGAGTGCCCCACCTCTGGGAAAGCCAAGGCTTCAAGGAAGACCATGGCTCTGGTGATGGAATTAGACATTGTTAAATGGCAGGAATGTCATTATTCATTTCATCTTTGCAAGCAGTAGTTCAAGCAATTCTAAGACACTTTTGTTCTATTGCATTTCCCTCGCAAACGACCTAAAAATTACCTAACCAAACCTCCTAATTGAGGGGCTCCACCCCCCTGGATCCCCCGGCATATATAAATCATTTGTGAAGGAAACATCATAGAAGAAAAGTCTCTTTGAATTATCAAACCATTGATTGCAAAGATAAAATTCCTAAGATTCCAGTGTCGTCCGAAAGTAAACTAATATCATTCAATTTACATTTGGGTTTCCAGGATACAGTTGCAACTCTGTCGTAAATCGGGGTACAGTACCTGACTGTATGTTACTTAAGTAATTGTACAGTTAAGTTAGCCGCAGGTGTTACCAGTATCTGGGTACTGTGTGGTAACTGGTCATGTACAGCATACAAAGGGTTAATGCTAGGAACTAAAACACCAATAAATAAGCATTTGGGGGATTTTGTTAAATGAATATACTGTAAAGTACTTGTACTTAACCTTCTCAGCCTCGCACAACTCCATTGTAGCATCGAACATAAAAAGCAAAAAAACTTGCGCTCAACCTCGCGAAGGCAACATCCAATGTGCTATATTTTCAAATAACTCAAAACTATTCAGTGAAACTGACTGATCTTTGGACGCCATTTGACAGACGCCGTTTTCTTTGTGTGGGCCTTATCACCTTCCCAGAGACGGTCTTGGTCATTGTGTGCGTGGCAGCGCAGCATGAAGCCAGTGTCGCCCTGGCATTAGAGAGAGAGGAGGGTGTGCCGCTTGGCCCTTTAATTATTCCATGGGTTTTTGTGTTGTATTATTTTTCCTTATACCACAATATTCTCCATGCTTTGTTCTTTATCTCGGTATATAGTAAATATCAATGAACACCATGATACAAGCAAAATGTGAATGGAAATCGAGATGTTACTAAACATATTCCTACCTTTTCAACTTACAGTATACTGTACTCAGAAAAAAAAATGCTTAAATTTCAAGAATTTTCACTTTTTTATGGTTTCATACAATTTCTCAGAATATTTTACACTAGAAAAGACCCCATTACAATTAATAGCACAATTACATGGCAGTGAAATGAGCCCCCCTCCCCCCCAAAAAAACGATTTTTTGGCAAAAACCTCAGAGGCTGAGCGTAAGTTTTCATGCACTTATGTGTCTCAGGCTCCGAGGTTGAGAGAGTTAATAAATCCATCATTGGACCCCAGAAGAAAAAATAATAAAAATTGAAAAAAAAAAGGCATTGATTCTTTAAGCTTGGATCAAGTAGGAATCAACTATTTTCATTTCTGCTAAAAGCAATTATAAATTACTGATGATTTTTGTCAGTTCACTAAAGCCCCAAAGTAGCATAGGGCACAGACTATTTCTTGCTCTTTCTAAAGTATTGTACTGTAAACCTAAAGTTAATTTGGGACCTTTTCCATTTGATGGCTAGCAGTGAATTTTAATGAATACAAGTACAGTATTGGTACACTAGTACAGTTTGTTACGCTGATTCCAAAAATAACTTTCAAATTTTGGAGAAATAAAGAACATAAGAGTTACTGCATATACTGTATAGGTTGTATTTATAGGCAGATACATTTCAAACAGATACCTGTAAACATTGATGACTGACCCGCGGCCGATTTTTCATAGAAAAAATAATAAAAATGCCGCAATTTCACCATGTTTTATAGTGGACACTCATAGTTTGTGCAAATGTGTTAAAACAGTGGTTATTTCTAAATTAAACCTGACCTAGTTGCCATGAAAAACAAGCAGCAGAAGCATTGTTAGAAGACCTCACCAACCTAACCAAACAAACCTACCTAACCTTACCGCACTTCCTAGCCCCACGGACCCCCTAATATATTAAACACAAAGAACTTACTCTGATATGGTGTAATTTTTTTTTTTTTGTGGACGTGAGAGCAGCCGTCCATACCGAACAATTCTTAAACATAAGTACACTGAGCTTTGGGGTTGATCAAGCCTGGGTGGCCGAGTGTTTTGAAATACGTCAATATGATTAGCCGGTTACATCCTGGGATGAGACATCACATTACCACTGAGAAGACAAAGTACATGTAGTGTGTGCCTAATTATCTACCAAACAAAGCATTTCCACAAGAAATGATTATCATATCAGAACTCAATTAGGAAAATAAGGTAAGAAAATAAACAGTAAAACAAATATGTAACTCGTCTGCGGGTCAGTCGTCAATACTAACCCAGATACCCTCGATAGCCATAATGTTACTGTATGCATTCCACATGTAACTTACAATGGTTGTGTTAGGTTAGGTATCTGTTTGAAATGTACAGTATCTGTCTATGCATTTATCTACCTATAAATGCAACTTAGTTATGCTGTATTTTTTTGTTTTTTATTTCTCCACAAAAATGAGTTATTTTTAGAATCTGCATAAAAAACTGTAATGATGTACCGATTTTCATTGAAATCAGCAGCTAGCCCATAAATGGAAAAGATCCTTATTTTGTTGCATATCCAACATTGGACCTATTAACTGAATGTAGAATCAAGCAAAAAATGCTCTATAAATGATATCCAGATGAACTGGCAGTTTACTGGCACCCAAATTTGATAACATTTACCAAAAAATGTAGTGATGTAAAACAGATGAGAGCTGTTGATTATTTATGAATATTAAAAGGTCTGCCCGTGCACGAATTAACTCCCTTAAAACTCTTACCACTCTTATCAACATAAATATTTAGCAAATTATGAATGCTATCTACGAGCCCTGACGAAAATATAAACAATTAAGTTCATACGAAACGTAACCACGATACAGTACATGTATTGGGTTTGCCTTGCCTTAAGCATTACATGTTAAAAAGAACATATGAAAATACTCACAATTTTGGGTAAACTCTTGCAGTAGGACAAAAAATCCATATTTGAGCTCTGTGAACAATACATACAACTTTGTGCCTAAACACAAAACACATGTTGATTCTGTGTTGCCAGCAAGGAAAGTATATAGGAGGAAGCGCGTCTCCCGTACTTTACTTTGAGACCTCCGATTAGCCCGCCATCTAGTGGCCAAGCGTTTTGAACACAGGTTTTTAGGGGTATACTATAATATATATATATATATATATATATATATATATATATATATATATATATATATATATATATATATATATATATATATATATATATATATATATATATATATATATCGATAAAATCACACGGGAAAAGGGAAACAACGGAGCACCTTAGCTTTCGTCTTTATTCAAGACATCTTCAGAGGCAACTGGATTACATGGACAGAGAGAGGCTTAAATATACAGGGTGACCTTAAAAACATGAATTGTTTCCTTTTCCCGTGTGATTTTATCAAGATTTATCTTATCCACGTTTTCATTGTGGATCTACATGAAATATATATATATATATATATATATATATATATATATATATATATATATATATATATATATATATATATATATATATATATATATTATTTATTTTTTATTTTTTTTTTATTGGGCACTCCCCTACATCCTTGTGTAAGGTGAAGTGCAGAAGCGTTTACAGCGCCCAAAAGGGAAGCATGCTAAGTTCATGCTTGCCTTTATGTCTCATGAGTTAAGGGCGTAGAAGCCCGAAGAGTCAGTGGTTTATGTCACCAAGTTATTGGAAGCTCCAACAACTCCCTGAATACGAATTCGCAACTTTCGACTTATAACAGGTACCCACTTTACTGCTAGGTGAACAGCGACTAATGGGGGCTAGGAAGTTAGTCCAAACAACTTCCACCAGCCTGGAAATCGAACCCGTGACATCTCGCTTGCGAGGCAAGAACGGTACCGCTTCTACCACCGGTCCCCCAGTTATTATTTATTATTGTATTTTCACCTAGGCCCTGATGTGGGTCAGTGACCTATGCCCGCCGCCCGGGTGGGCTAATCCCCGTAAACAAAAAAAAAGAAAAAATGTTAAAATATTCACAAGATATATTAAAGAATGTTACAACATTACTTTTTTGCCTTTAATCTAGGTTCCATATGAATATATGGGTATTGGTGGTACAGCGGTATCGCGCACAACTCACCAATATGTCAAGGGCTCGAGCCTCAGCCCGGACACACGTGGGAAGTGTGTTATCCAGTGTGACCCTACCAAACAACACAGGTTTCCCAGTTTCCTCCTGTACTAACACTGGGTAGAGCGCCCAAACGGCTAGTAAGCTGAAAAGTGACGAATATGATACAAAAAAAGTATACAGCAAACACCTGAAAGACCGTATTGAATTTGTTAATTTTTACGCTTTTGTTTTAATGATGATACTGAATAATGAATGTGACGAGATAAATGTGTGCCATTAACTTTACCAAACCGTACTTAACCTAACGAAAACTAACCTCGATTTACTTAACCAACCTAGCCTAACCAGATCAGTGGTGAAGAGGATAAAAGTAAGTAAAAGTATTACCAAATGCAGTATGAAAATGAAATTGTCAGAAACAAATAGGAAAATGTTACAGCGATTTTAATTGCGTTCAAAGTTTGTGTTGGGTTTGTTTAATTTTTTCACAGGTTAGTTAGCTTAAGTAAAAAACGATAGGTTTGGTAGGTTAGATAAGGTTGTCAGGCTTTAATAGATTCTGTGTATTGTCATAACATTTTCTTACTTAATATTATCCAAACAAGTTCTGAAAATTTGGCACAATTCCATAAAGTCCTTCTGGTCCCAACCGTCTCCTATAACATTAACATTACCATATGGAGTGCTTTTGAAAATGATCCTTGGTTCATACTCACATCTCTGCTTGCTTTTCTTGCCCTTTGAGAAGTAATGAAACTTCAGGTCTTTATTGCTTTTTTTATTTCTGCCGCACACAATACACCGGTAACCTTACAACCCTTTCCTTCTCGCCACGTTTGTGTCACTGTTGACTGTCATGTCTCTCACCATGCCCAGCGCCAAGTCAAAACAAAGAATTGATACAACTTTTCCCGCCACTTAATGAGTGCTATCTAGTGGCCAGGCGCGTTTACTACGGGATTTCCATTACGTAGCTTTAAGAAGCGCTTCTTCTTTATACTCTCCTTGGCCCAGCTTGTCTCGCAGTGTGCCAGACTACCTACAGACAGCGTATTTATGGGAACATAATTTCTGGAGGCACGATAGAATTTCTGGATATTTTTTAATTCCCAATTCTATAAGAATATTGTATGATTGACAGTTATTAAATGTATATGTGATCTAAGAGATGCTACAACTCCCCAAAGTGCTGCTATAAGTAGTGAAAAGGAAAAATATATATTATTTACCAGACTGACCAATGTTATGAATATATCACGAACAAGATCTTTTTACTGTGCTTAGTTTTGACACCCGGGGTGTCTTATCTTCAGCAAATATTTATGAACTTATATTTACTACCTAATCCCACTGGGATAATAATTCATTTAAGTCACACACTACATTTGGTTGGTGCTGAAGCCACGTATCCTGTCACGCTTCTTAACTGTGGCTTGAGCTTTAACTTTTCCGTAAATTATATAGTCCTTATTTGTGGAATCATATTTGGAAGTAATTCACCCAAACTTGACTGAATATTTGTTTGTTGTATATTTTTGTTTGTTAGCACTTATTTGGTAAATACTGTGTTCGTTCGTATGTGTGGAGATAACCTCGAAGGAAGGGATGTATCAAAACATTGATCGCCATTACTAAGTACTAACTCCTTCCTCCCTCCGTCGACCAGCAAAAGAAGCTCGGTAAGACGTCTTGCAAGTTTGACACAGTACTTTTTGTATATTCATTCATGGGATAAGCTTTTAATTCTGTCGTGCTAGCCATGGGATTAATGTTAAGATCAAACATCACTTAATTACAGTCTTGGAGGTGATTTGTTTCACCACAAATAATTTGACTTACCAAAATATATTTATAGTCTAGTATCAATTTAATGTTGTGCCAGGTCCAACATATTCAGGTCATCTGAAACTGAAGCATGAAGCTATTTTCATTATTGGTTAGGAATTGATTATAAGTAGTAACTGAAATTCCGATTTCTGTACTAGAATTGTCCAGGACAGAGTTGTGACCTGTTTGTGGTATGACAGCTGTAGTATTGTGTAATTCTTTATAACAGGGAAAACATTCCAACCAAACATATTTTAAATTTTGATCTCTTGTGCTTCTAAACTACCATCTTTAGGACATTTTATGGTACATGTACTTTTATCTTCTTTACCACTGATTGGCTTGTTAGCCACTTGGGCGGTCGATCACATTTCTGTTATGCACTGTTGGTAAGTACGGTCAATTTAAAGCAGTGCACCGTTCTTTCGGTCTTTTTATATTTGTGCACCATTCTATCTCTCGGTGTTAGAAATATGTTTTTCCGAATGTTTAGACAATCTAAGACTTTTTCGTCTATGATATTTCTAATACCAAAAGAAATATAACCTAACTTAACCTACCCCTTTTTCTGTTTAAAAAAAAACATAGAAAATCACCAAAAACCAACCAAACCTAACCTTAATTTCAGACGAAAATATCATGGAAGAAAAATGTCTCAGAATTGTCTAAACAATCGGAAAAAAAAATGTCTAACACCGAGAGTTAGAAAGGTGCACCATTGTAAAAAGACTGTAAGTACTGTGCATGTACTGGCTCATGAATGTATCTGTACCTGTGCTGTCACAACACTCTCTGGCAGATTATTTTATCACTCCAAAAAGTTTGCCTTCACAATTTTCTGGACTTTTGGGTTATTCAACTTTGAGCTGTGAACCCTTGTGGGGCGGGCATCCGCCATCTCCAGGTATGGACACTCAACTGAGTAGTGCCCTCTGAGATGTTTATAAACTTCAATTAAATCAACCCTTGCCTGCATATAGTATAAGCTAGGCAGTTGTAGGTGTTCTAATCTCTGGGTAACTGAGAGGCCATAGTGCAGCAACCATTCTGGTGGCCTTCCTTTAGACCTTTTCAATCAACTGACAGTCTCTAACATATCTCGGGGACCAGACGAGGTGACAGTACTCCAATCCTGGGAAGCACCTCACTCTTGAAAAGCGTTACGAGGAACAGACCGTATAGATATCTGAGTGACCTTCTTATAAGCGGTCCGACTAATTACCCAAATGTACCCAAATATAGCCGCAATGAAGTCAAATAATGGTCCTACATGAATAAATCGGACTGCTAATCACTTCTCGACTAGTATTTGGTGTCAGAAAGTCACAAAAAATTGGAAAACTTACTTTAATCCGAGTTAATAGATCGCGTGCATGTACCGAGGGAGCGAGGAATTACCCAAATGTAGCCAAATGTAGCCGCAATGAAGTCAAATGATGGTCGTACAAGCGTAATTCGGGCTGTGAATCACTTCTCGATTATTATTTGGTGCCATAAAGTTAAAAAAAATTGGTAAACTTAATTTAATCTGAGTTGTGTTAGGTTAGATTAGGTACATGCACTTGATCTATTAACTCAGATTAAATTAAGTTTACCAATTTTTTGTGACTTCGTGACACCAAATACTAGTCGAGAAGTGATTGGCAGTCCGATTTATTCATCTAGGACCACTATTTGACTTCATTGCGACTACATTTCGGTACATTTGGGTAATTCCTCGCTCCCTCGGTACATGCACGCGATCTATTAACTCGGATTAAAGTAAGTTTCCCAATTTTTTTTGACTTTCTGATACCAAATACTAGTCGAGAAGTGATTGGCAGTCCGATTTATTCATGTAGGACCATTATTTGACTTCATTGCGGCTATATTTGGGTACATTTGGGTAATTAGTCGGACCCTCTTATAAGACCTACTAGCTTAGTTGCTTGATCTGCCTTCTCACAATGGCCCGAGAAGTTCAGTTTGCTGTCAACATACACACCCAGGTCCTTTTCACATGCGGTCTCTCTTAATGCTGTTCCCAGTTAGCATGATGTAGGGCTAACTGTGCAAGTTTACTAAATATGCTACAGTACGGTACTGTATTGTTTAAAATTTACCAATGGCTCTTGTTTTAAGAAATTTAATTATTTTGCAGATTATTTTATTCTTTATGGTCTCAACTGATTTTTTAATATTTTTAGGCTGCTCAATTAAAAGTCCAATGAGTGGGACTCTCCTTCGGGTCTTGCCGGTCATAGCTCGCAACCGCGGGCTTGCCAGCAGCTATGTCGCAAAAAGGTTGGGAATACTTATGGGGAACACTTCTGTGAACTTGGGACTGGAGACTCAGAAAGTGGCAAGACTGTATAGCATTCAGAGAACATCTGTAGTTGCTGCTTGTTCAGCTAAAAGAAACAATGAGTAAGTATATGCCTAAGTCAGGCGATGAGGTTTGGAAGAGAATAAATTGCATAGATGAAGTACTGATATGTTAAAAGGATGGTGGAAGTGAATGCAAGAGGTAAAAGTTTTGTTTAACAAAGTTGGCAGTTATTGTAGAAAAGGACAGTGTGTAATGAATGATAGAGTGAGAAAGATGTTGCAGAGATAGATTGATTAGTTAAAGGAACAGGTCATTATACTGTACTGTACAGTGTATCAGGAATTACAAAAGACTGTTCAATGAAAGCAAATTGTGTTTCCAAGTGGAAGAGCATATGAAGATCATAAGCACGTCAACATTGTCAGGAAAGTAGGTACTGTACAGTATTTATGAAACATTCTAAAGCAACTTTTCTTTTGTATTCAGTTTTTTAGCACAGTTTGAGGTTGAAGGATTAAATTTAGTTTAAGCTGGTGTTGAGTACAGCTGTTCCAAAATTTAGATGGGAATGACTTTATTAGATAAGAATTCATAATCTTGGAAACTTTTACAAAATTAAAAAAGATTCAGCAATACATAGCTTATGTAGTGAGTGCTTGAAATATACTGTATTATACTGTACAGAATAGTATATTGGTTTTATAAAGATGGGAAGGTAACTTATTAGGCTAACCATTCTTTGTGTTACAGGCAGTTTCTGGCAGTTCCTGGTTGTGCAAATATACAAAAATGCCACTACAAAAACTTTGGGCATCAAAAAGTGGAGATTTCTAGAAGCAAGAAATTATTTTACTATTTAATTGGGATAATGTTTATTGTTACTACAATCAATTGGGACTGGTAAGTGTCATGCCATTTATTTTTATTAATTAGTTTTGTATTATAGACCTTTGCTTGAGAATGAGTTGATACAGTGCCATACTCAAATTTAGACCAAAATTAAATGGATGATGAGAGGTTTAAATAGTTTTGCTAAAGAATGAAAGTTCTAGTAGTAAATTGCTGGTCACAGAAAAATAAGTTGACCTACCAGTATATTGTATAGGTAAACTGAATAAGGAGTATAGGTCTAGGTATATCTGCTTAAAAATACCCCGGTAAGTATTTCTTGTGGGTAGGCAGCAATTTGTATGCTCTCGGAACATCTCTATTTTTCTCATAAGAAATTAAGTTCAATAGGAAATACTATGATAAAAGATTGAAAACCTGTGGATCCTTACTTTATACTTTATCAATGGTTAACTTTACTTTATTTTAGGTTACCTTAGATTAGGTCAGGTCACATCACATTAAGTTCAGATATGCTCAAATAAGTGAAACTTAGTGTCAGTAGATTCAGTTTTCATTGCATAGCTATAAACAGTTAGGTACAAATGTAATAATTTTAGTATACAGGTATTTGAGTTAGGTTAGGTCTGGCTATGTAAGGTTACCTTAGGTTAGGTTACATTATGTGTGGGTATGTGGAAAAGATTAAACATACACTGTAGTAGAGATATCCTTGGCTTTGTGTCCTTTATTCCCTCTTTCTTTTTCTTAGCTTCATGTCTGCTGTTACTCTGAGTGTTTTTCATAATTTATGGTTTGTTGAGGTGGAGTGTGAATTAATATTTTTATTATACATCTATTTGTTTACATTACAGGCTTCACAGTTTTCATCCGCCCTTTACCATACCAAAAAAAGATCACAGTTGGTTGGCCTTAGCCTAGAATAGTTACTTTAATGATTTTTCATTCATCCTGTCTTAGGAGGGGGAGATGCCAATTACACTATATGTGTCTGTAATCATGAACTTTCTCTGTACAGTAATCAAAAGTTGCTTGTATGTAATCACGACCATGTTGAATCACTTTATCCAATTCATGTAATTGTCCATGGCTTATGATCATATGCCAAGGTAGCTCTTTTCTGATTAGTTGTGTCAAAGTTATGGTCTTGTTTGTTGAGCTACAGCTTGTGGGATATGTCATAACTTGATAATATGATTTTCAGGGTTAAAAAATACTGGACTGTAGATGCTGCTAGTGTGACTGAGGCTGATAGACCCAAGGAGGAGGAGGAGGAAGCTGTTGAAGAAGACAGCTCCTTGGATTCTTCATCAGAAGAGACTGAAGCAGAAGAGGATGCCAGTGATAAGAAGAAGAAGAAGAATGTGGGTTTCAGGGATAGAAAGGTGAGAAATTTCTTTTCAAGAAATATTTTTGTCAGTCTTGAAATTAGTTATAATTTAATCAAACAGTTCGGACAGTTTAACAATGAAACACATCTTTTTTTTATTTTTTTAAATAAATTTTAGTATTTTGTTTATTGTTGAAAATTTGTGGTCTGTCAATTGAAAGATTAAGGTATTGCCTTACCCAGCTGAATAGTTCACTGTGTATACAGGGTGTATCCCAAAAAATAATGCACGCTACATTACAGATTTACATGCACATCATATAAATGCATGTGTTACAACAACAGTACAGTATTGTATTGTCCTAACTTGTGGGAGAGCCTGCACATTAACTAGTGAGGACAATATTGCTGTTGCAATATAAGCATTGATGTGATCTGCAAGTAAATCTGGAGTGTGTTTTACTTTTATAAGGCACCCTGTATTGTATGTTCCCATCCTCAGTATTTTAAGAAGTTTTTATGTCTACTGTACATGTGTCCAAGCCAGCATAACCATAAATTGCAGATTATTGAGTATGAGAACCGCATTCGACAATATTCAACCCCAGACAAGATTTTTCGGTACTTTGCAACCCTGAAGGTATATGGTGATCATGGGGATCACGAGATATTTATGACCCCTGATGATTTCTTGCGCTGTATAACTCCGGGTATCAAGCAGCCCGAGGGTAAGACGCTCTTGTTACTCGCAACAGCAGAGGGCAGGACCAACTTTTTTCCCACCATATATATTATAGACACTTAAATATAAATCTGATTCAATAACAACTCAGGTGTAAGTTGAGGTAGTTGCAATATTATTTATTTATAATACAGTACTGTACTACAGTACTTACAGATTCCTCAACCATTCAGTGTTGTTATAGAATTAGATCTTTCTTCTCTCACTTCTGCTTTCACTGTTATAATTAAATTCATAAGAAATGAAAGTGATTAGACTCAGTATTGAAAAATATTCACTTCTTTATTTTTTAATGCACTGTGTTGAAGTAAATATGTAGCTTTTTTTTTAATGGACACATTGTGTTTAGCTTTTATACTCAGTATTTGTTTCTTCGATTTTTTATTCATTTTACATGATCAAATTTTTGGATAACAGACAGTGGAATAATAAAGGTCTTTTATTATATATATACCTCTATATATATATATATATATATATATATATATATATATATATATATATATTATATATATATATATATATATATATATATATATATATATATATATATATATATATATATATATATATATATATATATATATATATATATATATATATATATATATATATATATATATATGCTAACATGAATTCCTGTCCATAGTTTGATGATTGGTTTGTAATCTGAATAGTCCATGAAAATTTCTAGCGCTTTATACAGACATATAATTTGCATGACAAACTTTGGAGTCTCTGATTTATAATCAGTGAAGTGGACCAAATTTTGAAGATCTAAACAAAATTTGTTATGGAATTTTTCTCTTGTTTTATCCACCTTTGACCAGTGGAACTGGGCAATATTTTATCTAGACTGTGCCACCTTTGTCCATCATTTACTATTAGATTTACTAAATTTAATTACTGGGTATACAATACCTTGGAAATAATGTAAAAAAGTAAGTTGAGATGTTGCACAAGATAAAACCAGAAGGTTTTTACTACCTTTGTGCTGAATATTTTTCTCATAACCTGATGATCATCCATGTAAGCTGAAGTCTTAAATTAAGAAACTTTTGCTGAAAGTTTAAATGGCCCATCTGAATTAATTGTATGTTTTGCAGGTTTCAATTCTGTATACAGTAATGATCATCATGAAATAGATTTATAAGCTGCTGGGTATGTTTGCCTTGAGAGAAGTAAAAAGGTCTTATTTTCATTAGTTTGTTGAGTAAATTCAGTTGATGTCATAAAACCTATTTAACTAAAGGTGAATATGGAAATAAACTTTTTAATTAATTGAGTCTGAACACTTTGTGTTTATGAATTTAAGAAATTCCCTGGATGTAGATATGCATTAAGAGGAGAATGAGCATCTTAAATACAATGATTGCTGTGCAGTGTATATACGTAGCAGGTTATTTGGGTGTCTCTCCCATGTGTTTTAACAGTGGAACTCTGTCTTGTATAGTATTTGTAAATTAAGTAGTATTGTTTGGGAGAAGTATCATTGTCTATGATTAAAGATAATACTGTATACATGTACTACAGTATTATGCCACACTTCTGCATTATGATGCCCTGCATACAGTGCATTATTTGTTCATAACTGGGTTCCACTGTCAAAGGAAATATTGCCTTACTAAAGGGGAAATGCCACAGAATTATATACAGTATTGCAATGCAAAGATGCTGGTAACTTGTTGGCTGAGAATGATTTACTAATGATTTATAAGCTTTCATTGGATAATCATGTTTACTGGTGTACAGCAATATTTATGTGAGGAAACTCTATGTAGTTAACTGTTAATTATTAAAATAGAATTCTTATCAGTATTACTTACATTATGGTGCTGGTTGCTTTCATTCTTTAATCATATTAATATTGGTCTCCAAGTGAACTCTTGATTATTAAGTTTTTGTATGTGTTATTAAAGTTAACTTAAATTGATGAATATTAGTGTTAGTTTTTTGCCTTCACATCTATTTCAAGTTCTTCCAATAAATTTAAATGATTAGTTACCTGCAGTATTTGTGATAGTGATTCAAGCTGAAACATTTAGGATCGTCATTAATTTCACACTTTCAATATCGAATAACTTCATTTTGCATATAGTAGCGATGCTGTCTGATCATCAATGACAAATTTGGTTTCTCCCTGACAAGTTTCTATAGAGACAGAGATAATGGGTTGATTTCAGTTTTGGTGTGAAATTGTTTTGTGACCGGTTATTGCTTAGGGATGTTGGGTACACTACTTAATAAGTTTCCATAGACTTGATGGGTTTATTTTAATTATAATGGTAAGCATATCAGAGTAATTATGGGAAAAGAGACTTAAAAAAGCCTAAAATTGGAAAATTGAGCCAGGTTAATTAACAACATTACCCTTTGATCTGTGAACTGAAAAACTGAAGATAAGAAAATTCCTTAACTTGGCCATTTTCAGGGGTCTTTTCCTTCTAAAATCAGACAGTTGAGATATGGTTTGTTTCAATTTGATGAACCAGGTTTAGGCAGTAGCCTGTGAACTGTTGTCCAGCCAACATGTTAGGTGAGGAAGTTTTTTTCTCAATTGACTCCTACATTACCCTTGCACCACATCCCTCCTAGGTTTGTCTTTAGGACTGTAGGGTGGGCATCATTTGTCTGCTACTCACAGTTATGACAAAAAAATCAGTAATCCAGGAATATTTCTTGCTAAAATTTGCATTACTGTACAAAGGGTTTGATTTTTAGTACTGTATCCCATTATAAGTGAAACATTGTTGTATTAAAGACCAAAGTACATTTCACTGATCATTAATCAAACAATTCTACCAGTTAGATGTTGTGTGTAATCATGTACACATGAAAAATAGACAGCAAAGATTTTCTAAAGTAAACAGTTATTAAACTAGATTACAATAATTAGGAGGAAGATGGGTCATTATTTTCAGAATTGAAAATTTTTCCAGGGAATGATTTTTGCAGCCCATTTAAATATACGTGGCATCACCTAAAGCAGGGGTGTAAGTGTTAATTTGAAGCTTTAAGATATCAAAAATTTTCAGGGATTTGTAGCCCTGTGAGGACTTGGGGGAACTACAGGTATATTAAAGCCAAGCTCTCACAGGCTTTTCACGTAAGCTATGGGTATAAGATGTATACCAATCGATGGAAAATTTAAAATGAAAATGGGGAAACCCTTGTCTCAAATTCACACATTTGACGCTTATGCCCATTTCAGGTGATGCCTCATATATTTATGACTGAGCATTTACAATACCATGTTGTATATATTGTACTGTATGTTCCATTTATAAAAAACAAAACAAAAAAGCATTGACATTCTAAAACCTAGAAGTAATATGAGTTAAGTTGATCAACTACACCCTAAATGCTGAGGTGGCTACTTCAGTTTGTTATCAATGATTGTATGCTTATGCATTCTTGCCTTGCATTACCACCACTGGCATTTGCACCCAACATAATGATGAAATCAGGAGTACTCTACAAAAAAGTGTCACAGTACTGTACTTAATTACTAGAAAATAGTGTGCAATACAACAGACAATAAAGGACTAACTCGCGTGTGGCATTCCTCAGGATGAGCCGCCTCCCACATGAACATGTGATGTTATGTATGGTGGCCTGGTAAACTAGATCAATATTTGTTCTAATCTGTAACATTCTAGTGTCTTCCACTTACTATGGGTAATGTCTGAATGTATCATGTAGCATCACTATGATATCAAATAGATTGGAAGGATTTTTGATGTGTCAAAATACTGTACAGTACAGTACTAAAGAATTTTTAATTTTCCTCAAAAAAGTTTGGATGGATCAGATAGGATCTGGTTTAGTAAAATCTGGTTTAAAGGAGGTTTACTTTATTTCTTTATATGATTTTATCACAATACCTTGGCATTTCACCTTTGGCTTACTTTAAACCATGGGATAGACAACACCTTATCATATTCATTAGAAAAGTCTATTCTTGTTTAGAGTAGATTGGCACATAGAATCTCCCAGACATTTTATTTATTCTATGAATATCTGCAGCCTGAGTTTGAATTGTTGTTCCCTTTCAAGTACTGTACTGTAATTTTATCTCTGTTGAAGATATGTTTGGAAAATGAAAATCAGTTTTGTGCTTTACAAGAATGCAAATGCTTCCTACATTATGTGGAATGGCCCCAGCAAGCTTAAATGATTAATATTATTGTCCATGTATGTTTCCTCTTATTTTCAGTTTATTCTTTCACTTCATGACCTGATATCTGTCTTAAGTAACCTGTGTAAATGTCCCATCTAGAGTATGGTTTCAAATCCTAGGGAAATTATAGATAGCGATGGCTGTTGAAAGCAAAAGTTACCACTTGAGGTCAAAGGCTAATGAGCTTGGATATGACATCAGTACTACATACTGGTACTTAACAGCACTGACACTTTAATCCAACTGTTTGGATTAAATGTGGGTCTACTGACATCATTTCTATATAGAGAGTTAAATGTCTTGATATTATATTATTTGGGGAGGTTTTTATGGAGAGCTACAGTACACTGTTTATAGAGTTTTGATCATGGTAGGGTGTGCCCCATTGTATAACTATGTCTGGACTGAAGAATTTGGCCCCTCCCTCCTTCCAGTGGATCACAGTGAAGTTAGCTAGTTTGAGAGGTTGGTCTTGTGATCACTGTTTATGTCTGAAGTCTTAAGGAACTAGTGGATCGCACACAGCTAATGTGACATCATGGCTAATTAGCCTTCAGCCTTGAGTAGTAATTTTTGCTTTCAAGACTCCTTGGTTGCAATGGGAAGATTAATTATTTATTGAAATACCCTGAGCCATATGTGTCCAAAGTTTCACTATGTTTTGCTATTGTAGATTGAATGGGATATTGTACCAGTTATTTAGTCTGGATTTTGTCATAGAATGGGATTTCAGAATCAAAACTATATTTACCATATTTTTTTAATACACACTTGTAATACTCTGAATAGACTCAACTTATGAGATTCTGGTTTGTGTGTGTGTTGAAACAAACAGGCATTATTCATGTGGTGTGTGTGAACCTAAGACTAGGTTTCCATGGCACATCTGATAGGTGGTGTTGTACACGTGTTCCATGACTCACGTGATAGAACTCTGGACTCCTTCCCATAACACATGGGTTCAGTTCTTTGGCCAAGCTAGGATGGTGGGATGCTATTCTACTGTGGTGTGTTGAGCTGAGCTGCATCACCATGTCACTGCTTTAGGCTAACCCAACCTCTCTCACCTAGAGGTTGGCATTGCGTTATATTATAGGGAATGTTAAAAAGGCTACTATGTTATGCCAATAGTATAGCTCCACAACAATATGGTAACCTTCTACTTGTAAGATCTTTCTCTGGTATTGTTTTCATTATCCAGCCCATTGAACCTTTGAAATAGTGAACATTTATTAATTATTATAGTTATATCTAGTAAGATATTGTGGCCATTCAACTTATTGGAAGCATTTGCTGTGTGTTTACCTTCTCCTTTCAGTTTCCATTATGTAGTTAGTTGCTGCATCGATGTACTGTACTTGTATTGGAGTTTTTTTTTTTTTATACATTTTTATGGTTCATTGTTTAAGTTTTTATCGTGTGTAAGACTTTTTTATCTACGATTTTGTTTGATGTGCATGGTCCTTTGAGATGCAGCATGTACAGTACCCATGTCTTTTCGGCATTGTAGAGAGTAATTTTTTTATTATTTTTTTTAGTTTTTTAGAAGCCGTTTCTTTTCTTCTGCCGTAGATCATAGAGTACGAGAATCGAATTCGGGCATATTCAACCCCGGATAAAATTTTCCGCTACTTTGCTACCTGCAAGTTAATACAAAGGACTGCTAGTGGAGTTGACAGGACTGAGATTTTCATGACTCCAGATGATTTTCTGCGAGCGCTGACTCCGGGAATGCAACAACCTCAGGGTAGGAGTTGAGAAGAAATCCATACTGAAAATATATCAAGGAAATCATTTGTTGAATAAGTGACTAAATATTCTTATAATTTATGTTATTTAATGTAAATTTGTAAGTAATTTGAAATAGCTTCAATTTCAAGTTTTGAATATTAAAAGTTGAAAACATTTAACTTAAAAAAAAATATATCTTTTTTGTGCTATTTATCTAGATATTGTTAAAAAAATTTGAACTAAGAGTGGCTTATAGTATTGTTTTCATTACATTATCTGTGTCTTCAGAAGTTTGTTAACTAAAAATAACTAAACCTATGCAGTATTACAAGTATCAGTGCTTTGCAGTCCAGTGATTATCCATTGCTTTTAGAGTAACAATAATGTACACTGTAGTAGGTAATAAGCAGCATTGTAATTGACAGTGGTTTGCAGTCTGTCAGTTATTGTTTATTTTTGTGCTCTTGTCATGCCTAACTACAACATTTGCCTTGCTCATCTTTATACAAGAAGGTTGAAGATGTGTTTTCTTTTGAAAATACTGAGAAAAGACAGATATATTGTCTGTGAGCACAGAGAAGAGGAGGTTACTGGGAAGGTTTCAGTACCGGGTATACTGTATGCTCTCCGCCCATTTGCTTCAACTTTAGCTAGGATTTGGATGAATTGATCTCCTCATTTAAGCAGTATGAAAATGCAGGTTACACTTTCTATGAAATTTTTTTTTTTAAACATATTTGAAGTGTTTGTCCTTTGTGGCTTTTTAAAGAGTTTTTAATCTATAGCTATCAAACTTTGCTGTCACTACACCATGTGGCTTTTCCTCTAATAGAATTTGCAGTCTATATTTGGTATTTGAAATACTGTCAATAACTGTCATCAAACTTATATTAGAAAAGGAATTTCTTTAAACCAGTACAGTTTTTGATGCCTACTGACAATGGAAACTGTAATTTGTTATTAAGTGTCCTTTGAATGTGCATTTGATTTTCCAGTTTGAGTGCCAAGTTATTCTGAATTCCTGCAAATAATCTGCTGTCAGTTTTAATAAGAAATTATCAATCAATCAGAGTATTTGATAGCTCTTTCCTTGGGTCATGTTCATATTCTTCACTAAAGGAGATTTCTTGAGATTTTATCTTAAAATGTTGATTGTGATGATGATAAGTCAAGTTTAATTAAAAGAGCAAAAAATTCTCAATTAGTCTCCACCCAAACTATACAGGGTATTTTTTTTAGAACCCTAAAAGATTACTATATGTAAGGACATACAATAAGCAGGAACTAAGAATCACTAGAAATAGAGTCTGACCATATCATTGCAAATGCAATGATCAAACTTCATTCCTCAAATTAAAAAAAATTACACTGTATTTAAAGTGACCATGCCCTTAACTAGAGCATTGTAAAAAAATTAGATATATTAGCTTGGTGATTTTATAATGTTAGAAACACCCACAATCCTGACCAATTTCCTCTTGGCTCTTGCTTAAACAGACTGCAGTATATTTTTTTATTTTCTTCATTTCAAAATGAGGACATGTCTCCAGCCTGCCTGTAGGGGATATGTTTGATGGATGTTGTAATTAGGACACACCATGAGGGGAAATGGCTGTTTCATGCTTCAAGATGGTTTTTTGCTGTGTTTAACAGAGTTTGCTTAATAGATTCTGCTATTTTACCATAAACTGTGTAAAAGAAAGAGTTAACTATTTATTTGTCACTTTCATAAGTATAGCTTCTAATAGCTTTGGAAGGTGTATTGAATTTATTTATTTATTTATTTTTTTTTTTTTTTGCTGTTATGATGATTCTTAACTACCAAGATAAATACTGTACTCTTACCAGTATTCATCTACTGTATATGGATCCAGAAACCAAAGTTCAAGCACCAGCATTTGGAATTAGAGTTTCTGGAAAAAAAAATCATTTGATGACTGACAGTGTGGATGCTAGTTAGTTAAGAGTACACTGAAAATGTGTTTAGAATACAGTGTCCCCCACAAATTTCAGAGGTTCATTGTGAAAATATATTGAAATAGAATGAATCATAAATGTGCACAGTTAATTTCTGATGGGAAATAGTGGATTAGGTTTGGGTAACTCGGAAATACAGTTGACCCTTGTTAATTCGGACCCCTTTAATCCGGATTTCGGATAAATCGGACGAAATCTGAACTGTCCATATCAAATTTCTGGTTCTGGGATTGTCCCAGTTGTCCCTGGTGCACTCTAAGATTAAGAGAAAACGGACGACTCAGGCGTCCTGAAGTGAGAGAAAACGGACTCCTATGACGGGGCACTCAAATAAAGAGACATGGCTACATGTTTTGTGAACTACCCACTGTACAGTATCCTTTTCATCACTTTGTAATAAACCTTGTCATGCCTATGTGTTTCTGATAATTACCATAACATTATATATTTATATATTTAGCAGTTGTACAAACACAAGGCCTCACACATGCCATTCAGACTGACAGACTTGACAAATTTTATCAACCATAAAGACGGTTGAAGCATTAAACATCACTCACAATGGATCTTGAATATTCCAACTGTAATCAGACATACCTAAGTTGACTCAATAATTGCAACCCCAGTTTCGATATAAAATTCTGTGTCACTACTAAGAAATAACAGTCTCTGGCGCACTCTAAGATTAAGAGAAAACGGACGACTCAGGCGTCCTGAAGTGAGAGAAAACGGACTCCTATGACGGGGCACTCAAATAAACATACACATAGCTGTATAATGCAATATTATGCAATATTAACCCCTAAATCGGTTAATTCGGACAATCGGCTAAAACAGACACCCTTCCCCCCTATTAGTCCGTTTTAACGAGGGTCGACTGTATGTACAGTTCACTTGCCCTAATTATAGTACAGTACAGTACAGTACAATGTACAATCTTTTGCAAACTCCAGTAACACTATAGAGCCAGGCAGTGGCTTGTTGATGTCAATGGTCTTGTCAAGATGGTTAACATTCTAACCATTTTCTGGATATTCATGTGGAAAAGTTTCGTATGCCACCTTCTATTCAGGCCTGGTGAGATATCTGCTTGACATGTTTGACCAGGAGACAGCATTTTGCAAAATAAGATGTTGGATGATAAGTACTGTACAGTGCTATACGTAAACAGTGTGATGGGGGTAGAAATATGCCTCTATAAATTCAAGCATTATTTGATGCATTAAAGTTGATTCATCTTCCAATTTAAGTAAACATTTTGTGAGGCCATCATAAATTAATGAAATTAGGCCTTGAAGGTTTGTGAAAAGTAAATGTGAGATGTACATATTTGTGGGGGAGCCACTGTATTGGAGACACCTTTCTGAGATTTTCTCAATGGCAGCTTTAATGTATTTATTATTAAGTTTTGTGAAGTTTATAAACTTTTATTCCTTCTACATATTACAGTACGATACCTGTACTGACTTTTCCAGTTTCCTATATTGTTGTTTTGTGGTGCTGTAATGAATATATGGCACACATTACTATCTATTCTCTAGTAAATTTCTAATTGTTGAAGAGATAATTAGCATGCTATGTAGTATTCTACACTTTCACCAAAGAAACTCTTGTATAACATCTTACGAGCTTACTAAGTACTATGGTAGACAAATTAATCCAGGAATCTAAGATTCATATATTGCAATACAGAGGGTAGGAGTACTCTTATGATTAATATATACTTACAGTATATTTAGTGAGTAGCATATCTTTAACCCATTGAGAGGCAGGGGGTTTCTCTCAGTTAAATAAAATTGTCTGGCATTAGCCAGAATACATTACCTAAGCGCTACTTTGTGCTGAATAAAATCGTCTGGAGTTAGCCATATAGAATATTAAAAGTGGCATCCCCTAAGTGAAGGGGTTAATAGGTTGGCGTTGTCATTCGTCTTGTAATTGTTTTGTACCATATTGATTAGAGTACAGTGAAGAGATACAGTACTGGACTGGACCCCTAAAGATGAATGAAAAATGATCAGCTGAGTACAGTATTAGGAGGAGATCAAGGATAGATTACTTGTGAGAAAAAAATGTGGGTACATATTTTATGTAATAATTACAGTGATAAAGAATGATAAGTGTAACATTGATAATCTACATTCTTAGCTCTGGCATCTCATGTGACTCTTCACAATTTGAGTGTCAGAGTTTATTAGAATGTTTTGGAATTAGAAAAACAAATGACATGGGTTTGGAAGATAGAAATTTAGGACTTTTATGATAAATGCATGTGAAAACATGCATTAATGTAGTGATATGTCTAGAATTTGTAAAAAAAAAAATCTTCCAAATGGCTGCTTGAAAGAGAACAGATGGGATTTTTAGAGATACTGTACAACAATCTTTAATTGTGCAGATTATAAAGGTTGGTGACCAGACCACTGTAAAATTATAGATTGATATGATAGTTGAGAAAAATATTTGGAAAAATCTGTACTGTATTGTCTTGTTTTCTAATACAGTACGTAGTTTCTATAGGCAGACAGTCTCCTAAGGAGGCTTGATCAGTACCATGCTTTGAAACTCTCAAAGTACTTGTCTCTTTCTGTGAATTTTATGAATTTCAAAGAGGATGCACTCTTAATCCATATTAGTTATTCTAGATGAATGGACAACATTTTCTCAACTTACTTTAATATCATTTGGATGTTTATAATACAGTATACTGTATATTTTTTAGTTATGGCTATTTTTTTCTTTATAGTGTATGGGAAGTATTTTGTATTATTTATTACATACTATTTTGGTAGTATAAAGGAGTCGTGTAAACACTTATACCAGAATGACTAAATTGTAGATTGATTTATTAAAAAACATTCCCTGAAAAGTACTTGATACCGATGGACAAGTTTGAAGAAAGTGGACGTGCTGTTATAGGGTATGCCTTGTCTACGTGTGATTAGGTCAGTGGAAACTTAATTTTTGAACAACACATTTTCAGCTGCAGTGTTAATGTGAATGAGAAAATATACAGAAAAAACAATAGTCTTTATGCAAGTTCATTGGAATGCCTCACGTATACTGTACTGCTTATATTCAATGCACGCTGTACATAACACTTATACTGTGCTTGATACTTGCCTTATCTACTGTTGTCTGTGATAAAGCTTCTATGTTCTCTTGGTAGCTCTTTGTAGTTTTCTGTGGTGAACTGTGTTACCGAGCATGTCTTTCTGTTTGTAATGATTAGCTTGATTATATTCCCTTATCTTTTAGAAGGTTGTAGATTCAGTACTTGCATTTACAAGTGAATGCAAAGTCTGTGTCTACCATTGAATCTGGTCGCCTTGCACCATAGTGGGAGAAGACTTGCCAATATGAAAAAGTCACTTGAACTTAAAATTAATTCCTTAAGATTCTGTTTGCTTATATTGTACAGTATTGTGTAGCTGTATTTCCTGAATGCTATATAAAACAGATAATTTTGTCTTTTAAATATGAAAGAGATAGCTGAGGACTTTAATGTTTTATAATCAGTTTATACTGGTAATTGTGAATGATTGTATATTGATATATGCTTCACTAATTTTTCAGGATTAGGTCTTGACCAGTTTAAGAAGTATGATCCAAAGGTATGTTTTTGTTATGCTTTTGTGGCTTATGTAAAGTATAAATTTGCTTTAAAATTCTGATAGAGAGTTTCTTGGTCTTTGTAAACATTAATTAACTAGGAGCAATAACAAGTGTTTTAAATCCATTGTTTGGCTTAAGATTGTTTTAAACATGTGGTGACATAATTAATAGTTTAATGTCACTAATTACTTTTGAGAATCATAACATATAAGACATGTCTGAATATCTGAGAGTGATAACTTAGAATATAAGACTAATAATAATTTTAGATATATAAAGGGTGGATATTAATATTTCTTAGTATATTTAGAATGTTTAACTTGATTGGTATTATAGCTAACAGTTTATTTTGACAGTGATAGGCAAGACGTATAAAGACATCATTAGGAGTAGAGCAGTGTAAGATTAGTCGTAGATCGTATAATCTAAATAAGTTTTGTGAAAAATAATAAACTCCACTGTATATTATACCTGCTTATTAATTGAATATGAGTTTGTGTACACTTTTATCTACTTTGCTCTTTAAACAATAACCTAATTCTTTTATAACTGTTTACTTTACTTACCACTTCACACTGTACAGCAGGCTGACCCATGCAGAGTTAATTGTACCCTGTATACATAAATAAATTGTTATCATAATCTAGGAATAGAAGCTCAGGTAGATGTCACTTACCTTCTTCTGTATTAGGTATGCCTTTTACTGCAGTTAAGTAGGATAGTTTTGCAATCACTCAATAAAACTGTTGTTGGGTACATCTCTCAAGCAGCCATACTTGTTTCCTCCAGCTTGCATACTTATCTCATGCTCTCCCTCCATTGAAATTCATCCATAATCACTTCATTTGGATAGTCCTTGACTGTGTATTCCATCCTCAGTCATTCAACATACACATTTTACCTTACTTCAGTGCTCCTTGCTGTGTGAGCTAGTTTTTTACAGTTCTGTATCTGTCAAATGCTTTACTTGCCTGTTTTCCCATTACTGGTACACTGTACTTTATTTGCCTCTCTCCAAAACTCCATTGTCCAGTTGTCTACACCAGATCCACATTATGAAGGCATATGCTCAAGAGTAAGAGTCATCACATCATCAAAAATTATCTCTGCAAAATCACCAACTCTCAGCTTTGCTTTACATACCTCAGCTCATTGCTGCATTAGTTTGCCTATCCTCTCACACTCATTCCGATATTTTGCATTCATTTCCTAATTTTTAAGAAATGGTGCGACCCACTAATTTTCAATCTTCTACCAAGCTTTATATTGGAAATCCCTTTTTTCAGATAACCATCTTGAGTGAAGTCAGACACAGCCATCTTACAGTTGTTTGTAGTTATAATGTTTTTCTGCATTTAGAACACTAATATACATATTTGAAACTTTCTCTTACTTGCTGACTACCCAGCAGTGTTTTATCTTATTTTCATGCACCGGTTTGAGATTCTCTTCTCTTGTATTGTATTATTCAACTTTCCAGCCATGCCAGTTGATATAACACCTCTCATTGCACTATTAGTCAAAACTAGAAGTCTAGCTAGTGACAATACATCCATGGTCTTAATTCACCCCATCACTTCAAAGAAAAAGTTGTTACTAATCATACCTATAGTCTCGGTGCATGAATCAACATTTTTCTATCACTTTTAATACATCCTATGACATGTAAATACATCATTGGCTCTCTACCAGCTAATAGATTTGTTTAGGTAAGGGGATCTAGATTTGTTGGGAATACAGGTACACCACCGATTTTCCGGGAACTGATGGTACGGCATCTCCTTCAGTCCGTACAAAATTACAAGAAGACACTTAAATTCCCTCCCTCCCTCCCTCCCAGCCTCCCAGCCAGGGTGAAGGTAGTATTAGGCTTAAAGTTTTTATCTTATAAAATGTAGCTGGCTAGACTTAGCAGAATATAAGTTGCATTGCCGGAATTCTTGTAAGATAGTGATTAATTTGAGTATAAACATCACAGTTTGCACAAGAGATAAAATTTTTAGTCAAGTGTAGTACAAAGTGTGTACAAAGTGTGTACAGTAATGTTGCTCAAAATTATGGCTTTTTCACATTTAATTTACATTTTATATTTGTTTAATTTAAGTTTCTAGCAGTCCATGGTGCTTTAGAGACACAGGAGGTGTGTCATTAGTGGGTCAGAGGTGCATTGTTGCATTATTATTACCTGACCTCGGTTGGTCCGGCAAAATGGAAAATCCGGCAAAGCTTTGAAACCAAGGGTGCCGGAAAATTGGTGGTGGACCCTGTATATGTGTAAAGTTAAAAGGGAATGAATCATTTGAAATGAAGTAAGAGATTTTAGTTTGGATTTGAGTATAATACATACAGGGTGATTCACAAAGATGTACATTAAATTGCAAGGTGTATTCCTGGGACAATTCTGTGGCCACATTCACACTACAGCACCACTTGATGTTGTTCTATGGTTCCCCACCCATCACAGTTACCTTTCATTTAGTGTTTACTTTTTCCTGTATTTCCCCACTGTTACCCCCAAAAGGTTTTTCTGCAATTCTTTTGCTTTAATAATTACATATACAGTACTTAATGAGTTGACCTGTGTTCACGTCATTACAAGTAGCCAGTGACTGCTTCACGTATATGATAACGTAACTAACTGTGTGGAAGTCCTTAAAAATTTCAAGTCCTGCTTCAGGTTATTTAACACTGAGTTAGAGATGGAACAGGGCAATAATGATATAAAGATAGATACGTGATACAGTTCACTATCTGTGCTCATAAGTGTATCAGTTCTAAATATATAGAAGGTAGAGAAGAGCATGATTTATTTTTCAAAGAGCAAGGTTCTTGGTGGTATAATGACAATTAGTAAATAAAAAGTGATGGTTAGACACTTCAAATATGAATAAGAAAATAAACATGTATACAAGGAATGGTTGTGCCAGATAATGCAAAAATATGATAAAAATGATTCATATACTTATTGAAATAATGAGGAAAGTAAGGTTGACAAGTTGTGGAGTCTCTGGGAAGGTACAGTAAAAGAGATGTCAACAGAGGTGTATGAAACATGATGTGAGAACAGGAATGTTGATGTTAAAGGATAAATCTGCAGATGATCATAAATGAGGAAAATATGATGAGAGATAAGTTAGATGTTTTGGTGCACAGTGAGGAACGGAAGATCATGAATGAAGATTTCAAGGGTATGACTACGAGTTAGATAGTACAGTACAGTACACTTAAGTGAAACAATTGATTGAAAATTATGAAAGAGTGAATGATGTTCAGAGATAGAATGAATGACATTCAGAGATAATACAAATATACTTGTACAGTGCCCTACTTTTCACTGGTTGTTTTGACATTCCAATCTGTGGAATAAATCTTTTACATACAGTACAGTACTCTGAGTCTTCCGTATTTATGTATAAACTCATCATCATCTGCATTTTACAGTCACATTTATAAACTGCTTCTTATGTGAGGAATTTATTCATAATACAACTCATATGTAAAAAACTAACAAACAAACATTACACTGGGTAACAGAAACTGTAATACTGTACAGTTTACTGTAAATGATTTGGAAGTGGATCATGTAATTACAGGGTGTCCCCGACTTACAAACGCCCGCCGATACGAACGGGGTTAAACTTGAAATTTACAGTATTGCATTTTCCTGATGACTTATATTTTACTTTCATTTACTGTATTTTGTCATTCTATTTCTTCTTTTATCTTGAATTAAGTGATTTGGATGTACTGTATATAAGGACTTAGGCTATGATACAGTGGGATTTTAAACATTGATCTGCAAGTATGGTTTGCTTATAGCATGTGTTCTGACTTACATACAAATTCGACTACAGAACATCCTCAGGAACGGAACCCGTTCGTAACCCGGGGACTCCCTGTATATAATATTCTGTATTGTCTGACTCATGAATGTGTCCGCTGAGTTAACAGGCTTCTGAGACCCAAGAAAGTCCTAACATATGTACTGTATGGAGTTAATAGGAAGATGAGTCAAGCTATCCTACTGCAGCTCTATCCTTTAATAGGGTCTGAGCAGCTGAAGTTATTGATAAGGACTGATGGTTAATATGCCTTGAGATTGTACAGTGGATATACCAACTGTTATTACAATATTCTATGGAGTATTGTAAGTTTGGTTGCTCTTTGGATTAATTCCAGTCAATTAAGTTGGGGCTTCCCCAGGTTCCCAAACATGAAAACTTAGTGGGCATATTCATGAGTTAATCTTTGCTGGCTTGGTTATAAGATGGGATTTTGTGGTTAATTTTAAGTTACTAGTATAGTGACTTGTGAGATTGCCCATTTAAACAACTCTTGCAGAGCCTATCTTATGCTGAAAGTCATCTGCAGTCTAAGGCAGGAACATTAACTTTTCCAGATTAGTACAAATACTGTACTGTAAAAAGTCATTCGCCCATGCAGACCTGAGTTATGAAGTAAATGTCAACCCTGATGAGGTGGTTGCTTTATGAATGTTTACTCCCCAGACAGTTTCCTGGCAGAAAGTGAATACTTGACTCTTGGCTGTTAAGTACAGTAGTTGTCTTTTAAAGCAACCATTGAATCACAGAATTAACTTTGTAAACCTGGTCTGAATACAGTAATACATCGCTTTACGCGGTCAATTGAACCCACGGAGCCCGCGTAAAGCGGGAAACGCGTAAAGTGAACAACAGAACATATAGGATTAATTGAAATAGAGACTGGGCCGACCCCCAAACTCCACTTTTTGAGACACAATACCTACGTTGTAGTAAAAATAACTTCTTAATTTTATGATGGTGTGCACACACAATTAATGATTAAGAGAAATATCAATAATATTAGGCTTTTTAACACTTACATTAGTAAAAAAGATGGCTGGGCACACGGGGATGGGGGGTTGGTTCCGAGGCAGAGGGCAGAGTATTGGCCCTCACCTGTATCACTTGTATCAATTGTATCACTATCCACCACAGAGGCTTGCAGGGCCTCTTTGTCAAACCCCTCAAAGTCCATATAAGTCCATATCATCACTATCACTGACTTGGGCCGGCTGTGGTGGGTGGCGGGTGAAGAACTCGGTAATGTTTTGATGGCTGAGCGACCTTGTGCGCACCCTGCCCGCGCTGCTTCCCGCGTATATGAGTAGATGCACTGCGTAAAGTGAACATTCCGGTTCTGGCGGGGTACCGCGTAAATGTAGAAACACGTAAAAAAAAAACGCGTAAAAAAACGCGCAAAGCGGGGTATTACTGTAGATGAGAAGCTATTTACAGCATTTACAGAGATCTGAGTAGGACATGTCAGGCCCTGGACAAGAAAGGTTATGTCGAGGATTGTTCAGGCAGGTAATCTTGTAGTTCACTTAACTCTTCTTCTGTAATAAGATAGGATTTGAATTTAAAATCTTTGTTTTAGCTAAATAAGATTATCATTGACTGCTTCCCAATTTTGGTTTGGTACATTTTTTATATTTTTATTACTGTTTTTCCCTTTTCTAATTAGTTTATGAAGACATAAATTAATGGGCTTTACATAAATTTTGCTACAATTTATTTATTTTTCAGATTTGTATGCTTTCATGTTAAGTTTTTGAGTAGCAAGCTCTGCATTTCTCTCACTTATGGATTGTATGTGTGCATATAATTTCAACAGAAGATTTTGAAGATTTCACTAATATTCGTACAGTGATTTGCATAATATTCTGTCACTTTCTCCCACATCCATTCATCAAGTCATTTAGTTAATTTTGGTTCTTGTAATTGTTTCATACGTGTAGCTTAATTTGTCACTGATGATACTTTAGTTATATTTTAAGTATTAAATTTTTTATGGAAATAAGAAGCTATGGCAGATGGCTTATTGAAAAGTGAAGGAAGCACTTATGCACAAAGCAAGACATGTAGTAATATTTTTCTACACGTATATCATTTATATGTGCACTAATGTGAAACAACAGAAAAATTGCGTGTAGGACTTTTGTCTTTTTTTTCTCATAAATAGTTTATATCATTTAATATTTACCATAAACTTAATATGAGGGCCATACACCTGGGAGTATGGATTTTTGGAAGTATGCTGTAATATACAAGAGATATTTTACAGAAGAAGTGTGGCATAACTCCAGGAGTGGATGAAATATCAGGAGAGATGCTTGAGGAGGAGGAGGTAGAAATGGTAAGTGCTTTCATGCAGTGTGTGAGAGTATGATAGGAAGGAAGGGGATAGGAAAGCTTTTGTGGCTGCAGCTGAATGAAAATAAAATATAGAAAGAAGGGAATATAAGAAAGCAGATTTGCTGTTCTTATTGCTGGGGCAAAATTTTAAGCTTGTACAATGAATGAAATTGTTTTTAATTTTTTATGCTTTTTTGATAATGGACCTTAATGCATTTAATGGAATATATTTATGTCCACCAAGTTATACAGTAGACCCTCATTGTTTCACGATAATGGGACCAATAATTAACTGAAATAATGAATTGCAATGTACTGTATTGGTCTATTTATTGCAATAGAAAATATAAGGGATGTGACTTGAGCCTGAGAAAATACACCAAAAAATTCCTTTTAAGACATTTATTTCACCTGACTGGATCCACAGCCAGCAGATGATGTGGCTTGTATCCCTGATGACCTTGCTTCCATGAGAGCTGAAATGAAGCATTTAAAAAAAAATTCTAAGAAATAAAACAATAGAAGTCATATACCATAAGTCATATTTAATGGTTTTCTTCCACTATGCTAATTTAAGTGACTGCTCACCAATATTTATTTAAATTTCTTCATGAATGCTTAATCTAAAAACACAAATATTAATTCACCAGGATAAATGAGCATGAAGAATTAGGTGTTCTTCCTCTACACTAGGTCATGAGTCATCTTATTTAGGAGTCATCTGTAGTTGCAAGCGTGGTTGGTCTTGGGTGAGAGGTTCATGCTGCTACCTATTGTAGTGAGATGCAGGGGAAACCTTCATTTATCATCAGCTGATGATTGCAGTTTCTGTTTAAAAATACTGTACAGTAATTATTTTTTCTGGGCTTACACTGCAATAAAGAAAGATTTGAATACTTTGGGTATTGTAAAATAAAGGAAGTCAAGTGTTGGTCCGTGAAATTAGAGGGTCTACTAGAATGAGGAGAACGTTGAACAAGAATAAAAAAAATTTAAGTTGAGGTGCAATTATGCATGAAGAAATTGTTTTTAATGTACTAAGTTGGCAAATCAGTTTGTTTTATGTATTTATAATGAACTGTACAGTACTGTTTGTAAAAAGCACAAGGGCTTTTACTGCCATTGGCATTCATTCTGCTTTACCCAAAAGTACTGCATGTAGAATTACAATACAGTTTTCTTTATTTTCCCCTTTATGCAAGATATATATCAATCAGTCATAAACATATACAGTACTCACTTTTAAGTCATTAACATGAACAAGATTACAACTAGGGAGTGAAGGAAGTCGTACAGTATTATTGAATGTTTTACATATTCCAACACCTTATTGATAACTTTATATATTATTATTATTACAGTATTATTATTTGCATCTTTTGCATCATTAGCATTTACAAAATATTTTTGTTTAATCTTTGTTTGTATTTACCGAGTAGTTGAACACTCATGCGTCGATCTCATTTAGGTGCACTGTATGTTGTGTCCCAGCTTCTGAAAAGTCATGGGAATAATAAAGAATGAATCACAGAAAATTAGGGAAAGTCTACAGTATATTAATACAGGAGAAACTGTTGTGACAGCTTGAGGTAGTAAGACACTAATAGAAACTCCATAGGTTATTAAGAGGATTTTGAAAATATGTGTTTAGGTGAGTTAGAAAAATAATGTGAAAATTTTGTGTGAGTGATCCATTACAATCAGAGAAATTTTAATGAAAATGGTTTAGCAGAGTCATTCATAGAAATGGGGTGTGATGGCCAAGTGGATACAACACTTGTCTCTTCTCCTGAGGGTTGCTGGTTCAATCCTTGGGCATTCCTAGTCCCACCCAGTGTAAATGGGTACCTAGCTTACAGTTGGGGAAGGGAAAGTGGTTGAGAGCAGTGTTGGCCATGCTTCCTTCTTATATTCATAAGGCTTAGTATATAGTGTGCTGTATCAACACTCCTTAATGGGCAGCCCTGCCTATGGGACTTACATTCACTTTTCCTATATGGAAAAGTATTTGGAGGTTTAGGACAAGACTACTGAAGTGGCAAAGGTAAAGTGGTGAAAGATCACAAAACAGGGCAACATATAGTACTGTATATGTAAGGCACAGCTAATAATTACCCTGTCATGTCATTATTGTAAAGACAAAATTTGCCTGCAGAGTAAGAAACTAATCAGTTGTAATTGATAACCTGTTTAGAAATTAGTCAGTGGTCTTGAATTAGTAAATTCTTATGAATTTGCTTTCTGATGTATGCTAACAAAATTTTATCAACCAAAGCAAACGATTATAATGAAAAATCTTGCAGTGAAACTGACTTCCTTTACTATGTAAATTACTTGTAAGTGCTAAAGGTGTAGTGTCTTTTTTTATGTAAGAAGGAATGAAACAGACTAATACTAACATTGCAACTTGCCTATGATATCATCCACCACACCGTAGTTTTGGCTTATGTCACCTCTTCGGGAACAGTAGGTTTTGGTGAGATATACATAATGTTCCCTCTAGCTTTCTGTTGTGTTGCATATCTTGTTATTACTTCTGCTTCTCTGTAATCCATTCCCTTCTCTGCTTCTTCAAAACTTAGCAAATACTCTACTTTATTATCTTTTCATATAAAATTCTACATGGAGCATGCTGGATTATAAAATACTGTAGTGTACAGTATTATAAAATACTGTAGTGTACAGTAATAAAAAATTATATCACATAATTTGTATGTAGGTGTTTAATGGTGATATCTAACCATTTTACCTCATTTATTCTTTTCGCTCATCCAAGGTAGCCTCAATTTTATTTCCTGATAGCTCATGGAAATCTTAGATTGAGTACACATTGCCTTCATAATTTTTAATGCTTTTATAAATCATTTGTTAGCCATTTCTCAAAATAAAAAAATTGACAATAGAGATTTTGGTAATCTTTTCTAATTAAAAAAAAATACTCCTGCTGAGTTCTCTTTGCTTATCTGTTTTTTGGACAAACTATAAAAGGTAACACTTTGTGGCAGCAAGTCACTGAAGAGGGTGTTAAAGATTCTTGCAAATTTTCTATCCATTGGCTTTTGTTTTGTTTTTGCCTCTGTCAAAATTCTTTTCATCTAAACTAATGCTGTAACTTATTTCCCATTGCATTATATCCAGTCCGTTTTTCCTCATTATTCATGACTGGTGAAATTTGACCTATGATTCAATAGTTGTTTGGAAGAAGATGCCCTATTTACTACATTACTGCCTTTCAGTATGATAATACACCCTCCTGGGTATAGGAATTTCCTCTTCATCTTTCATTCTTCTTACCTCTCATCAGTTGACGTTTTGCTACTCCACTACTTGTCCTCAATAATTATCACATTGAAATATCCTTCTTCCTCTCATTTTTGTCTTTTCACCTCTCAACGGTGGAACTACAGTGTGTTTGTACACTTAGTACATTACATGTAACAATTTTTTAATTTAAGATTACGGTATATGTAGAGCTTATAATGTGCACATCTTTATATGTGTAAAAAAACTTTGCTTGAGTATATAGTATATAAGGTTACAATACAACCTGCATTGCTGTGTGTGCCTCTACTTTTATGTGCATATCTCTGCGCACTTAATAAAAGGGAAGGATCACAAATACCCGGTAGCGAATTTATCTTCGAAAATTTAGATGTCTTGAGAAAAAGTTGTGTTATGATAAATTTTGTATAAATATGAAAAAAATGCTATGATGCCTCAGTCAATATCAAGTTTACTTTGAATCATGGATATGTGAAGTGTTAAGTGATTGGCTGTATTGAATACTTGTGTTGACAATATCAAGTTTTATCAGGTTATTATGTATACAGTATACACTGAAGGTGAAATTAATTGTTTAAGCTGAATCATACATTAAATATCATAGTTTTGTATGGATCTTCTTCAAAGACTCATCCTTACAGAATAAATTTTTACGGTATTTTAAAAACAATACAGTACAGTAAAATTAAAGTTTAAGAATATGAATATATGCTGGGCTAAAATTTAAGGTTTTTATGAAAAGTAATGTTAAGGCGAGGGATTCGTGGAGAGTGATACAGTATACAGTACAGTAAGAGGAAACTTGAAATGGTGTACAGTACTATTACCACAGCCAGTTTAGCACCAATAAGTGGAAGATAAATTGAGGTCACATGTCCCAAACACCAAGAAGAAAAGGACCAAATCTTTTAACAAAATATTTTAAAACTTTCTCTTTCCTCTCCTCAGATTTAGATTATATTGTATTGTACTGTATAACCACCACACACTCTTTCCCCAGGTCACATGAAAACTATAGAGCTTCAACAATAAATCTCAGTAGATACTAAATGTTTTCTTTTGTTTTTAGTGAACATCCAGGTTAGATTAATAATGTAAAAGTATATGTATAGAGAATATTTTGCACTGCACTGAATTTTAAACTGTAAAGAGCTTATCGCTCCACAGAACCAAGGCCGCACACGACCCATAGACTACACATATACTCCCGAGGTTCCTGTAATCTTTCTAAAGTCTTTAATCTTGCTGAGGTGTAGAATCTCTCGCTTTCCTGCAGCTGACTACATGTTATGTCTTAGTGCAGTTTAACCCTTGTTTAGTTATCAGACTGATCCAGCGAACTGCGTCTTAATCTTCCAATCACACTTTTCTCTTTTCCAGTCGGCAGAAGAGGTACCTCCATTACTGCTGCATGTTGTACCTTACTCCTGCAACCAGCTAACATTCTTGTATAGATAAATAAAACAAAATAATTAATTAATCATTTTTGAGTCCATGAAGAATTAATTTTTTTGTGAATTTTCATGTTTATCATTTGTGATAATTGATTATTTTGTTTAGTACCTCTCTGATAAGTGATGGAGATTGAATAAAAAAGATGCATACTCTTTATTAATAACTAAATTTAATATAGACTACCTGTACAGTATTTATGTAAAGTACTGTGATGTTTGATGAGTATACAGTACCATAGTTATGGTGAAGATTATCAGGAGTGGTACTAAAATCTTACCAGTTTTCATTGAGTGAAACCTTGTGTTGCCAGAGTTTTTGATGAATATTAACATTGAACCCTTCTGTGTGTGTGTGTGTGTGCGCGTGCGTGTGAGTGCGTGCATGCATATGCATGTTAGTGTGTGTATATCTCTTTGATACTATGAATGGTTTCTGAACTTGGGTTTATAAATGGATGTATAAACTTGCTTGTAACAGAGCAATTGTGTGAATGTGTTTACGTGTCTGTTCCTGTGTGTATTTGTACAGATACAGTATGTGCATGTGTTTTATATTGTTAGTTTGTTGAGGAGGCTGGTGCAGTGCAGTATTTAGATGTCTATGAATACCTGTGTGAGATGGTTGGCACTTGTACAGTATGTGTCTGTGTATGAATGTTGTATATATTTTGTAGTATTTTTCTGTTTTTGTATGGTTGTTTACTTTTTTATCTTATGTATGTACGGTACATAAAAGGTAAATATGCATTTTAAGAAGAGGCTATATAATGTTTCCCAATGAAAGCTGTGTGTCAAGACTTTTCCTCTACTGTTTCTCTCCCCCAGCACTGCAGAATTGCTGAATTTAGCATGGATTCCTGGGTCATTTGCGCTTCTTTTGAATATATTGTTGGTTAAACAACTTCACATATCTAAAGAATGTACCAATATTTTCTTATGTATTTTTGCTTTAATTCTTCTAGTTCTTGATACAGATTTCTTGTTTCATTTGATATTATTCTGAGGCTTAGGTTTGATGATTTTTGCAGTAGGATTATTGAAAAATATTTAGATAATGGCATGTCGCAGCATTATATGCTAAACGTAAGGGCTTGTGGTATATTGTAAGTGAGCATGAAATGGTCCCCAGTGTGCACCAGCTTTGCATAGTATCAATGTTCTTTGCACCATTAGTCTTTGGGGAGGACTAGACAGAACTTTCAGGGTGCTAGAAAAAACTTACAGAATATTTTTGTAATCATAAGATGCAGTTAGCTGGGAATGTCCCGTGTCCCCCCTTAACTGCTAGTTATTGCCAAAATTTATAATACAGTAGTATGTTGTTTAATCTCTTGATTTATCATTTAATTTTACCTTGGCATTTAGTACTGAAGGGCTTTTTCTTCGGAGCAGTGTCTGCAAAAGTAGTGTTACTGACTGAACATTTAACCATCTTTAAGCAAGATCATCATTCTTAGCAAATTCTTAACTAATTCTGAGGCATGCTTTACTCTTTACTAACAGTTAGGCACTCTTACTGAAATATGTTGCATATATTCCTAACTGTGATATAAGGAAAATGTTGTTTGTGGGCACACAGAAGCTATGTATATAGGGTAAAATTTAAAAAATGCAGCTTGCCATCTCAAATTATGAGGCACAGTGTAACATAAAAGCATTTTGTACTACAATATGAGTAAATTGGCACTGTGTTTCAAATAGAGTACACTATGTGTTTGTTTGATGTGTTTTTAATATGTTTTACCCCTCATACTCTATGATAAATCATAATAGATAAAATAGATAATTATTTCTAATACTCTTATTTACAATATGGCAGTTAAGAGAACAAATAACAGTCTGTTTGGTCTTGATTCTAGCCAGCCTGCATCTTGTAAGAGTGAGAAAAAATTAATATGCAAATCCCTTGGAAAAAATATACAGGGTAACTGTTATAAGCAGAAGAATGCTTTGTTATTCATCGGAGTGCTTGATTTTTTCTCAACTTAGATGATATTCACTCGTGTGCCATGCCTCTCTGATTGTGGGAAAGACAAACATCTTAATTATGAAACATATGTGAATGCAAGTGTAATACTATTCTAAAACATTACTAATTCTTGATATTTGAATCTCAATGTTTGGGCCACATTATTATTATTATTGATTGAATGCTGTACAAGGGCATCAAATAATGTTTTTATTTATATTTTTTTTCTTGGCTTGCCTAGCTGAGCTGTTGCCTTTGCAATTCACTGGTGTTGTTATTGTTGTTAGTCACTATTTTTTTCCATTAACTGCCTGTATGATTTACTAGAACTTTGTAATAAGTGTTCATTGTTGTAGTCACATTAAAATTTGGATACTGAATCTTGGTAAAACTTAGAGGTCAGATGAATGAGTTACTGCTGTGGCCTGTCAACTATTTGTCAGTCTGTGTGTGTCATCTATTAACTGTCATCTTTTTAAAGCTTTGTGATAAACCAACTTGAAAGTTTGCTTGAATTTTCGTATTAAATTTTGTTCACAGGTTCCTTATCATATTATTTTTTTAACCAAATGAATATTAAGTCTGTTAAGCATGTAGGTGTTGCGAGCCAAATGTTTCATATTTTTTTGGTTTTGCTCCAAGTTCATTGATTATCTTCCAAGCAAAATCATTTTACCTACATGATGATTTATTATGTGAGCTTCCTCTTGACTGTCCTTGTTATAGGTAACCTGTGTAAGAAAGGTTTCTCACTGAAATATCTCTTGGATAAGATATAGCAATGAGAGGAAGGTTCATTGAGGAAATTGAGATGTGCACTGAAGCTGCTTATTTTTCATTATTTTTAGAATTACAGAGCTCACTTTTTTGTTTTGCGCCAATGGACGAATAATAAACTACAGTACTGTATACAAATACCTTTACTGATTAAAAATGAATATAATATTTACTCAAAAAACAAGTGTTCACAAAGCTTCCTGCCATACACAAAGTTTTCCTTATGACATTTAATGAATCAATAACTAAATCTCATTTAATTGTTAAGTGTATTGTGTTAAAGTGTGTTCAACAAGATATTTTTAATATTCTTTATATTAAATCTTATTATTTATTTTGATGTTTTCTTATTTACTAATATTGTTTCCTAAATATCAACGCATTTTTTTATATAAATGTAGTGTTAATGTTGAATTCTTTAATGTCAGTATTTTCACTAATGTGTATTATCTTGAATTTGATTTTGTTTATATTGAGAAAATCCAACAGATTTTTGCAAAATTTTAGTATGATTTCTGTACAGTTAAGACGCAAGTAGAATAGCTTTTTTAGTTCCATTATTTTTCATCATAATTGCCTTAAGTAATGTACAGTTAAATTTCTTATACAATATATTCTCACTAAGAGTACTCTAGTTCATGTGTAATTAGGATATATATTTTTTTCAGAACACTTCCAACAAACTGGAACTTGCCTTGGATGAAGACTCTATTTTCTACAAGCTTGGCAGTTCAGGACTCATCTCTTTCTCAGACTTTATATTTTTGCTTACTGTCTTGTCAAGTGAGTGACTAAAACATAAATGCGTTGGGTTTTACACGTGTGCTTTAAGTGTGAAAATCCTGCCTTAAGTTTTCTCCGGCTACTTGGGTTACTGATTGTGTATGGATGAGATCGACCTGCGTGGAACAATTGAGCAATTACCTATGCTTTACTGTACACTGTATTAAGAAATAAGATTACTTAAACGATCAATCATTTGTCTTTTTGAATAGTGAGATAGGAAAATGGGTGTGGTAATGAGGTACAAGAATCAGTGACATTATTCTGTTGTGTAACTTCAGGCTCTTGTTTTTTTGTTTTTTTAAGTTTGCATTTTTATGTGAAGGGCATACAGTAAGTGTTGTCTATATATACATCTATACATCCATATTGATATTACACTCACATATACTCTATATGTGTACTAGGTCAGCATGTATGTCCCAGCATTTGTTTTTGCTCAATATGCACTCAGAGAATGTTTACATGAGTCAACTTAAGTTTTGCCTGCAGCTTGATATTCTTAAAATCTAGATGAAAATTACCATAATAGTTTCCAGCTTGTGTTTACATGATCTCCTCAGAACTTGTTAATTGAAATTCATATAGATGTATGGTCATTAGTTTCCTTTCACAGACTAGGGAATGTGGTTATGAATCTCAACTAAATGATAAGTTGATCTTTATGTTTATAAGAATTAGGTCATGATCCATCTTATGAGTTGTTATTAAGTTCTTGGGAGAGGAATGGCTTCTTATTTAATTAATATTTCATGGAGCTTGATATTTATACAATCTTGACTATGTGTGATTCTTGTAGTTGTTACCCCAATTTCAAATGTATTATGGTCCCTTAAAAAGACTAATAAATTTTAAGTTCGTCTTAGAAGCTGTTAATGTTAGTCATGAAAGTTAATAAGAGGGCACTTCTCTCTGTTTTTTATAGCATCCCATAAAAACTCGAGCATGACAGCTTATATTTTGTATCCTACTTTTGTGTATAGAGTATTTCATGATTTGCTCTTAAAACAAATACATCCAGTGGTATAGATTTTGTTGTGACAGGGCCATTCATCCTCATCTGTATTATCTCTAGATGTGTTTATTGCTATCCTGAAGAGGGCAGTACAATTTAAAATTACTGAGTATGAAGTTAATTATTTTATTTATTGCAGCATCGCGTCGTCACTTTGAAATTGCTTTTCGTATGTTTGACTTGAATGGTGATGGAGATGTGGATTATGAGGAATTTGATAAAGTAGCAACACTGATTCGCAATCAAACAAGCATTGGAGCACGTCATCGAGATCATGCTAATACGGGAAATACTTTTAAAGTAAGTAATGTACAGTCGGGGTCAAAAGTCTTGAACACTTAGTAATATCTGGCATCTACTACTGAGTTATACATATATGATTGGGATATACTAATAACACTACTCATCATCACATATGCCTGAACCACAAAATGGGATAAAACTCTCCTTAATACCTAAGATCTTCGGGTACTTACCGGTACATGCCAAATACTGTCAAGTGTTCAAGACTTGACCCCGACTGTACATAGAATAATTCTTAGTTACTGATCCTTCTAACAAACAAAACATGTTTAAAGAAAGTGCAAGGAAGAAATCAAGATAACTGATCATGATAAATACAGGAAATGCTGTAGCAAGTAGAGAATAATTATTAGTCATACAATTAACCCATTGAGGTGGCAGGGGTTTCTCTCAGAAAATAAAAAACCTAAGTGTGACACTACACTTTAAAGGGTTAACTGAAATAAATTTAATGCACAGGGAAAAATCAGTATCAATATGGCTGTGGATATCTGTACTTCTGTGAGTAACTATATAGTTATGGATGTATTTTTCCAATATACTGTATTGGTGTTTATAATCATAAAAAATTAATGTACCATACAGTATTTTTAAGAAATTTAAGATCTCCTTATGGTGTACTGTAGTTTGTATAGAGTAAAAGTTGCTTATGCTGTATTATTAATTTTCAGGGTGTCAACTCTGCTCTCAGTACTTACTTCTTTGGGATAACACTGAGGGAAAAGCTGACCATTGAGAAGTTCTTGTTCTTTCAGCAGCAACTACAACAAGAAATTCTCAGTTTGGAGGTGAGCATTGCACAATTTGCAGCCAGTGTAGGGTCAGACAGGTTTAGAATCTTCTCAGTAAATTAGTTTAACAGTGTCAGAATTTCACGTTAGTTGTTTTATCACTCTCCAGTGTTATTTTATTATGAGTAAAATGTGATTTAAAATTTTTTCTTGTCAGTTTCGTCGTAAGGGTCCTAATGATGAGGGTTTGATATCAGAAGCAGACTTTGCTGAGCTGCTGAGTGCTTACGGTGGTTATCCAACAAACAAGAAGGCACGAATGCTCAAGAGAGTAAAAAAAGCATTCAAGGTATAGTTCAAACTTGTTTATACATATATGAGGCTCATGCAATGGGGTGCATAATGGATCTGTGAGTCCAGTAATGATTATTGACCTCCTGGCACCCGTATTGTCCAGTGAGTTACCATATCTAGACATGACCTCTGTCCAATCAGATAAATGTAAATTGTTCCATTTAATTTCTCAGTCAAAATGTGGTTATTAGGTGGAGTCACAACCTGAATCCATGTGTGTTTTGAAAGCTAGCTAGCCAACAGGTTTTCTGGGATGGTCCCAAGAGCTGGTCCTCTTCACTCAAACTTGTAAAAAATTTGGTTTGTGAATGTCGGTTTTCACAATTATCAACATGAGGTCCCTTTACTCTCCTGTTTTCCTTACAGAACTTACAGAGGGCAGTGGTTTAATCACTTTTGCTTTTCATATGTTGATTATGTAAGTTTCCTCTACCCAGTTTATTTTATATCAATGCATTATACTGTATGAATGTACTGTATTGGTGTTTTGTGACCATTCTGCCATCTCGTTTATTCACTGTAGAATTACTACTGTAGTATAGTACAGTACTGTATTGATTTTCATATTACTTCAGTTGAGGCCTTATGGTGTGTTAGTTGTGGGCTGACATTTCCCAAGTGTACACATCAGCTCAACCTTTCAATTTTATTATAAGTTTTAATTTATAATGAATTCTTTCATCATCTCATTCAGTGAAACTGGTCATTTTGAGTGTGATTATACATAGTCTTGGAAGTTCATGAATCATGCACAAGCAAAATATGCTAAGGGAATCATTAAGAGGGATTTTCATCACAGATATCTTTAAAGGTCATTAAAAGGGACCTCTGCTGTTAGTTTGATACTGTTTCCCATTGTGGTCACTGTAAAAGTATTTGCCCTTGTACAGCAGATCAGAATGACAAAGTAGGGGATCTCACAGTTCACATATTCCTCTCCTCAACCACAAAATTAAATATCCAAGTTCAGTCACTTGTACTACCAGTATGTGATAAAATATATTTACTTAAATGTTTTACTCCAGGGTGAAGCTTCTCAAGGAATTAGCCGCGATGATTACTTAAAGTTCTTCCACTTCCTCAATAACATCAATGATGTTGATACAGCCTTAACTTTCTATCACATTGCTGGAGCTTCAATTGATCCAGGTAGGAATTTGAGTGAATTCTGACTATTTCTCTTTATCTCCTAATTCATTATTTCATTTGATATTTACTTGACAGGATGATGTTTATATATTTCTGTATGTCAGAGCTCCTTACTAAATCCTATAGAGCACATGTTTTGTGGGACAAGTGCTGATTAAATATTACTATTTTCATTAAAAATAAACAGTACACTACCTGTCTCATAACTATTAATTAAAATTTCTGAAACAACATGAAAATACACAGTTGTTTTGTCTTTTTTTTTTATGGGGAATAGCCCACCCGGGCACAACGGGGCTTGGGGGCCAAAAAAGTAACTTTGAATAAAAAAACAATACTAATACAGGTACACCACCGATTTTTGCTGGACCAACCGAGGTCAGGTAATATTAATTCAACAATACACCTCTGACCCACTAATGATGCACCTCCTGTGTCTCTAAAGCACCATGGACTGCTAGAAACTTAAATTAAACAAATATGAAATGTAAATTAAATGTGAAAAAGCCATAATTTTTAGCAACATATTACTGTACACACTTGGTACTCAAATGTACTACACTAAAGAACTAAAATCTTTATCTCTTGTGCAAATTATATGATGTTTATACTCAAATTAATCACCTTCACCGTGGCTGGAAGGGAGGGAGGGAAATTAAGTGCCCTCTCGTAATTTTGTCCGGACTAAAGAAGGTGCCAGACTACCAGTTCCCGGAAAATCGGTGGTTTACCTGTATTTATTTTAATCTTAATGCCTGACGGGAACAACTCGTGAATGTGTCACCAAGGAAAACCCTCAATTCAACTAACTGAGGCTAATTCATAGATCAGCCATCTCCCCCTCAGGAACTTGACTTAAAAAAGAGGTCTGAGAAGTTACAGTAGCCTGAAGCCTGGAATTCAATTAGTGTTGAGACCTCATAGCATATGCACTACCCATTCTTTGTGTGTCAGTCTCAATTACAGAATGAGAACCAGAATTATCTGCATATCCAGCCATGAGTGACTCCCTCGGGGTAACACCTATTTTTCAGGAGAACCTAAGAGCCAAGCTTCATTCATAGTGCTCATTGGGGCAGGTTTACACACATTAATAACATATGGTGGTGAAGCTGTGATGGCTGATGTTTGTACAGAAAATTTTTATAAATTGATAAAAAGAAATGAAATACATGCAACTTCTTCAGAGCTCATGTCATTAAATAATGTCTAATTTCACCGCCGTTATTACATTCTCTTATCTTTGTTTCTTGATACAAGATATGCTTGGCAAAGCACTTGCAGGTCTATTTACAATCAATTATGTTTGATTTTGGGCAGCTTTAAAAGAGATGATTGCAAGCCTGTGTAAAGAGCTCTAGCTACACCCTCTCATAAGGCTCAACACATAGATCTTTTCACATATAGAAGGTTCTTGTTGGTTTCAGCTCCACTGGAAATAATTCACGTGGGCAGTTTGATTTTTTGTAATCATAGCTTTGTGTTAAAACATGACTATTGAATATTTTTATTATAAAAATTATATTGTGATATCCAAATCTGCAATAAATTACCAGTACTGTACTGTACTGTGATGTTTAAACCATGGAAAAATGTGTATGGAGTATTGTTCTTTTCTTTAAAATTACTTGCAGTTTTTAACTCTTGCTTTGCAGCAACCCTGAAACATGTGGCCAAGACTGTTGCACATGTTGAGCTCTCGGACCACGTTGTCAATGTTGTCTTCACACTTTTTGATGATAACAGTAAGTGCATTCTGCTGTAAGTTTTGTTCATCAAATTAACACAATTACCCTTTACTTCAAACTTGTTGGGGTGGGAGGTAATTTTAAAGAATCTTAACTCCTTTAAGTTATCACCGTGATGACTACATGATAAACAAATTTTGTCTCTCTCTCTCAGAGATACTAATCTGTCAATATGAAGTGAAACAAGCTCAGTGTCATGAAAAAAAAAAGAAAAAAAAAAGAGAGATTTGTTTGTACAAAATATATAAATATAGTGCAGTACTACTGTACAGTAGGCCCTTCAAATTCGCGGGGGATAGGTTCTCAAAATGGCCGCTAATCGCCAAATCCACGAATTATATTTTTGCTTTGTGTACAAAGAAATGTATATTCCTTTTATGTGTTTGCCCTTAGGACAATTATATCTTTTTCCTGTATGGTATATATGTGTGTGTCTACACACACACACACATATATACAATATAGGTATAGGAAATTACTGTCTCTAGAATGAATGGCTCCCTGTCCCAGCCGCGTAAATGCCGGCAACTTTAAAACTACCCACAGACATTCTTGGGTACATCCAGGGTGCCGTCTTCGAATAATAGAGGACCTCAAAATAAAAATCCTTGAATTATCTGGGCGTACTGTACTGTAATTAGATATTTAATCCTTTGAAATAAATAAAAACTGTAAAGATATTTAACCCATTGCTACTAAGGAATAAAGAATGTAAAAACGTTTTGTGTAATAGCAGTATTTTACTGACTTAGGTCAAACCCAAGTATTTGGAAAGGTCTAACCATACAGTATGCACATAAGCTTGAGCATTGTTTGGAAAAGAAGTCAATGTAAGAGACAAGTCCGCAATGCCCTTTGATGGGTTGCTGCTCAAAAAGAGGTGAAACCAAACCCCTCCTTACCTTCTTGTTGTGGCCAAATAATTGCACAAACTTTTGAAGTAAAAGGGTGGAACTGATGGGTTTGGGGGTGATTATGCAGACAGTATAGAAAACTTAGGTAATATCAGGGAACAAATTTTGGAAGAAGTTGAGGGTGATATATACAAAAAAAAAAATAATAAGATTTGTGGAGTTTATCATCTACCAGCATTGTATTGAGTTCTTTTGGATGTTAGACTCACTACTCTTTTGATCACTTTCACCTTTACTTCATTAGCAACAGAGGGTAGGGTTGATATACATCAGTTCAATATAATGCCTGTATTTAATAATTTACACTTCCAACTCCACCAGTACAAATTTAGTAAAGATTAAATCACTGCACAGATGCAAGGTTTGGTCAAAGTTAGTGGTTCAGGTCCTGCTGTGAAGTTTTCCAGGTAAACCCTGTGACAGGAGTAGGAGGCGAACCAATCTTGTCACTGTCACAGGCACAGGGTATAGTGCCAGTTGCCAGTAGAGGAAGTAGTGAATACTGGAGGTGTATTGACATCTACAGGGAAAAAAAAGGCTGCAACAAGAATTACAAAACATAGAATCTTAATAATGTATGACGTAGAGTTTCCTCAATTTCTAATAGATGGTGGACTTAGAATGATACTCACAAGCAGGCGGAGCACGGTGCACTCACCAGCAAGCATCATTGGTGGAGAGCGAATTTTGATTCCGACAACCCCAGACATTACCTTCCCCGATACCTCCGCGTATGAGTCGTTGTGTAAGGGATTAACTTTTATTTTTTTATTTTTTTTTACGGGGATTAGCCCACCCGGACACAGGTCACTGACCCACAACGGGGCGAAAATGTAATAATAATAATAATAATCATAATAATAATAAATAATAGTCATAATAGTCATAATAATTCATAATAAATAAAGTTTATGATAAAACAAACAAAAGTAAAATAATAAAATAATGATGATAATAATACAGTAACTGTAATAATAATTTTAATAATAAAGAACTATAAATACAAAAATTAAAACAAGATCAAAAGTGAGAAACGATATACACCCCTGTACGTATGTTGCGTTGTCAATGGTAAGAGAAACAATTGAGACCCTGCAATTGTGTGTAAATGAAGCAGAAAGTCAGATCAGCAACCTGGGACTTGGTCACAATTTTCGTGATGCCATATGGCAGTAGGGTCTACCATTAGACAACACATTATGCTTCCAATATCTTCCCAGGCAATCAATTACAAGCAATTAAACAGTTGAGCATATACTAATTAGATATATATTACCATCGAATACAGTAAGTTGCAAATAAAGTAGTTGAAAACCTATTATAAATTTAAGTACAGTATACATTACAGTGATGTACATTTTATAATGAATAATCAACTTTACAACACTGTACTGGCAGTTCCCTGACAAGCAGCATTTCAGAAACATATGGACAGGAATGGGATTATTCGATTAAAATATGTAACTGTGTAATAAGCCCCTCAGTCTTCACCCCCCTTGGTCTTTCTCTCTCATACCAACCAGCCTCATGACCTTGTTATTTACCCTTACAGATGATGGTCAACTCAGTAATCGGGAGTTTGTTGCAGTGATGAAAAACAGATTGCAGCGTGGCTTAGAGAAACCCAAAGATACAGGATTTGTGAAGCTTATTGTTTCTATGTTTAAGTGTGCAGGAGAGACAAAGCCAGTTCTCTTGGATATATGAGGAAAGGTTCGTGTGCGGGATGCAGACTTACAAGAAGAGTGGAAGAGACATTGTGAAGGGTGTAACTGCCGAGGTCAGGGAAACAACTTAGAAGAACATGATCATGATGATAAAAAAGAGTGAAGTATTATCATGTAACAATGTGAAGAACTATGAGATAAAAAAAATCTACACCTGTGTTTGATGGTGAAATGTTAATGCTGTATAAAGATGTGGTGGCCAGTAGAGAATGAGACTTTAAAGTACAATGTGGAAGGAATACTATAATATTAAGATTTTCAGATTCAAGATAAAGGAAAATGAGCAGATATATGTTACAGGGGTTCTATGGATATGAATACAAACGAGAATTAATGTAAAAAAAGAAAATAAAGATTGATGAATATTTTTTTAATTAGTTTTGCCTGTTTGGGGCTTTAGAGAGAGTGAATGCATTTTTTTTAATTAATGTTAATATCAAACTAAAGATATACAGAACAAATTAGGCTTGTGAAGCAAGGAGTAAATTTATATGAACATTTGAAGTGTGAGTCAGATTGATTAATAACCTTAGAAACAAATGTTATATGATAGTTTTTTCCATTCCCCATAGCACTCAATATCCCTCTAGGCAATAAACTTATACAGTATCTGTAAACCAAACAGTACTAGGTGCTGATAATGATTATAAAGAGATAGATCTGCATTATCCTTACATATTTCATGTGCAAGTTTTATGAGTTTACAAAAGAGCTGCACACCCAATTTTTGTCTTGGGCAGAATCACAGCAGACTAAACACTTGCCATATACTCTTAAATGGAAAAAAGTGTCTTTCATGATCTATTTCATATTTTCTTCATTATTTCTGTGTCTCACCTCTATATCTTCTTATCAACTTCTTCTCTACCCTCCTGCATATATGACAAGGTAGCATGTGTACCTCTTACATATTGTATTATAGTGCAAGTAGCTAAAATGGAGACTTCTTTAACAGAGGTACTGTACTGAGAATTAGTAGTGTGTCTTTGGTGCTTGAAAGTGTAGGATTGGTTAGTTGGTGGTGAAAATATTTGGAAAAATCCTTGTGCATGACCAACTTTCTTTTGCAGAAAAAAATGCATGTACATACAGTAATACCCAAATGAACACTATTACATTATGCTACGAATGTAGAAAGTACAATAAATAGATAAAAAATCAACACTACAGATTGAAAATAGTGCAATAGAGCATGATAATGTAACTACATACATGCAAAGCTTTCAATATCTAGTGTATAACGAGTGCTAGTAATACCATCAGTAGACCTTGTTTGTTGCTGGTGTTAGCTTTCTGATGTAACACTAACTTTGAGTACAGTATTAGGATAACTACAGTACCATGTTTCATATAATTATCAGAAGTTTTTCATTAGATATGGTAGTCTTGTTTGAAAAAATTTAAGCTTCATATGGACATATGCAAATGTTAGTAAATTTATAAAACACAGTTATATCCATTTTCAAGTTATTTTGTATTTTGTTTAAAATATTTACTTGTTATGAGTAAGTAGGAGGAGTATTCATTTTGTGAAAAGAATTGTCTGTTATAACCACATAATTGAGAAAGTGTGTGCTGAACTTTGTACAAATGTGTGATGCCTGCTAATGTTCAGAAAGTAATTAGAAATTGTTACATAAAATATTCTAGTCAAAACCATTTTTTTATATCTGCCAAACTTGTTAGGAAATACAGTGCTAAGTCGTAGGATGTCTGTTTGCTGTTATTAAAGTTATAGATTTACAGTTGAGAATGTGGTCGTCTTTGATAAAATTGGGAGAGTATATGAATATGAGTACAGTACTAACTGATGTATGAATATGCAGGACACAGTAGTTTATCTGATTAACTTCTCAGAATACCCATTTACTTCTCCAATTAATCATCATGTACTATACAGTAGCTGATAATGATTATAAAGAGATTGATCTGTGGCGGATGGCTATTTTTCTGACTTCATTGTCATGAAAGATTATTGGGTTATTCTTATGGGTTATTCTTCCCACATAAAAAGTTGTTGAAAAAATAATGAAATGAAAGAAGACCAACCAAGATAGTGTCCATCTTCTGTAGTGTAAGTACAGTATTTATAAACTGTCACCCATTTTTTCTAGTTAACATTAATGGCTTGAAAGACTTGAGAACAGATTGAAAGAGTAGTTAGGTGTTTCTCAAAGACTGACTATTGACAATGGTCCAGTTAAGGCATGTCATTTTATGAACATAAATTTTATATTGGCAGTTAATAGAATTATACATACATATACGATACACAGTATACTTTCTGCAGAATAATTTATATTATTGTTTGCACTACTGTATATGGAAGTTGAATTGAATTGAATTGAAACAGTTTATTTAGAGTCCACATGTTTTAAGGACTGACGAGATATATTATTGTTTATATTATTTCCGTAGTCTGAAGCATTCTTAAGGGTGAGAATTGGTTAACCTTACTATGTTATGACTGAGTAACATCAAATTTAGCAGACACTTGAAACCTCATACAGTAGAATACCTATTAGGAAGATGGTAACAAGCATGCTGTTCATACATCAATCCACATGTAATAGTTTCCCATTAAGTTTTATTCCAAAATTATTAGTATTTTTATTTCACTCTGGCAAGCCTTTTCCCAGTATGATGCAGGATGGCTGATATTAAGAGCAAAACACTTAACCTTTATTCTCTGTTAATTATAAAGTAGGAGTCCAGTAGTGCAGTGTGTCATGTGCCTGTGTGTCAGCCATTGGACTGTGCTCTCCTAACTAAATGGGGTGGATAGTGTGTGCTAGACCTTATAATGAAGAGTTTAGTATACAGTACTGTACTATAAAAACAAAAATAAAAATCCTGATATCTATTAATAATCAAATTGTGTTTATTGAGACTTATTCAAGAATGAACCAGTCAATATTTGTACTGCAGAATGGACATGACAATATGTAGTACTTATGTATCAGATGTTCACAAATGAAATGTATTAAGAGTATGATGAGTATTTATTCATGATTAAGATAATCAGTGGACTGTCGTATCGGTAAAACTGGCAAATGTGTAAATGGATACAGTATCTAATGTTTTAAGTACTTCACAGTACAGGTATATTAAAGTGAGTAAATGTTAGTGAATTGTTGATATTTTTTTTAGTCCTATGCTCTCTCTTCCCACAATTTTCCCCTACTTCTCCTCTGCCATAAGGGTTTTGTATCCTTTGATCCACCCCACACAAGCATAGGAGATAAATAAAGATGTGGTTGTCATCCTTTGAGTTAAAATTAATTATCAAATTTTTGAACTACTAGTACAGTAGTTGCATTTTGTTTTTTATCAAGGAAAAGTATTGAAGAAACTTGCAGAGCACTGTACTTAGGTATACTTTATATGTTTTTTATGGTTTTCACACCATTTGAGTTATTGAAACTTGTTAAAGAATGTTTCAAATACAGTAGTTGGAAAAATAAGTACCTTGAGAACCGTAGCATGTAAGGCAGTCGTAAACTATACAGCACTTACTTTGTCAGAATTAATTTAATTTTATCATAAACTGTATTCAATGGAAATTTCTACCTCTACATTTTACTGTTTTTCAAATACCTGCACTGTATTTGATGCTACTTTAATTTCCTGCCCTTGTTTTGTACAGTATCCCTGTACTGAACATTATATTTCTGTGATTGTAATTGTGACGGACTGCAGCTTGTTCTAAAGAAATCTACTTTGTCCTTAACATACGTATGTATGTGGAAAAGCATTATTATTATAAATTTAAAGGTTCATGTTAATATAAGTTAAAGTTTTAAGCATGAACAACATCTAGTCCAAAAACTAGTCTTGCTTTTTAGTCTCAAGTTTTGCAGAACATAGTACAGTAATATGTTTAGTCAATGCATATGAAACTAAATTCACTCTTGACTGTTTGTAATTTAAGATGGTACTGCTTCCCATCCTAACCTAAAATTCCTTGACTAGTCAATGAACATATTTTAATACTGTAGCAAAATATTTATCATTGCTTAAATAATCACAGCTGGTTCACAAACTTTATTGGGTTGTCTTCAGTTCTGTTAGTACCTTTATTCTTTACACAGTTTACTGGTTGAAATGAAGTGTAGCAAAAGTAGTTGCTTTAAATTAATGTCAAAACAAAGTCGAAATGCAGAGCAGAGTTTTTATTTTTATACAGTAACTCTTAAATTTGGTTTCTTAATTTTACAATGTTTAAAGAAGTGTCTATCATAGGTTGTGTATGAATCACCTTGTATTATTTTAGGATTGTCATAGTGAATTTAGATATCAATTTGGATGAGCTCTATGGAACAACGATACTCATCATGAACATCATTACCATTTTAAGGTCATTCTCTGTGCTTTTGTGGCCAATTGATTGCCAGGTACCTGATGGCATGGTGTCCGAGGGGATCCGACTAATTACCCAAATGTAGCCGCAATGAAGTCAAATAATGGTCCTACATGAATAAAACGGACTGCCAATCACTTCTCAACTAGTATTTGGTGTCACAAAGTCAAAAAAAATTAGAAAACTTAATTTAATCTGAGTTAATAGATCGCGTGCATGTACCGAGGGAGCGAGTAATTACCCAAATGTAGCCGCAATGAAGTCAAATGATGGTCCTACATGAATAAATCGGACTGCCAATCACTTCTCAACTAGTATTTGGTGTCACGAAGTCACAAAAAATTGGTAAACTTAATTTAATCTGAGTTAATAGATCGAGTGCATGTACCTAACCTAACCTAACGTCGACTAGTATTTGGTGTCACGAAGTCACAAAAAATTGGTAAACTTAATTTAATCTGAGTTAATAGAGCGAGTGCATGTACCTAACCTAACACAACTCAGATTAAATTAAATTTACCAATTTTTTGTGACTTCGTGACACCAAATAATAATCGAGAAGTGATTCACAGCCCGATTTACGCTTGTAGGACCATCATTTGACTTCATTGCGACTACATTTGGGTTCATTTGGGTAATTACTCGCTCCCTCGATACAAGCACGCGATCTATTAACTCAGTTTAAATTAAGTTTTCCAATTTTTTGTGACTTTGTGACATCAAATACTAGTCGAGAAGTGGTTAGCAGTCCGATTTATTCATGTAGGACCATTATTTGACTTCATTGCGGCTACATTTGGGTAATTAGTCGGACTGTGTCCCAGGTACCATCATCAATTTTTGCATTTGGATTCCTGCTAAGTTAGTATGATAGGTTCACCATGAATAAAGCCACATTATTATGTGTTTTCAACATCATGTTAACTTAGTTCTATTTATTGTTTTGATTATTTTTTATCTGAATTATGATATGAACTTGGTATGAATAATCCATCATGTTCTGAATATGTTGTAGCCTTGAGCAACATAAGCTTATACAAGATACAACATACAGTATTGTATACCACAAATAATATATCAAGTGAAGATGATGCCCTTTTCCTATTTATGTGAGATTATGATTAAAAATTATCTTCAGCAAACAATGCAGTATAGTATTAGCCTTTGAATGATTTGCTATGTAACTAGCAAATTTATAATCGGTGAAGGGATTGTTATATGATTTTCCTGTTTAATTTGGGTATTGCTACTGTTTACTCGATAAGTTTATTGTGAGGAGTTGGATACCTAGAAAGTGAATACAGTAGTAATATTTATTACCATGTGTGACTTAAGAACTCTGTATTAAAGTTTGAAAATGTCAGACATTGTTTTCTGCATACAGTATATGTAATGAGCATGTTATTATTGCTAGATATATGTACAGTATATTAACATGTACATATAGTTTTTAGGAATGTTTATTGTGATTTGCTTAAACATTGAGTTGTAATAGAACGATTGTTAATAAATCATATAAAAGTTTTAGCTTTTATAATCCATGACGGTTTCAAATTTAATTCCTTATGAGAAGCTCAAAGTATTATCTGATATACAAGTAAGTATTTTATTCAACGTTAAATGCAAGTTGTTCATTTGCTTGTACAGTACAAGAGAAGAAAGATATTTGAAAAAAGATGGTCATATAATATTGACCTTAATATCCTAATGAACATCCAAAGTAGAAGTGGCCATGCTGTGGGAAAAAGGCCTGTGTAGGATCCCCAATTTACTGTTTGTTGGTAGTTTTCTCTCGGGCTACTTTGAAGCCCAGTGTACTGTTCTCGATTTCGCAGCTTGAGCTGAGAGTAATATTAGGATAACGGAATGGGAATTAAGTTATACTGTAAAGATTTATACATTTGATTAGCGTTACCATAAACAAGTAATTTTGTGATATTTAGTCCATCCCATCCAGTTAATATATACACATTATTAATAATGATAATTGTAAACTTACAAAAAGGTGAGTACTCATTTAAAGTCATTTAAAGTTAATAGACTGAATCAATATCATCACCTTTGAAGTACACGTAATTTATATCGTACCAAAAGTATGAAAACCACGAAAGAATAGCAAGAATGCATATAGATACGAAAAAATATCATTAGACAAAGTCCTCTCTCTACCATTCCAGGCACAACAAAGGTATCTTTCTGAACAAAATATGCCGGCTTTCCTGATGAATATGTCACTAGAAACATTTCACTCAACACACTAACCAGTTATTAACACTCCTGACCAACAGGTGATTCCCTTCAACCAGATCCCATTGAGTTAGAACTGGGGTCAGAGCCATAGCACAAGGAAATCATCTTTATACATGGCGTCATAGGAGTGGGAATGGAGAGTCCATGAGATAACCAGCTATTTCGGGGGCTGACTTCAGCTCTATGCAAGTACCATGTAATAATTCGATTGTTTAGCCTTACTGACATATGGTGCAAATATATGAACTCCGAGGGCCAATATTTTTTAATTTTCTTTTAATTTCAAAGTACTAAACTCTACTGAAGAGCGAGAACCCTGCTCCGCCATTTTGATTCGTGTGGCCGGGGCCCGAGAGGCGACGGCGGCGTCAAGTGACCCACGCCAGTCACCCGCGCGACAGAACACGTGGCAACACCGCTTTCACTATCACCGAAAACGGGAAGATATTTATCATGTTAAAAGTTTTAAACTATCTATATACATTATCATCATCGGTATATTACAACCTATTTGAATAAATCTTATATTATGGATGCTTTTTCACTGGGTTTTCATGGTAGAACTTGAAAAAACATGTTGAGAATGAATATGTTTTTAAGCAGTGGTGTTTCTCTCGTCATGTATCTAACTAGTCCCTTTTATATTTTTCGGGAAATTTTAATAATATCGCAGGTAGTGAATTTATTTTTTTGAAAAATTAAAAGACCTGAAAGATATTTGATTATATTCGGGAGGCGTTTCTTTAATAAGTGATATATCGTGTTCACCTGCTGGCTGTGAGAAGCTGCACTCTACAAGGAACCATGGCACAGATCAGCCGGGAAACTCTGAAGAAGAAAATATCTGGTAAGGTTTTTGTGGATTTTAGGTTTTTTTTGCGGTTTCTGCTTTACACAAATATGGTTAAGTGTATCCTCTAACAATAAGGCAAAATGTGATACTGTGTTATGTGCGAATTAGACGTGAAAGACCCGTGTTAGTGTTGAGGAGGGAGTGTACTAGAGTCATGCAGTGCGGTGGTGCCGATGTTCACCTTGGGAGGATGTTTACCGAGGCGGTGGTGCCGCGTGTGTGGGCGCGGCGCTGCCAGGTCGTGATGCTCCGCCGCGGACCCAAGCGGCCAGCCAGCGTCACTACCACTCTCTTGCCAGCTACCCTCTACAGCTTTGTGAGTACTTCCTTTTGATCCATTTATTTTTCGGGTATTATGCGGTGTTTAAACTGCATTTTCTGCTAAATTGATTGTGCAAGTGTATACGCGTATATTTCTGGGCTTATTTCAGTCGTAATATATTTACTTTCGTTATAATATCGTGTAATAAAGTGGTCCTTTATTTCTGTCAGTTGGACCTTGCAGCGTCGTACTGAAAGCCGAGACCGGCATTTTGAGCCTGCTTCCCCTGTGTAGTTGCGCGTGGGTTACAAAGAAATTGAATTTTCTACCGTTTCATATCTATTATTTATGAAAATAATAACCTACAGTTGTAATATATGCCTTGGAGATACAGTTTATTGATAATTTACGGAGGACATAGAGAGTGGACTTCGTTGAAAAGTCAAGAGACTAGACGCGATGGCGGGCTTGGCGTCGCTTGGCCACGGCCTCATAATAACCACCAGTCATCTTTGGCTAATTATTCAGCCTGTGTGTTAGATATAAATTATAACAGGATGTCAGGTGTTTGGTGAGATGTAACTGGCTAATATTTTTTGAGTTTGGTAATTTAGCTAGTGATAATTATGAGTGAAAAGAGGGTAAATAGATGGCCTGGTGGGATGCGACCTTTTACCGCAAACTTGCCTGATGGTTGGCAGCACGGGTCTACAACGATCATATTTGCAACTGCTCGAAACTTTTTGAAATCTTGCCCAATATGCTTCTTATTTACGAATGATTTTACTTTCTTTAGGTTTATTTTTATTTATATTTGACAACATTTTATGGAGAATTAGGTTTCATTTGCGAATGGACATTGAATTTTTGCTGTACAAGGCTGAATTTTTGGTGTGCAAGGCATTCTTTGAATTGTACCGGACTCTAAAAATTTAACTCTCTTCAAATAATACCAACGGTTTTTCCTGTACCAAGGTATGTTTTGGCTCTCCACTGATTTCAAAATAAACTATTAGCGGTGTGTATAATACATAGCCACATTAACCTATTATTATGATTTCTTGTGTTTTAGGAAGCTTCTAGATAAGTGCTGTTAAATTGGTAAATATTATTGAATCAATTATTTTATTTGAAAAAGCTGATAAGATTTTTAAAACTAATTCAGAGTGCAAATAAAGACCAATTGGTTAAGGCTTAGGGGATGGTCTTCACATAATGTCTTGGTGTATTTTTTGGAATATTGGTATAATTTGAAGGACATGAAGAAAAGAGTAGGATCAGTCTATGGATCGTGTGACCACGTGTGTTGGGTAAATAAAAGAGGCTTAAGAGCTTAATCATTTATTGTTATCCCAAACCATATACCGGTACTAGGGGGGGTTTTAAAATTTTTATTTAGCCCAACTTCCTGTTTAGACGAAGGCTGTTGATAATTGTGCTGGAAGCCGTGGACCCAGAACTATGCTACTGGGGTAATAAGGTTTTAGCTTGGATTTGGTTGGTAGCCTCCAGCATGATTGTAAACAAACAAGTATCAGTGTGAGTATTTAATTTAGTTTTTAAACACTGAGGCTTGCACACATGGCAATAATTGGTCTTCTAGAATTTTTTGGTAAAATAAAATATATTTCTTACGATGGAATTCAATATCTGGTGAGGGGGTGTCCCCCTCAATGCTGGTAGGTAAATGACAAAATTATGATTTCAGCAGGAGTGAACCACTGAAATATGATAAACATAAAGCACCTAGGTGTGCTCTCGGTGAAACTTTAATTTCGGTCATCCCTGTATTTAGATATCCAAACCTACCTAACCTAGCCACAGAACTTAGGGACTATATCTAACCAAACCTAAATTCCTAAGTTTCCACAGATGACTGACACCAAAAGGATACTGCGCTATCTAACTAATTAAATTAATTCATGTTTTATTTTTGGTACTCCGCAATATTTTCATCTGCATGAAAGCAATTATTTTACATTGGATATGGGTAGGGCAGCTGTATTGATGGGGTGCTGGACAAATCGTACCCAGGTAAATGATAACTCGTACCCAATTTACGAGACTTTGTATATGTATGTATATATATGTATGTATATATATATATATATATATATATATATATATATATATATATATATATATATATATATATATATATATATATATATATATATATATATATATATTGCAGCGTATAAGTTTGAATTAGACCTGGTCTTGTTTCTGCGTGGTCGTGACTTTTTAAACAAACATATCCAGATTATCATTAACGTACAATAACGTAACTAATTGTGGTATTATTTTACTTTCGGACATAGCGCCCCTGAAAGTTATAAACTACTGAAACATTTAGATCTCGCTATTCTGAGCATTTTGAAACCCATATATACATGATGGTAATGGATAATAGCTACACAATTGAATTTAATTGATTTTAAGTAGTTTTCAGTCTTTGAGATGTTATCAGCGCATCACGCGTGCACAATGTTGACTGACGTCATCCAGTCGTGAACAATGGGGTATCGTTATCACATTTTTTTTTTCGACCAATCACATTTGATTTTTTCAAGGGAAGCAGCCTGGGTACGATTTTAATTTCATTGACCAGTCTCACAATGGCCATGGTGGAAGTTGGTTGTCGCTTGTACTCCTACGATTATTTTAAGTTTATTGCGGAGTTTTACGAGAAAGACGATTATTCTATCTAATTCTTATGTATCCCTGGTCCTTCCACTTCTAAAGTATTGTACTTTCGGACATGGTGCGCCCCAAACTGTTGAAACATTTAGGTTAGTTTAACCGCTATGGGTCAGGCCTATTGGGGGTCCGTCTAGGAGTTAGGCTAGATGACTTGTTTTCGTTTTCTCTCCCACCCCAAAAAAACCAATTTCCCAAGCTTTCCCCATTATCATTGTGGGGGGCAAAAACGAGCAATTTTCGCCAAAAATGAAGGTCGTATTCGTTTAAAACACCAAAATACACTGAAAAAACATGTTGATTAACCCCTAGGGACTTGTGTCCTAAATTAAAAATTTACCCTTATTGTATATGGGTTGGCCAATATTCTCACTCTTCTTTCTTTTATATCTTTATTACTACTGTATTTCATTCTTGACGTTGACATGTCAGAAGTTCGTTATACCGGAATAAGTGCCAGCGAGGAGCCCCGAATTATATACTGTACACTAACTTGTATTAGCCCCTGTCTCGTGGGAATAACAATTATATAAATTTGGGTTAATACATTTAGTTTATATAATCCAGTCACCCCACTGTGTAGGGTTAGCCCGGCCTCTCCTTCAGAGCCCCTCACAGGCACCAGTCCACACTTGAAGCTCACGAGAATCAGACGGGTGATCTGACTCGGTCAAGCTGAGCCCCCGTCCGTTACTAACACTCACAGCTTACAGTGTTAATTACGGTGCATCTACTAATACTGTAGACTGTGATCAATATAGTTTAACCAATAAATGGAGAAAAGACTGTTTTGGGTTTGTAACTTAACCCCTCAACTTATTTATATATAAGCCAAGTTAAGGAAACTACCCAAAGCTTATATAGACTGATTTGTTTATAAAACGCTGAGGCTGGAAAATAAATCTGTGTTTATGCATGACTAGACGGATACACCCCATTTCGTCACCAACCCGGTTCGTCGCCAAAAACCCATTGTCACCAATATCAAACCTGTTTGGCTACCACCAACAGTCGCTGATATTAGTGACAAATTGTGAGTTATTATTTTACATGAATAGAAATTACACCTGTATACAGACGACTCAAGAATTATTATTATTATTCATGAATATTAATCATTTAATAAAGAAAATTATTCAAACATTGGTAAATAAACAGAATACAACAAATGAAGGTGATTTGGCACCAGCGCATAAACCACCGACCAGCAAAGAACAATCTTGCTCTATACCTTCTTGTCCCTCTTCTTCACAGAAGCCTCAATGGTTGATTTGCAATTACAACTAGTTGCTGGGTACAAGCTAAACTCATGCACAAGAAAAGCAGATCATGACAAACAAGTCCATCTCTGGAAGCTGTGGGATGAATATGGAAAAAAAAAAAATATCGCCACTTCTAATTTCCTATCTAATTGTCAGTGTCTTCTTCCAAGCTTGCATGAGTAATAACAATGTTTTGTTTAATTTATTTTTTAAATTTGTAGTCTTTCACATATATTAAGTGAGATGATTGCAGGCGACTTAAATTAATTTTTTTCGTTTTAGTCTTTAATAAATTGTTTAAGTGAGATGCTTGCATGGGTATGTAATAAAATTTTTATTTATTTTCGTCTTTAATAATTTGTCTTGGTGAGATGCTTGCATGATCCAATGTATTGTTATGCTGAGGCATAATTTTGTAAACTAGGCATTTTGGTAATTTTCTATCCCAATCAACAGTTATTTGGCCAAATTTTGTTTAATTTTCGTGTATATGTTAATGTATTATGTAAGAATTTTCTGGAATGTATTGCCCTTGAAATGGTGTTGGGAATGAACGCAGTGAAGAAATGGGTAAAAACAGTGGTGACGAAATGGGCACACCCCGTCTAGACGCCTCCATGTCTATATTTATGACTATTTTAAATGTTTTCTTTGCCCAGTTTATAAATTGGAACTGCCAACTCTATTAGCCTGAAATCTGTAAATTGCAATAAAGTTATTCTAAACCACACAGTGTGAAATATGTACCTGTGGTGCAATGTTTGTGTGACGGTACAGCTTACTTATGTAAGGGATGCAACCATTTTAAAGCGCTGCATTATATTTCACTGCACTTTTCCTAAAACATTTACATAATCTGTTTGTAATCATAGATGAAGCTAAAATGCATGGTATACAGTATATACTAATAAGTATGGATTATCTCTTGAATTGGGTGCAAGTAATCTTGGGTACGAGTTGTCCCTAACCCTATTGATGGACTGTATTGTTGTGGTTAGGTTAGTCAGAAAGAAGGCCATCTTCGTAACTGTCATTGTATAGTCTGCCGACGCATGTACATTAGGCTGCAGTATCTATATCATGCGTGATAATTTCAATACAAATTTGGAATTGTGGTAAACCATTACTGAGCATGTGAACCTGAAAGATATCCCTACTTATAGTTATACAGTATGGTTATTTTGAGTTACGTTAGAATGTGGATTAATAGGAAAATTTATTACGTGTACTTGACCAATGAAATACAAAATGGGTACGAACAGCACACTGCGGAACATAACGTAAACCACATGCAGATACTGTAGTAGTGTTGTACAGTAAGATCTTGTATTTCTTGAGTAATATAGACTGGGAAAATTACGCCAAATGCAAATGCATAAACTAATGGGAAAAATAACAATATAGACTGGCCACTCTACATCAACCTCTGATTTTCCCATTTATAACCTCCAGATGATAAAAATTATGCCTTTATTGACTTGATTGTGCTTTCCGGAAACTAGTTTTTAGGCCTTCCTCAAGTAATTTAATCACACGCTGCTTAGCCTGCATCGAGTACTTGACAAACTTAACTCCCTTATGATAGTCCCGCTTCTCCTTTTCTTTATTTGGCCGCTTAGGTGGGTCTGTCCCACCCCCAGTAGAGGTAGAGGACATTATCTTGACTCAACAGGTGGTAGCACCACCCAAAAAAGCACATAACAGCCCGGGCGGTCGCTAGGATGGCGCGGGCTACAACGACATAGTTGCATTCTTGTAAACTTCTTTTACGTTCACACACCGGCAATTCTATCACCAGAACGCTTCTTGGGAATATTCTTCTCACCTTGTCTTTCCGTATTCATCGCTAACAACAAAATTAGTGAAAATCGTGGAGTAATTGACAGAAACAGCGCGATTCAACTGATCACGTGATGAAAACAGAGCGCTGATATCCGTTGCTGATGAAACAGGCAGTGTATGCAAATGGCGACTGTGTTTAACTTTCATTTGATAATAGTTATTTTTTTAACTTGTTTGTTGGTACTGTATTACTGTATTTTTATTTATTCCTCACATTTCCAGGTACAGTACTGTATATATATTTAAAGAAAACTATGGCTACAGGAGGAAAATAAATTTTTTTTTTAAATACTTCCAGCTATAAAATATGGTAGTATTTTTTATTTATTTTTTTATTTATTTTTTGTGCATTTCGTACATTCGCCGGAAGGTACGGACATTTTTTTTTCAGACATGTGGTCCTGCCCCTTTAGTCCGGATCTTTGAGGGTTCACTTTCAAAGTTCTGGAAGGGCGAATTTCCATATTGCAGGGGTTGCCAGTACTAAGTAAATCCTCGAATTATGATGATAGTGTGTCCTCCAATATTGCGGTGTAACGCGACTTGTTGGATTGTGAACCATTAGTACCATTAAAAAACTGTACCTGTATAGCAATAATGACATGCATTCCCTAGTGTGATCTTTTCTCATCTGCGGTATTGTGTAGCTCTTTACCCCCTTTCCCCCTAAACACAGTAAAATGAACGTAAAATAAAAACTATTCTATACTTTAATTGATTATTATTAATGCAAATTATACAGTACAATGTAATTCACTATGTACTAGTGATAAAGATCTCATCTGTGGGTAGAGTAACAGAGTATGAGTGAGTACATAAACGTTGTCACTTCCCTTAAGAATTATTACTGGTACTGTACTAAATGTCATAAGATTGAATCGACATTTATGTATGTAAAATGAACAATACAATTCACTGGTAATACATAGTCAATTAAAACACACGAGATGTGATGCCATTGTTGTCAGTATGCACACATGCAAACATAGCTCATTTGTTTACTAGTACGTACTTAAGAATATGAAAGCAAAACTTATTATTGTTTATTACTGTACATGTACAGTATGATTTAATTAATGTTCATGAATGTAAAACGAAAATTCTACTCGCCAATGGTGATAAACCTGAACATATTAGGACAGCCAATGTTGTTTTCCCGAGTTTTTGCTCGGCAGACGGCAAAGTGCCTAAATAAGCAGGTTCTTTCTCTTAGCCTTTGAACCAGCACTACATCACTTGCTCTCTTGTTTATGTTGAATAGGGGCACAAAAATGCCATAAAATAGCTGAATTTTTTTTATCTTGATCTGGTTAAGACACGTGGAAATGAAAGGCGCGACAAGCAGTGGCTGTTAGTGTCATCAGCTCAGGAAGGTCTTGTGTGCAATTTTTTATTTGTACAATACTGTACAGTACATTAATTATGTGATGTCACCTTATTTAATTTTTCTATTTTCGTTGTAAATACAAATAGAATAACAATTTGAATTGTAATTCAAGACTTTCCTGTACTTGACATCATTTAGTGGCTGGTATCACTTGTTTTGAAAAACAAAGCAAAAAAACAATAGAATAAAAAGTACAGTAGTTTCAAGTTTATCGTAATTTACTTGTGCAACATAACAAAACTAAACAATAAATGTAATAGTACCTGGTGGACATGTTTTGTGGAAAAGAAAAAAATGATTAATGCCTCATTGATAAATGTCAGTGGTAACTATTTCTAAGTATGTTTGTGTGCGTACAACACACACAGTATTAATATATTTAAATGTATGTGTATATGTTAATGTTTTCAATTTGTCAAATTTCCTTTGCAGCAATCCTTAGAGGAGCAGATCTTGAAACACTCTCGGCAAAGAAAGTTCGGCAACAGCTTGAGAAACAATTGGGAGTTGACCTATCAGATCGTAAAAAGGAAATAGACGCTATCATCATGGCCGATGTTGAGGATCAAGTGAACTCACACTCAGATGAAGAGGTGTCTGAGGAGGAGGTGCCCAAGGGCAAGGAGGACTCTGAGTCAGAGCCCGAATCTGAGGTAAGAACCTTGGGTTGATTGTTGCTTGGGAAAATATATGGTTTCATTTCAGATTCGACATAGAGGCAGGTAAGATTCATCTGGTACCAGGGTTTTGTCGTCACGAGTTTCAAGAAATCTGCCTTTAGTATTTTTGCTTGTATTGAATGATTCCTCTCAAAAGGGTATTCATGTTCTGTACAAATATATTCCAATTTCATACTATTAGGGTGAACTTTCTCTATTCACATCAGTGGTTAGGTTTAACCAAAATCAACACTGAAAATAGGGATATGGTTTTTCCTGTGTCCTTTCTCATCAAACCTAACCATGCACACCAATGATATATTCCCAAGACATAAATAAAGATAAATGAATTAAATTTCTCAATAGTTTTGAAGTTACAGCCCATGACAGGTTTAGTGGGAATGTGGTGAAACCTACACCTATGGAGTGTAAATGAAACTTTCAAGAGACAATGAAAAGCATTCATATCCTACACGTGCTAATGTTCACAGTGGAAATAACGTGCTGCTAATTATGTGTGCAGTCTGATACTGTAATGTTATCACCCATTACATGTCCAAATGATGTAATGAGCAGGGGCATCGGTGGGTGGTTTGGCGGGTAGGGTGGTGATTGGAGGAAGGAGAACAATATACCAACCTGATTTGAGGTGGTAGCTTAAGGTTGGCTGCTCACTTCCTTCCCTGCAGTGGTCGACAGCTGAGCATCTGTATCACCTGGGTTGAGTGAGCACTTGGAGGAATATTCATTTTGAGAATATGCAGATAAGCACCAGATACTGGGTGCATCTGGTGGAAATGCAGCGGCACAACTGTACAAGGAACATTATCCGAACCATAGAGTGCCATCACGTCCAAACATTTCTTGTTGATCGTCGACTAAGTGAAACTGGTAGCGGTCGAAGACATGGCTCACATTCCAGGTGACAGAGGGCAACCACAAAAATGTGCACATACACAAAGCATTGCTGAGGACAAACCTGAGACAAGTATTTGACGGATCGCCAGGATATGCAACTGGCAGTGGGTACCGTGTGGAGGATCCTACAAAAGCATAACCTTCAACTGTACCACCATCAGACAGTACAAGCTATAACTGGATGTTTCATTTACACCCCATATAGGTTTACATCATATTCCTACCAAACCTGTCACATGCTGTAAAGCCAAAGCTATTGAGAATTGACAGGAATATGCCCCTGAATTATAAAAGGTATTTACGGAGCACTTTTGAGAGTGTGTGTATGTATAATATATATATATATATATATATATATATATATATATATATATATATATATATATATATATATATATATATATATATATATATATATATATATATATATATATATATATATATAATTGTGCTAGATGCAATTTTCACTAGATGCAATTTTCACTAACATTTTGGATTGCTTTATTTAATTTAGTTATTAATTTAGGTGTAAAGGTTTGTAACGTGCCACATACTGTAGGCAGTTTCCTGTATTTTTAATTGACATGCATTTTTGTATTCTTGTTTGTTCATTGTTCACAAGTTATTGTATAAACTACCTTAAAAGTATTACAGTATATAAAATTTATTAATTACAGGGGAAAGGTGGGGATGATGACGATTATGAGCCGGGTTCCAAAAAAGCTGCCAGAAAACCAAAGGCTAGCCCAAAGAAACGCAAAGCCGATGACGATGATGACTCTGATGAAGAATGGGGCAAGAGGAAGAAGGTAGTGGTATGTTTCACCTGCTGATTTCTGTGCATGACATTTACATTAAAAACGTTCGAGTACCAGACTAATTAAGCCCCAGCGACGTTGTTGCTCGGACAATCCAATATTCAGGAGTCCATGCATAAGGCATGGATGGCCTTGTGCAATGTGAGGTAAAGTGGATAGTGTGTATGTGTACAGTATACCTTCTGCAATGAAGTGGATGTTTTCACATAATCCACTTCATTGTCAAAGGTAAATTTAACAGAGTAAAAGGGAATAAGTTCCAATCCTTTGTTATTCTGTATTTTATATTTGCTCAAAATTGAGCAAAAATTGCGATACTGTATAGCACATCATAATATAAACCACATTTTATGTACAAAAATAGCTCCTGCCCTAGAATAATTCTACGGGTGATGCCGAGTTGAGAGTTCAGCCAGCCAACTGACTTGAGACACATGGCTGCTATGCCGTGATGCATCCACATATGTTCAATCTCCCACACAGAATACTGTTCATACTTGTGCTCTTCAGTTTTATTTTTTATAGATTTATATTATATTTTCCTTTATATCCTAAGTCACATTAGAGTACTGAAATGATTTTCCTGCAACTTTCAACATTTTCATAGCATGTTATGTAGTGAAAATTATGCAAGTTTGTATGGGACCCACTTTCAGTGGAGATAAAGTGGATCACACTTCAAATATGCTTTCGGTATACAGTATTTATTCAATTTCAAATTTCTGCATTATCTCAGGAGCAGTGTTAATTGTCAACCATGGCAATAAACTGTAATATCCACACATAGACTGAGTACATGCTGTGATGCTCTATAACAATGATCTGCAAGATATTTTTTAATGCTTTTTTCCGAGAGTCGTGGCAGTACTCAGGTGGTCCGGTACTCTGGGTTTTTATTGTATGGATTTTTAACTTTACTATAAAGTGTGTAAGGATATGGACTTCATATGTAGGGATTACAGAAGTGTTATATGATTTTTAGAATGTTAATTCAAGAAAGTATTCAGATATATGTAATCATTTTATTGCCAATAGTTCATGATTTAGAATCTTAGTACAAGATATAAAGTATTCAGACTTCTTAATGTAATAAAAAAATAATTAAGTAGGCAAACATCAAAAATGAAGTAATATTATTGCCCCCCAAAATTATTTGTAGGCTCCCAAAAAGGGTGGTGGACGCGGTAAGAAATCTGCATTTACCAAGTCTTTCAAATTGTCTCCTGAACTGGCTGATGTTGTGGGCTCAGATGTAATGCCTCGCCATGAAGTTGTTAAGAAACTATGGGCAGTCATTAAGGAAAGGGAGCTGCAAGATCCTAAGAATAAGCAGTTTGCAATCTGTGATGATCAACTATTGAAAGTGATTGGTAAGTTTATTTGTTGGTGGTTTTGTGAAATTTTCTTGTAAGAAACCATATTCTAGATCTGACATTAGCCTGGTCCAGGGACACGTGTGAATTTAGATTAGCATGGTTGTCTCGGAATCCTACTTGTTATTACAAAAGCCAGTGAGGCATCAGGTCAGTCAAGAAAAGATAAGAATGGTTGGGCTAACATGGATGTGAGGCATGACTTCTAAATTCAAATGTAGTAAATGGGACATAGAGAATTGGTGGTATTGATTAGTAACAAAGGAATGTTGAGCAGAAAACATATCGGGATCAGCTTAGGTGGTTAGATATACTGAGGGAGTGGGTAGTAAAATGTTTGTAACTAAAGGTGTATTATTTTGTAATAAAGTAGATCATGAACAATTAGTAAAATATGCTGGTTTCCCTGCATGTGGGGGAAGAAATGGCAGGAGTAATTTTTAAGGAAAATCTTTTCTTTAATGAGGAAGCCTTATGAAAATAGAATAGGAGTAAGGATGTCAAATGGTTGAAACCGAATTTCTAACTTCAAATATATGTTAGTGGAGAAGGGGTAATTTGCTGAATGACTGGGACATGGCATAGATTGAATATTTTGTAACATTAATAACTCCCTGGTGTTCTTTTGGGCCTGAACTATAATGTTGACAAGTGTTGCATACCTGGCAGGACAACTTGAAGCTGGTGATCCTTGCATCAAAATTCAAAATGATCTAATGTAGAGTAATCAGGGGCGGATTAACCCAACAATGGGGCTGAGGTACATATGGGGCCTGTTAAAGCTAACACAAAAATGCTCACATTGTCTAAATGCATAATAAAGTAAAATTTATAGAGACTACTCAATCTTCATATTTGTAGATATCAACAGAACTTTAGAAAGTTTGTTTTATAACATGGAATTTTACTTTCTTAACCAAAAATATAATTATTTTGAATTCTGGAGCAGTTAAGGATATTCATAACCTAATTATTCAAATGGTACTCGGTGTCGTTTTACGTTTCCTTAAATTCTCTTTGTTTCTTCTTGATGAGTGAGCAGAGATCACAGAAGTAACGTTGATATTGTGTAGAACATCAGATTCTGTACACGGCACGGGCAGATGATTCAATTTATCTTACCCCCATTGATGAGCGGAGATAGCCTTGATCCGCTTGAAGGCAGAGAATGATGAGCGCTCTCTAGTGGCGTTCGACCCCATCATTGACAGATAAATTTGCAGTATATAACCTGCATTTTGGGAAATGCTTCGTCCAACTTTTGGATCTTTAAAGCTTTGACATGTGGCTCTCCTGCTGAACTGCAGCTTTAGATGTTGGTGCACTGCAGCACCAGATGGCGTTTGCATCCTACAGTGATTACGGTTGAGTAGGTGTAACTTTACAAGCATGTCGGTGCTTGTGAAACAATATGAGAAATGTAACTCGAATCTATAAAATGGATTTCTCAGTTCAAATAATTGTTGAATTCTTGTTTGACACGGGCCTGGGGCTTCAGCTTCACCAGCCTGTTGGATAATCCGCCCCTGAGAGTTAAGGTATTCCGTATATTTACCGGGCCCAAAACCTCATAATACTGAGCATAGGGACTTTTGTCATACTCAAGGGGATTTAAAACTGAATGAGTTAAGGAGATGTGGGAGTTGTGCAAAGAGGAATCATGTTGAACATAAAGTTGTAGGAAGTTGCTTAAGCTGAAAGAGAAATCATTGTAATTTTAACTTGTTCTGACCATTTTTTTTATGTAGGTGCTAAGTAATTTCTGCATGTGATTTTTCTCCTGTTAGGTTTAAAGAGCAATGTTTTTACAGTATTTCTGACACCTTTAAATTTTCGCCTCTTCCTCCCCCCTCCCAACAGGTGTAAAGCGCTTCCGTACTTTTGGCATGATGAAACATCTGAAGGACCACTTCCTGGAGGCTGCATAAGGAAGCTTCATATACTAGGGACCCTGTCAGTCTCCAATGCCCGGCACACCACGGCAGTTGACTTCCCAAAAGCTGCTGTTCTCACCCATATTCACTACCAACTTTGCTTAGTTGAGAAGCCCCACATATTATTTTTTCTGGAGGTATGATTTGATGAATTATGAGGTCTGCTTATAAATAAATTTAAATGATCAATAGTATCATTATTGTCTAAGAATATAATTTCTGTAGGTGAAATCTCATTAGGGGTTTAGCTAGAAGGACAAGTTTTGTCTTTCTAAGCATTGTTTGGTGTGTGCCTTTTTGTATCCTTTGTCAGCAATGGAATATGCATTAGTTGATGTGCTTGTTTTATTTGTTTGTCTGATAATTCAAATAAGCGTTTGTGTTTATTCATATGACGGAGATTATCCCCTCCCCTTTCCTCTGTCTGATGTGTTCATAAAAAATGGAGAACCACTCCTTTAGCAGACTCACTTCTTCATATATAACATTGTCATTAATCATTACATTTCAGTTTTGGACAGTAGCAATGTAATATAAAATGTTATAATTTTTCTGTGGCTTGGAGTAGATAGGTTCTGCTTTATAGGTTATATTATTTATCAGGTTACTGCATTCCACATGCTCAGAATGTTTTGTGACTTGGGATTTTGTGGAATATGTTAAGGATTTCAGAATTATTTTTGAATTATTTTATGTTTGTGATATAAAATAGCCACAGATAGTTAACAAATTAATATTAAAAATCTGTCACAATGGTACGTCTTTTAATAAAATATTTTGTAAAAAAAATGTATTGCTCCATCCTAAATTCTTGCATTTCACGACTTTTTGTGCATCTTCTGTTTTGCAGGTAACCAATGAGTCAGCTTTGGGTGTCTCAGGTGACTAAGGAGTTTGTCTTGATCACCAGACACCCAAGACTTATGGTCTCAGGAGGTGACCAAGACAGTGGTCTCGGGTGACTGGTGATCAAGGTTATGTCCTGTAGGGTCCTTGATCACCAGACACCCAAGACTATAGTCTTGGGTGTCTGTAATGATGCTTGAAATATTTTAATTAAATTTTTGCAATCCTAATTACTTGCCAACTATGGGTTTCTGAGGTGCAATTTTGGTGGTGTGTTAATCTGGAAGTACCTAATTAGTTCAGACTTGTTAAATTCCAAATCCGAGAGAAAAGTTTATTTGTCAAAGAATTACTAAGGCTTATGACTTAATATTTTTGAGGTTTTAGCCAAAAATTAGATTTCACTGAAAATCACAGTACATAGGTACTCCAGAGCATGCCAAATCCAAATCTATGACCCACCATCTGATTGCAGGGTATTTAGTGGCTGCAATGATGCTTGGAATATTTTAATCACAAAATTTGAATCCTAATTACTTGCCAACTATGGGTTTCTGAGGTGAGATTTAAGTTTTTTTGTGTATTCTGAAAGTACTTAATTAGTTAAACCTGTGTAACCACTTGGACTTAACCAACCTTTGTTTATTCATTCCCAAGTGACCCACTGCCATACTGTATAGCAGCTAATTTATCAAACAGTCTATGCAAAACTTGGCCCGTAAACTCGCGCAAGTTAAAATGTTTATATTGTTGACTATATATACTTATTTCTTTGTTACATTTTCGTAGTTACTTACTTTTAGGTGAAGAAATAGTAACGAATTGCTTTACTCACCATTTATGGCTGCATCTACCCAAACTGCAGGCTACGTTAAATAGAATTTCTCAATCACTCCACGGGCCGTGGGTTGCCCATACCTGCACTAAACACTTTTAGTCATTGAAAAATTAGTAAGTGGACTTGGAAAAGCCATGGAAAACAAAATTCTAATACATACTTCAATTAATATTTATTCTAAGTGATATAGGTATGGTTGCAAATTTCAATTTGATTGCACCCATGGTGACAAAAGTAAGTTGTCAGAAGCTAAAGCCTCGGTTAACAAGATATGTGTAATAGTTTGAGGCAAAGGCAGCATGTCTACATGGGGTGTAGCTCAGAATATGCTACTCTATAGCCATGTGTTGACCAAAATTTTCAGTGACCGTGTCTAGGAATAAGACCACACGGTCAAAAAGTTAAAACAAAGGTATTTATGGCATGCCTCCTTTATGTCATAATGGTGCATTTTTTTGCATTGAGCATTGCTGATGAGTTTGCAGTGGGACCTCCTGATATAGAGCTTGACCAGCAGTGTGGAGTGCTCCATGTCTATTATATAGCCAGGGATATATGGGTAGGGGTCATCAAACAATCGCCCCGTTGGGAAGTGGAGAAGCAGCATCTTGGGGAGAGAGAGGCTTATTAATAACTGGGCATGAGAGTAAAGCTCCACATGACAAAAATTAAAGGTTAGGTAATGCAACGAGGACTAACTGGAAAGTAATGAATGAACAATAAGTGTGTTTCTCAATGGCATTATATGAGGTTTATATAAGTGGATCAGTTCTGTTGAGTGAGGTGAGAAACTATAGGAATTGGAGAGGTTGAAGTAGAAATAAGTCCCATCACACATGCCTTTCAAATGGTGAATTATTCCCCGTAAGTAATGCAAGTTCTAGAAGACAGAATAACTTAACAAAAGAGTAAGATAATAATGAATGGCCCATTGCCCATAAGGGGTAGTGATGGTACAGCATACTGCATGGACTATAGTATTATACATACCAAGCCACTGTTACAAGAGGCAGCATGGCCAGTACTGCACTCGATTGCCTTCACTTGCCCTACTAAAGTTAGGTGCCCATTCACAGCTAGATGTGATTTAGGACAAGGGGCACAAACTCCATAGGTATTCACCTACTTATTCTCTAATGCTAACACTATTTGATGACACATGTAAAAGTTCAAAAACACTACTGTACTTCATAGTTGATCCTCACATTAAATCTAGCAATTGATTGGGTGTAGGCTACAATATGCTACCTTATTTATATATAAGCATAGTACAGGGTGTCCCTGACTTACGAACACTCGCTGAACTGAACGGGGTTAAACTTGAAATTTACAGTATTTTATTTTCCTGATGACTTATTTATACTTTCATTTACTGCATTTTGTCATATATTTCTTTTATCTTAAATTAAGTGATTTTAGATGTACTGTATATAAGGACTTAGGCTATGATATAGTGGGATTTTAAACATTGTTCTGTAAGTACAGTATGCACATAGCATGTGTTCCGACTTATGTACAAATCTGACTTGGAACGTCCTCAGGAACGGAACCTGTCCATAACCCGGGGACCCCCTGTAGTCTAAAATAAGCTGGCTCAAAACTGGAGATTAAATTAAGTAATACAGGTTGACAATCCCTTATCCAAAATCCTTGGGGCCATAGGCATTTCGGATTTCGGAATTTTTCGGTTTTCAGAATGGTTAGGTTTTTTATTATTTATGTGTATTAGCCCACCTAGGCACAAGTCACTGACCCACATTGGGGCCTGAGGGGCGAAAATGTAATAAAAATTATAATAATAATAATTCATAGGTCTAGGTCGTGTTTCTCACTTTTTTATATCTTTTTTCATTCTTGTATTTCTTTATTATTATTTTATTAATACAGTATTATTGTTATTATTATTATTATAAATTTTATTATTATTTTATTTTGGTGTATTTTTTAATTAAAATTTTTATTTACTATGAATAATTATAATTATTATTATTATTATAATTAGTATTACTATTACTATTACATTTTCGCCCCCCAGGCCCCGATGTGGGTCAGTTATCTATGCCTGGGTGGGCTTAATCCCTGTATAAAAAAAAAAAAAAAATTGCTCGACAAAAAAAAAACTAAGTTTTCGGAATTTCGGATAAAGGGTTGTCAACCTGTACTGTAAATGAATCCTGAGAGGTAAGTGGTGAGTATATAGGAATAGTACTGTATTTTGTAGTACCTTAACATCGAAAGTTTTACTGTTGATGACATCTTTGATTCTTTTTTCATCTTTATCAACTCCAGTAGCTGAGGCGAGGAGATCTATGGAGGTGATGTTGGCAGCCAGTAGGAGGGTGGAGAGTGGCATGCATGGCACCGATATGTAGATCCCTCGCTCCTCATCCTGCACAACACCTGTTCCTATTACATACAAACCTACACATACATTCTAACTAATTAAGAGCAGGCTTCATTATAAAACTCTTTCACTTACCCATATAAGAGCAAATTAGTCTAAACTCTTCCACTTGTTACTACTACAATACATTCTCTGCTTAGACTTCCTCTCATTCCCCATTATACAATTGTATGTAAATGAAAAGTGAAAATGGATTCCATAGGCATGACTGCCTGGTAGGGATGTAGATATACAGCAGTAGAAACATAGAATTCAGTCTCATTAAACATACCGAATTCGTCAACATAAATTTGAGTGCTGTAATGGTATGTACAAACTGGATAATTTTGTAATTAAGATTTGTAACCAGGTGAGAAGGATGGGTCATCTTACCCTATGACCTGACTACGGACAGCTGCTGTGCTTATGAAGATTAGTAGGGTCACTGCCTTATGACCAGACCATTGTGGACACCTACAGTCCCCTAAGGACTTGATCTCACTCTCCTCTACTGTACAGTATATATTAGCCTTGTCAAGTAATTCTCCTTAGTCTGTACTCACCCCTGAAGATGTGAATTTCACGAAAGCGCTTGGGAATTTCGTGTTTCTTGTTATCAGCATATATATATATATATATATATATATATATATATTTATTATGTCAATGACCTATATGCAAGAGTGGCAGGGAAATACTGGTCATAAGTACGTATCTGTAAGTACTACACAGATCTCAGGACACCTGTTTTGGATATGAGCGTTAGCCACCATTTACGCAGTTAGTTAATGTTCTGTGGTGACACTTTTATCTATAAGAGCAGGTAGTTCTTGAAGAGCAACAAAATGCACATAAATACAAGAGCATCATTTAGACCTCAGAAGTTTCTACACACCACACTTAGGAAAATAAATTGTAACTTTTTTTAAAAAGATGTACTAGACTGTACAATATCTAAGAACATACCGGGTAGGTTGCTTATCATAAAATGATCACAGTGAGCATGAACCAGCAATGACGTTCATCCATTTTGTGGTACAAGACTACAGTATCAGGTGGCTACCGCTATCCCATGACCTGATGCCACATTAAGTAACCATACAGTAATCTAAAAGTATAATGAGATGTAGGGTGTTGTGGTGAAACTGGCAAGAATGATGGTTGTGACTCGAGGATGTGTGTTACTGACCCCAGTGAGTGTTTCGTCGGCCAGCTTACTACGGGCCATCAGCAGCTGCAAGAAGTGGTCAGGCAGCTCCTCTTCCAAGTCTCGCAGCCAGTACTTTTTCTGTGTATCATAATAGTCAATAAAAAATGCTAGAATTGTGGAAATATGCACCGTGAAAATTATATATTCATAATATATTACTGTATAGTACTGGAGGCATATAATAGGGAGATTGGTGTAATACAAATGTAAAAGTAGAACAAGAAAGGTATAAGATAAGGAGTCAAAATAAAAAAATATCTTTAGTTCGATTTCTAAGACTGCAAGTTAGAAAACAGTTACTACAGCAACATTCAAGAAGATTTGGATCTCTGATTACACTGGTAGTGTAACAAGGGTTAAAACTAAAACTCCATCATCACATAAAACAATAATTTCTTGCAATACAAAAGCAAATGTACAGTAATTCAGCAATTATAATTCAAGTAATGTTACATTTGCATCAGTTGAGTCAGCAGGTCTGCTTATCAACCTGACAACACATTTGCACAGATTCTGGGAAATGAATGACCTAACACTCAATTTACGCTCTCACAAAAGGATAACTGGCTGGCATTTTATAAGGTGCATGTGGATTATACTGTACATGTGAAAAAAAGTCATTCTGACAAATAAACACAACATACAAGAATATCATGTCAACTAAATGAATATGACAAGTAGATGTATTGGATATGGATAATAGTATGATCACTTGATACAAGGAAGAAAGATTGATGACATATTGCATCAATACTAATACAGTATACATAGTGGATGATAATATGGAGTAGATACTGTATTAATATCAGGTAGGGGAAGATATGACGAGTATATACAGGAATTGATATCAAGTAATGAGAACGACGCTAACGAGTTAAAGTATTTAATATGACATCATGATGTACTGGTTTCCTCCACTCTTCCTTAGCTCTGGAAAGGTGAAAGGTGCAGTCAATCAGCAGAGAGTCTGTTGATATTGGAACCTGTATTATTAGAAACTGCCAGAGGTAAAGTTTGCTGAATTTGTTGGACAAGACCATGAGGTGGAAATTTGTGGGATAAATGTCACTGGAGTAGCAGTAGGTAGGGTCATTACCTATTATGTGTTTTCATACATGTGACAATCACTAACCGACTCTGGGTGACTGTAGTGGATACAGACAGGAGAGGTCCAAGCGTTTCGGCGGCGCTCCTGTAGGATTCGGAAGGAGCGAGGGTCTGGCTCTATCAACAGACCAGTCCAGCTATAGTTCTTCTCCAACATCAGCGTCTGGCTCATGAACTCCCCATCCACTACCCCTACCTCCACGAACACCCCAGGAGCCTGTGAAGTTAAATGTGTCAAGATTCTCAGTGACGTGTATTCTACAGTCCAGTGGCAAATTTACACTTACTGCCACTGTGTTAATTATGATAATCAATATTAAATTTGTGGAATAAACATATCTATCTTCCAGGTGGATCTGTGTGGAGGTTCCAAAATTATTTTAAGCAAGCTTTTTGCTATTTATACGAAGGCCCTGCTAGATACTGTACATGGGAATTTCAATATTCAACGTTAAATAGTGCATGTCTTCTAGTTGAGATACTGTACTGTCACTCACAATTACAATTAAGAATCACGAGAGAAGTTGTCCAGAGCTATACTGGAGGGATACCCCTTGACAATTCCAAAAGGTGTGTGTGTGTGTTGGGGGGGGGTTGCATAACGAGCCCACCCAGCTGGGGGGTTTCGAAATCAGACCAATATCATGGGCATTTTGAAGCCATGTGCATTTAATATTAGGAGATCCTCTGAAGTCTATAGCAATTACTTTTTACTGTACAAAAACGTTTGAGTACAATACTGCATTAAAGAAAAAGCAATGGAATTTTCTGGTGAAGAGTCAAAGACCACCCCAGGATCTGCCCTAGTAGACTGCGTTAATGTCACCGGTGCATAGTACCGAGAGGCACCATAATTTTCACACGTTACTCTGAAACATCATGTGTACAACTCTGAGTACAATTGTATGATAAGTTAGCAGGACCATCTTCCACAACGGTATTAAAATAAAATGTGACTATTGTATCGTATAGTACACATAATTGTATTAGAGCTTATAGACTTCCATTAAGTTACCGCTTGCCCATTTATAGCATAAGCTAGGCAACTGCAAGCGTTCTAATATCTGAGTACCTGAAGTGCCAGAATTCAGGTACCAGTTCTGTGGCCCTCTTTTGGCAATTTACAATCAACTAACAGTCTCTAGCACATCTCAGAAACCAGCCACAGTACCCTGTACTGTAATGCGTTATGAGAGGCGGATCATCCAGGTATGTGACCGCCCTTTTTGTAAGACCTACTCCAGTAGTTTACTTGCTCGCTCACGTATAAGACAATGAAGTAAATAACCTGGTACACACCTGGTTCTTCCATATCTCCTTAAGATTTTCCTGCATCACGTTCCAGTCCACTAGTCTATTCCACACATGCTCATCAATATCAAAAGGAGTGGTGTCTGGGTTAGCCGGGGGAGGCGTCAGGTAGGACTCCTTCACCATGGAGAGGAGAGCCGGGTCAGTAACTTTCGGTGGACCCTTGAAGTACACATCTATACATTCTGTGGGGTACATGTCATCAGTGGTTAAAGTTATCATGCCTCTGGTGATGACTGTCATACGGGGTAACTTCTACCAATTCAATATATTTCAATTAAAAGGTTTTATTGTCACGGAAATGGCAGGCACACGGTTTGAAAGTAGCAGATGCAATATTTACATTCAATGATTCAAGCATCAGTAAATATACACACATTACACTTCATATTTCATGACAATAAGGATTAGGTACCATTAGTAAATGTCCTTGTATTATATTCGCTAATAAAATTATGCATGCATGAATGTAAACAAAGAAAGAAAATTAATTGCTATGTTACGATATTGGCAGGTATTGAGTGAGAGCTTACTGACGTTGACTACAGGGGTGAAGTGCCCAGGGGAAGAGTGTGGAGAAGTTAGTGATGACGTAACGGGTGATGAGCACTGCGGCAATCACCACCACCAGCAGGTTGAGCACCACGTTGCTCTGGTACAATCCCTGTCAACATCACCACCACCTGTTACACGCACTACATATTCTACTCGTTCAATTACAAATCAGAGGTGTCTCTACTACATTCAAGGGAAGTGAGAGAGCAATAGGTCACAAGAAGCGAGAGGGTACATCCTCGCCACGCATGATGTTACTTGCCGAGCCATAACTCAACAATGACACTACTTTCACACCCTTTGGCCTATACCATTTCCACACCAACACATACATGATGAAAACTTTATATCAACAACTCTAAACGTTAACACCAATGCAACATTAGCACAGTCCTAATATATCACAAGAATTCATGATCAGACAAATTTTACTCTATATTGCTTTAAATAATAATAAAAGCAATTTAATTGGCGAAGTACGTTTTAACTAGTCAACATTGATGGTCACAATCATTGTGCTTGTACGATCTGAACAGTTGGGAAGTATACTCATTTATTTTGAATTTTAAAAGTTGTGTTGCAGAAATTAAAATTTAGCGAATGGCGCTTCTATAACATTGACCGATGACACACCTACAGTAAATCAAATATGAATAATAAGAACAAAACCAACTAGTAAATACTATTTATAAGTCATTGCGATTTTTAGTTACTATGAGGGGAGAATTACACAGAAGACATGATTAAGTATGTACAGTAAATGAGAATTTTCATTTAAGGTACAAGGCCTTAAACAGGTGATAAAACACACATACAGGCACTGAATAGTATTAGTACAGATACAGTACATAAAAAACTCCTCAAGCTTAGTGTACATTACTTGTGTATTTTGATGCCCAATGCCTGTATGTAATATGTCATCATTTCAATACTTCAAAACAAAACTTTGAAACTTTTAAGAATTCCCTAAAATTTTTCAATAACCCGGTACGTGAAAACAATTAACCCACCATAGCCACGACAATATCAGCACTGTTCCTCCCAACACCTCGTGTACATGTAGATATCTAAGTAACTTTTCCTGTAGCACTTTTCCTCTATGCGTCTGGCAGTAAATGAAGATTATCTTCCCTGAAACTTCCAGCCAATCAATATCGAAGAGGGATGCAAGAGGTGATATGACTGGGCGACGGGAGCAGGGTATAGGTTGGTAGGACAGTCTACTGAAACACCACGTCACTGCCACACCACGACCCAAGTATGTGGCAACCAGTCGATAAAGTTGGGATTTCCTCCTACATTTTTAGTTCGTGATTTCAACACATGAGAAATAAGAATTTTTTCGAGGATGTTGCAATTAAGTTCGAACGTCCTTCAAGTAAGAAAACACCACTCCACTTGATTCAGAAAGGTAAGTAAAAGTATAAGATCTGACTAAAACAACCAAAGATAATAAGAAATGTACGCAGGCATATAATATTTGTGAAGATTTAACTTAATATGTTCTCTCTCCCTCTCTCCAAATGATATATAAAAAAAAACCCCAACTTCAAGGAAACCATATTTTCGTAACTTTTTCCTGTTGGCGTGAGTCCTCTACGTGTCGCACAAACAACTGAACATAAAGCCTGAAATTCAAACAGTAATAATTTTTTTTTAAAAAGGCGATAAACAAATTTGCTGCACAATTCGGAGAAATAGTAAGAGAAATTATGAAATACCCTGTAACTTCAAAGACTGAGATTGGAGTCCGCGTGCTGTGCAGTCGTGGCTAGGGCGCTGGGTGAGCAGCTGTAGTTCGCCCGGTTAGCGACTTCCCATAGGAGGCTGGATGACTGCTGGCTACCTCCAGACTATACCGGCTACTAACATACAAGGGTCTTCGTACTCAGGTATGTCTCTCCTCCGCCTCCCTTCATACTGATTTTGTAAGGGAATTTTGTCAACAATTGGTATTTTAGTCATATATGTTCATCTACCAGGATCATTAAGCAGAGCTTAAGTTTCAATACTTTTACTTTTATCCTCGTCGCCACTGATCGGCTCCTTAGCCGATTGGGCGGTCGGTCACGTATCTTGCAATTACTGGCTCCTAAATATATCTTTTTCTGCGCCAGTGTTGGTCAAGTCTGGTTTTGAAAGAGCTTCCACTCGGTGCTGTCACAACACTCAGGCAGAATATTCCAGAGTTCACAATTCCCACTCGGAAAAAGTTTTCCTCACAGTTTTCTAGACTTGTAACATGTATGGACATTCGACTGAGTAGTGCCCTCTGAGATGTTTATAAACTTCAATCAGATCACCCCTTGCCCGTCTATAGTATAAGCTAGGCAGTTGCAGGCATTCTAATTTCTCTGGTAACTGAGGTTAGAAGGTCAGGTTAGGTAATGTTTAGGTAATTTACAAGGGAAACGTCAAAGAAGTTGTGTTTAAGAATTGACTAAACTGCTGATTGCAAAGATAAAATTCCTAAGATTCCCGTGTTGTCAGAAAGTAAAAAAATCACCGTATATTTTGAGTGATGTTAGAAAAAGGAGATAATACTGCTGGACTTAATGCATAATAAATTAACAAATGATATGGGCAAGACAAAATGTATTAATAACTTTCATATCAGTTGTTATAATGTTATTACTGCGCTTCAACAAATAAGGTCTTTAAGGGAGCAACAAGGATAGTAATTACACTTACGTTAATAAGATTATATGACCGATTTGAGGTTTGTTAAAAGCTTTAAAAGGGGTTATTTTCCTCATCCTTTACAGGTAATGAATATCTGAAAGATAAGGGAGCTAGTGAAGTTTCGTGGTGATAAAAACAAGAGCTGATGATGCGTCGTCTAAGAGCGCCAAGTTTGAGCTGTGTGGTGGCGATGGTGGTGTTAGTGGCCGCCCTGGTCTGTTACAGCACCACTCACCTGCCCCAAGTCCTCCCCTGGTTCACGGACCCCTGCACCCATGGTAACTATAGCCACACCTGACTTTGCTTACCATTAGAATTCTTACCATTAGAATTCAGTATTTAGCGATTTCATGACGCACGATGAATTGTTTTCGCTGATTTTGTTATCTGTTCGAGATCTTAATTGCCCGGAAAACGTAACAAATTACATACATAATGGAACAAATTAGTGAATATAATCTCAGAGGATATTACAAGTTAACGCTGTTAACAACAATAATGTTCATTCCAATCCAAAATGAACATATATGTGGATAATCTTAGGATTACGATGAGCCCTTCATCACCAGAGTGCCTGGGACCATACTTTTCCGGACGGATTCATCTAGAAGACCCGGAGCTCGTGCCCTTGTTGAAAGAGAGATACCTACACCCGCCCCCACTACACCCTGACAAGGCGGGGTTCGACGTCGACCGTCCTCCTTGGAGGGAGCTCTTGGGATGGTATACAATCCAGGAAATGCTCAAGAATCTGTGGGGGAATCAGGTAAGGTCATATGGTAGTTGAGAAAACAATCTTGCCAAGTCGGAGCCCTCGATAACATATAGGTCTTTCCGATCACATGAAGATTAACCCCACCCAGCTTATTTTACCTTAAGATTAACCACCCAAACACTAACATAACTCACCCCCCCCCCGCCCCCACCAGTAGGGTTAGGGTGTTTAATCATAGACGACATAAGCTGGGGGGGGAGGGCTATCATTCAGGTGATCCGTTCTAATTACCCTTGCTAGAGAAACAGGCCCTTTTTAGTAATGATATCGTACAGGTCACTAGGTTCACAGGCCTTCTGGGATATTGATATTGTACAGGTCACCGAGTTAACTTTACAGGTCCCTGGGGTATTGGACTGTTGGTGGTGTACAGGTCACTGAGAGTTAATTTTACAGGTTTCTGGTTGTGTTGATGGTGTACAGGCCATTGTTAACTTCACAGGCTCCTGGGGTGTTCGTGGAGGTAGGGGCAGCAGACGGGGAGTTTATGAGCCAGACGCTTATGCTGGAGAAGAATTATAGCTGGACTGGTCTGTTGATAGAGCCGGACCCTCGCTCCTTCCGAATCCTACAGGAGCGCCGCCGCAACGCTTGGACCTCCCCTGTCTGTATTAACTTAGGGGCAGCCAGACCGGTGAGTGGCGGCCGCTAGTTGTGTACCAGCCCTACACTCAAGGATAACACACCACATTTACTGTTTTGATTATCTCAGATTATATATATAAATATATATATATATATATATATATATATATATATATATATATATATATATATATATATATATATATATATATATATATATATATATATATATATATATATATATATATATATATATATATATATATATATATATATATCTTGTGGTTGTTAAATGATCAAGGCAGAATCCCTGTCCAGGACAAAGGTGTTTCTACTGAGACTGTATTATGTAAGGTTGCCAATATTCACTTTACCCTCTTCGTTACTGATGGGCCTGTTATCAGCCTGGGCGGTCAGTGATTGCCTCTGTTACGCACTGGTTCCAGAGTATCTGATATTAAGTGAATTGGTAAAACATCAAAGAGGAAGTGAGGCACGTCCACGGTCGAGAAGAATGTAATGGTCAAGTCAAACCCAAAGGCGTTTTACCGCTATGCAAAGTCGAAATTAAAAACGCGAGTAGGAGTATCAGACCGGAGGCTTGAAGATGGTAGTTACGCAGATTCTGACCAGGATAAAGCTGAGGCATTGAACAGCTTCTTATCCTCGGTGTTCACAAGAGAGGATGCAATTAACCTTCCTGCGTTTGAGGACAGACGGTTCGACACAGCACTGACCCACATTGTGTTCAAAGAAGAGGGTATTAGAAATAAATTGTCCAGGCTAAAGGTCCATAAGAGTCCTGGCCCAGGACATGGTGCATCCTAGAGTGCTAAGAGAGTTGTGCAACGAGCTTGCCGAGCCCCTGAAGATCCTGTTTTGTAAATGCTTGGATGAACAAAAGGCCCCCAGTGAATGGAAAGTGGCTTATGTGAGCCCTATCTTCAAGAAGGGCGATCGTCACTCCACGAACAACTATAGACCGGTGAGCCTGACCAGCATAATATGTAAAGTACTTGAGAGTATTATCAGAGATGCCGCAATGGAACATCTACTACGAAACAACCTCGTAAGGGATTGCCAACACGGTTTTATGCCGGGGCTCTCCTGCTTAACACAATTGCTCAAGGTATTGGACATTTGGACCCATATTCTGGAACGGGGTGGTAATATCGACAATATTTACCTAGATTTTGCCAAGGCTTTCGACAGTGTACCCCACGAAAGGCTGAAAATCAAACTGGAAGGGGACGGAATTCGGGGAAATGTCCTAGCGTGGATAGAAGACTTTCTGCATGACCGCAAGCAGTGTGTGGTGATTAATGGCAGGAAGTCATTATCCGTACCTGTCACAAGCGGGGTACCACAGGGCAGTGTATTGGGCCCGCTGTTGTTTGTTTGTTTCATAAATGACATGCCTGACGTTGTACACTCCTCCATACAAATGTTTGCCGATGATGCCAAGTTATTTCGGGAAATCAAGAACCAAGCGGACTGTGAAGAGCTGCAGAAGGACCTCTGTGGGCTCCAAGAATGGTCGAAGAAATGGCTGCTGAGATTCAATGTCACGAAGTGTAAGAGGATGCACCTGGGGCGTACCAACGGTAAGGAGGCGTATTATATGTCCCAACGGGATGAAGAAACTGCACTATTTGAGACTGAATGTGAGAAGGACCTAGGTATGTATGTTGACAATGAGCTGAAGCTCTCGGGCCATTGCGAGAAGAAGGTAAATCAGACAAAAAATTACTGGGTCTTATAAGAAGGTCGTTCAGATATCTAGACGGTCCGTCCCTCGTAACGATCTCCAAGAGTGAAGTGCTTCCCCATCTGGAGTACTGTCACCCCGTTTGGTCCCCGAGATATGCTAGGGACTGTCAGTTGGTTGAAAATGTTCAAAGGGGGGCCACCAGACTGGTGCCTGAACTTCGGCACCTCAGCTACCCTGAGAGACTGGAGCGCCTGAACTTGCCTAGCTTATACTACAGACGGGCAAGGGGTGACCTAATTGAGGTGTATAAACATCTCAAATGCCACTACTCAGTCGAGTGTCCTTACTTGGAGCTGGCGGACGCTCGCCCCACAAGGGGTCACAGCTCAAGATTGAAACAGCCGCAAGTCCAGAAAACTGTGTTGTCAAACTTTTTCGGAGTGAGAGTTGTGAACTCTTGGAACAATCTACCAGAGAGTGTTGTGACGGCACCGAGTGTGAGCTCTTTCAAGACAAGACTTGACCAACACTGGCGCGGGTTCAGGCACATTCAGGAGCCGGTGCATGCCCAGTACTTGCCAACAGTGCGTAACAGAGACGTGACCGATCGCCCAAGCGGCTAACGAGCCGATCAGCGGTGAAGAGGATAAAACTAAGTAAAGTAATGATAGGAATGTGGTACGTATATTCAATATATATACTCTTCTGTTATCCCTTTAATATTGTCATTTTCTATGAAACATCTTATTTAAGTTTTCTATGACATGTTTTAGCTGCTACTGTGGCTAAGGGACCTGATAGAGGGCCTCCCACAGGAACTGCAGGGGCTCGTCATGGCGAGGAGCAAGCTCTCCGACAACATAGTGCAAGGGGTATGTCACCTTAGATACTGTATCACTCTTACATTCCAGACTTAACCTAATTATTTAATTTTGGTGACAAATGTTTTGAAAGTCGGGTCTCTGAAGCAGTTGAAATTATATTTTAAGGAAATATAATAGGTATTTCGGAACTGTGTCATTCAAGTTATTTATAAAACAGGACTCAATGAAATAACTACTTTCACCTGCCGTAACTCTAATAATACCTTGTTCTACCTAAAGCTAGAAGTGTTGCACGTATAGTATACTGTACAACTTCCTACACCAGAGGTTCAAAACACGTCATTTGGATAATCTCAATAGGTTAAATAATCCTTATGTCCGAATAATCATATCACTGAAAATAATATCTTTAAAGTGGGAGATCTGACAGAGGACACAGGTGTGCTGGGAGTAAGAATATTCGGCTACTGGTCAAAAGGGTCCAAGACCTAAACTGGTACAATGTTAACCTATCCTCACCAATAACTGGTACAATGTTAACCTATCCTCACCAATAACTGGTACAATGTTAACCTATCCTCACCAATTAGAAATGAGAACTAATTATAAATGCCTCCATTCCTAATAGATTCCCAATCCTAATGCCTAGGTTAATTCAGGTTGGGACATTATTTAAGACAGAGCCACCTAACCCATAAACCCTGTTTATTGGCAGGACGAGAAACAAGGCAAGAGAGTGTACGTGCCCTGCCTGCCACTCTCCAAGCTCCTGGTGGCCGCCAACATGACCCAGATTGATCTCCTCACCATCGCCACAGGTACAGGAGGAGACCACCTCAAGATCTTGGACGTCACCTTGAACAAAAAAGAATTTGATGTTAAGGTAAGTATCACCTCCCCAACACACTACCAGGGGCTCAGATTTATACGTGATATGAGGGCGAAACTCAACCCCTGCAACGGCCCAAAATTTTCCTGAGTTAGATTAGATTACGGGTAAGGTACGTTTAGTTAAGTTCAAGGTAGGTTAGTTTAGGCTATGTTTGGAGTATATTAGCTTATGTTAAAATCGGATTAGGTCAGGTTAGGTTAGTTTAGGAATTGATTAGTTCTGTCAGAATAGGGGTGGGTCATGTTATATTAGAAGTAGGTTAAGTTAGGTCTCAGCATAGGTGATTCATGAGTTCTGTAAAAGGACCTTATCCAGCTTTCAGTGTAAACGTGGTATCAAGTAATGTTCTATCTTTTTTTAATTTATTAACCACTGATCAGGAGTAACAGTATATATATATATTTTTGGTATTTATAATGAAGTAATGTATAATTTATGAAAGACTTCGACCAAGATATCTTCAACTACAACCATCAACTACCACTACTACAACCAGCCACCCTCAAAAGATTTACCACCACCAGTTCCATCGCTACAACTAACAACAACAACTCCATCACTCTACAACCATCATCAATACCTCAACTTCCACTATCACCATCTTGAACGACTCAATCACCACCATCATCAATATTATCATTGCTACTACCACAATCACCACAACTAATCCCCTCCTCCTTCTGCAGACGCTCCTCATCCAGTACCCGAGGTCCTACCTGCTTAGTAAACAGTACCCAATGGTCCCTGGGTACATAATGGACATGGGTCGCTCGGAGCTGCTTGTGAGACTCTACTGGAGGACCTCCCACTGTCGTCTGCTGGAGGAGGGAAAATGCAGGAGGGTTAAGTATTACGACCTGTTTGAAGCCTGCATGAAGTACCTGTGCATGGACTTCGCTATTGTCTGGACCGTCAATTCACAACAATCATAGCGCCAGACACCTTCATGTGTTGACGTTCTGTGTGTGTGTGTGTGTAACAAATAAGTCCTCCACAAACAATTGATGATCACACTCCTAGTAAATTCAACCAGTGAATCACAAGTATCTGGTCAAATACCCGATAGGTATTGTTGATGTTATAAAAAAAACATATATCTTTACTTATTGCACTGTTTTATTTGTTACCGGAGACTGGAGGTGTAGATCACCCTTACTGTGAAACATAACAAAGGAAAATTTAGGTCAAGTTTACGTTAAGATAGATCAGGTTACAGATTCAGGTAGGTTTAGATTAGGTTATGGCAGATGTGAATATTGCAAATGGGTTAAAGTAGAACAAGTGTTGGTAAGTTAGGTTGGATTTAGGAGAATTTAAGGAGGGAGTCTTTGCATCACGTGAAGATTCGCCCTCCACTAGCTTATTTAACCTGATTATTAGACATTAACGCTACCTGGAGGAGGAGTTAGGCTAAGCTAGATAAGGTTTGGTTATGTTAGGTTAACGTTAGGGTGGTTAATCTTAAAAGTGAAATAGGTTGGGGATGGGGCAAATCTTTCTCCAATTCTTTCCTTTCAAACGGAACTGTATTGCATGATGTAAGGCGTATACTGAAGAGCATCACCACCCATCAAATAACACACCGCCTCTGGCTACTAGCTCTGTAATACTGGATTTCTGAGTTACCTAATTACTATGATCATTCTCCTGTGTAATATTAGATTCCTTCATAGGGTTAACTGAATATAATTATCTTTTTTGCAATGTAATTTTGATTTTCTTTTCGGGGAGAGGCGGGTTTAAGTGAATATTAGTATCGATCTATTTCCATTTTATTTTATCATCTAAACTTCTAAATTAAATAAGATGAGGAACTTTAATGGAAACTTAAGCTGGGGAGCAAAACAGATTAAGTTGACGATCAATAAAGCATACTTAAGCTGAGGATCAAAACAGATAAAGCTGAGGATCAATAAGGTAAACTAAAGCTGAGGATCAAAACAAATAAAGCGGAGGATCAATAATGTAAACTAATGCTGAGAATCAATAACACTGGCTCAAGCTGGGATTACTCATGTAACTAAGGAAAACGATCTCAAGCGACTTCTCTCACTGGAAAGTTTACAGAATCAATAATATGTGTTCGAAGCTGAGGATCAATAATGGCAGAGTGTACTTGAGGATCATTCAGTGTGATAAAAGGAGTCTGGATAGTGCTGCCTCGGGTGGAGTCTCAATGGGCACGGGTTAAAACCTTTTTACGGCAGCTAACATGGATATTGATTGAAACAGTTGATTTAGTCAGGAAAATACAGCTACAAAGTGACATGGTTAAGAACGCTTAAAACTTATAGGACAGGTAATACTTAAAACCTCACGGGAACTAACACGTCAAGCTAACACTACCTAACTAAGAGTTGTTGGAGGAGTGTGACTTGGTATTCCTTCACGAGTCTAACGAAGGCACAGTACTGCTTAACCTGGACAGAAGGTATTGTGGGAAGCGGGAACAGAATGGAACGTTAATGGGCAAAATCGCACCAGGACAATCATTACACAAAACCCCCCTACCCTTTTAAGTAAAAAAAAAAGAATGGAATTTTGGCCTCAATCTATTCAGGGTTAGCTTGCTCGTCTTTGTAATGCTAGATGGACTGCTTAAAACTATATGTTTTTTTTAAACCTCAGAATTTGACATTTTGTAGAGATAGAGATGCATGTACAGTATAACCTAAGCGACTCTATATTCCTGACCCTTGGAGACCCTTGGTTTCATATAGGTCACGCTAATATTCATCATCCAAATTCAGTATTATCATAGTGCCAGGCTAAGGGGCGGGGCGTGAAGGTCACAATACAACTCGGTATCCTGGAAGGTCTAATACTTCTTTTGAGGAAGATCTGATCCCCCCACAACAAGGGTCAGTCGGTACACTTGACCATCATCCTGGAGCCGAGTCACACCGCCAATATTCCCCGCCCATATTTTCCTTTTATGACACTGGCGGGACCCACTGTTGCCTAGCTGAGGTGGCGGTACTTTATGGTTCCTGGCACTCTTGAACACCGACTTGCTGGGCAATTGACGTGTCTTATTCAAGGATTCTCACAAGGTTGCCACAGTTGAGTACATTTCATCCTGAGCTTATCTCTAGTGGTCTTTGAGAATCCGATCCAGAATGTTGTTGACAGTGGCAATGACGTCACTAGGAGATGCCACGCCAGATATTTTATTCACCACTATACAAGTGCACTGCTTTTGTCCACTAGCCATTGCTCTTATGGCATTAATATTCCACGCTCATACTTTGCATTCTGGTGGTTGGACTTATCCCAAACACTTGTAACTGATCGCATTATTGAATAAAACATGAAAGTCAAATAATGTGCGGCATCTGAGTCGTGCTTACTCTGACGTCACTAGAAGGTTGATGACGCACGATGACCCGGGCTGGAGTCCTAATGTTCCTCCAGGGATGCTGGGCGGGAGAATTTGTTTCCCTATACTACTTCAGTTCTCCTCTACACCTATACCATATAATCTATCTAGCCCTGATATTGGACGGTAGAAAATATTCTTTGGTTTTGTGAAGGTTCATTACAATCTGATGTTATTAATAAAAAAAGAAAAAGGAAAAAATAAATTTGCTCGAAGGGTGAATAACTAAGTTTAATAATGATGTTCATGCAGGGAACTTTATGTAGAAAAGAGAAGAAACAAAACCATAGGCAGGACAAGAGTGGAAAAAGTGGCAGTAAGCGGGGGGTAGTGGGAGCGTCCTTGGCCATACTGACGTAGAATGAGGACTTTCGCGTGGCAGGCGGCCCACGCGCGCCTGTGCAGATCATCGTATTGATTACTTCTCCTGCCCTCAGCATCCTTGCCAGACGATCTCCCTTTGCAACCCCACTCCTACTTACATCCATTACCACACGATACACCACTTGACCATGATAATAAATGCAGTTCTTGTGGGGAGAGACAGCCGGCCTGGAGGGTGGTAGTTGAGTGCTGTACTGTTGGCTCTTCGGGGAAGGACCACGTGAGGCAGCGTCGAGTACGACCTCCACCCTGGCCCGCCGGCACCGCTCCCAAGTACACGGGAATTTTGCAAACTGCTTCGTTCATTTAGACAGACAGTTTTAAATAACAGTTTAATAATTAATCTTCTATAATTATTGGACGTTCATTGACAAAGTGAATGAAAATCCTAATATTCCAGCCGAATGGTAATCTGGCCTACAGAACAGCTACCCACGCCCACACGTGAACACTTCTAAGGGGAACACCGCGAAGTTGTGTACAAGTTGGATGTTCTTGGTGTGGTGTGATGTGCGAACGAGGGGCCGAGGTGTCCGCGGGCCGCACAGATCAGGTGCGGGGACCGGGGACGTAGAACCAGTGATAGTGACCCGCGGATAGACTCCTGTACCACCGCTTGGGTTGCCTCCACGGACTTGCTATCACGCGTATATTCATAACAACCCACAACAGGTCTCCGCCGCCATTTTGGACTTGCTAGCGGCTTCCCCTCGGAAGTTCTGGCGGGCACTTTTGCGCGGGAAACTGCCCAACTGTTGCTCGTGATTGGTCGCCCACTCGCCTCTAAACAGTCGTCGCCACCGACCTGCTGGAGGAGGCTGCCTCGTCTGACATGTGCACCAGACACCTCACAAGTAAGTCCTCAACTCCCAGCCCTCTATCAGGCAACCCCTCTTTGCTTACGGCTCTACCACAAAATCCTATCAATAGATCCTAACCCAACATAGCCCAACCAAACCAAACAAAACCTGAAGAAGGAAAAGCGTCACCCAGGTGCACCGAACCCAACTAATCCTATATGGGTATTGGGACCCAGAGTTGAACTGGTGGGCATTTTGTCCTTGTCGGCATTATTCGTGTGGTGAGATTTCGTCCTGTACAATATTGTGTGTTTACCGTTTCTTTTTCCATAACAAGGAATTTCCTGGGCGCTGAACTGACTGTGGTAACTCTTCTCCATCTGCACCACGACCATCAGTACCATAACAGTGCCTCACTTTAGTCATCAGTGCCACCATTACAACCATAACAGTGCCTCACTTAAGTAATCAGTGCCACCATTACTACCATAAGTGCCTCAAGTCATTAGTGCCATCATACCATAACAGTGCCACTTATGTCATCAGCACCACCATTGCTACAAGAAAAGTGCCTCATTTAAGTCATCAGTGCCACCATCATACCATAACAGTGTCACAGTTACGTCATTAGCACCACCATAACAGTGCCACTTATGTCATCAGTGCCACCATTGCTACTAGAAAAGTGCCTCATTTAAGTCATGAGTGCCACCATTATACCATAACAGTGTCACAGTTACGTCATTAGTACCACCATCACCACCATAACAGTGCCTTAGTTGAAGTCATCAGTGCCAGTTACGTCATCAGTACCACCATCACTCCCATAACAGTGTCTCAGTTATGTCACCTATCCCACCACCACCACCACCATTACTACCACACCAATACCTTCCATACCTTTCTGTATCACCATATTCACCACCTCTCTTCCCCTTTATTTACACTAGTAGCTCCTCTCCCCTCTACAGTACCAGTAACTCGTCTTCCCTCTATTGTATTAGTATTCAGTAACTCCTCTCCTCTCTCTACTGTCAATACCTCCTCTTAACCCTGACTCCACTTTATTAGATCGGTAAATCTTCCTTCACCCTCCTATTCCATGTACTAGTAATTCTTCATCCTAATATTATCAGTAAGTCATTTCCCTGTCACTGTATTAGCAACTCTATTTCCCCCTGTGGTACCAAGTGGCTCCTCTTCCCCCCCCCCCTCTCCTCCTCTTCTTCTCCAGCCACGTCAGTTACTCCTGTTCGAAACTCTATCAGTAACTCCTTCTCTCAGATCTATATTCGTAACTCATTTCTATCTCTTATTGAATCTGTAACTCCTCTTCCCACTACAGTATTATGTCCGTAACTCCCTTTTCTCCCCGACTAGTCTTGTAACTCCTATTCCCCTCATTACAATAGGTAGTAATTCCACTTCCCCCTGGCTGCATTTGTAGTTCCTCTTTCCTTAACATACCACAAGTATGAGAATTTCCCGCCAATCGACTGAATTTCATTTTTGTTTTTCACCCCCAAAGTGGACATTCTTGAAC